AGATAAGTGAAAAGGTCAGGGGGGGGGAGGATTTCCCAGTTGTCCTTTTTCAGATTATTTCTTGAACACCCTCAGTGCTCAAACCACGGTTAGTAAGAGAGAATATTACATATTTGTATAAATGGATTATATACATTATTTTTCAATTTTTAGATTGTATAAATATTTACATATTTCATTTTTAATATGTGTATTGCAATATTAGTTAAGATTCATGTACCATCAATCACTATAGTTTATTATTTACCATTATCGATCGTATAATATTATATCTCTGATTGTATTTTTTTTTTAAATTCAGCCCTGAAGATGACCCACATGTTTGGGTTGAAACGTTGGCATACATTTTTTTTTTTTTTAAAGACTGCATCCTGATTATTTATCACCCATGATATGTAGAACAATTGACTAACTTCTTTCAATGATTTAATTTTAGGAGTTCTTAAGCCCTAAACTTTTTTTTTTTTTTTAAATGTATCACGATAATTACTTTGGAAAAAAAAGAAAGAAACTAACTACCTATATGAAATGATGCTTTAGTGATTCTTGAAGTCCTATTAAATGTAATTAAGACGAACAATAGTACTTTCAATTTTTTTTGTAAAACATGGTTATATTTAACAATTTTGGGGGGAAGAGGGTTCCAATCTGAAACCTCCTTCCTCTCCCCCATAGATCCCCCTTGTCCTGAATTCAAAACCTCAATTAACTCACTGAATTAAGCAAATACCCCGCTTCATTCAAACTATAGGAAATACTTAAAATTAAAAATAGATTGATATTAGCACTTCTTGTTTTTGTTCACTTCACACAATTTCTTAGGAACTTAAGTTTATAATCCTTTCTACAATATTTAAATAATTAACTATTTTAAAAATAAAAAATTGAATTATTAAAGCTTAAATTGTTTATTAATTCATTTGTCGTCCTAATAGAATGATTCCGAGTAGAGAAGATCTCGCTTGCACAGATGTTCTGGTTATGAAATGGTGCAATGTCCCGTACACTGCTCAAATTCATGTGCTGTTGCCATACTGTGCTGTCAAAAATGGTTAGCGATTAGAAATCTCAAAAGAGGAGATAGATGTCCATCCATCTTTAATTTGTAGTACAAATATTTTTACAAGTAATCGTTTTACTGATCTAGCCAAAACATGTAACCCCCCTTCTGATATCTTAAATCATTATATCGTATTAAACAAATTATGATTATGATATAAATGTTATAAATAATTATTATAAATGTAAATGTTATAAATAATTATTTATCAATGAAAATCTGCAAAATCTCTATAATATACTTCCACTTTTAGAACTTTCCAAACAAAGCTCGTACTATTTGTTATAAAAACATATATTATATCTTATAGGTTGTTGCTAATTGAGTTTATGTACTATAAGCAAGGGAACGAAGTGAAAGTTATTTAACAAGTTACAATCTAATTACAGCCAGCATATCAAAATTGGGACTGATATGTATCATACAAATCTGACATAAAATTAAAAGTTTAACCTCACAGATTAGGTCCAATCTAGCACAATTACGTATAAATAGCTTTAGCTTTTCATGATGTTTAGTTTTATAACTCATCATCAGAGCCGGATTTTTATGCAATTGCATATTTTGTTGGCATTATTCTTTTTTAACTGCTGATCAGATATCTATACGAATTAGTACACTGTGATGCAGTTAGCCAAATTTCATTTTGCATATTATGATTGATTTAATGAATTAAATAAAATATACTAGCTGACCCGTGTGAATACTCCGCAGAAACCGAATGATTGTACCTGATTTTAATACATTAAGGGGTCAGCACAACATCCATTCAATAATGTTTGATACGCAAAGGTTTATTACATATATTTAGTAAGTTATCTGCTTATAAAAAAGATTTACAATCTGCCATGGTTTAACCATTGCATTTCCTTAAACTTATAATTTAAATATTTGTCCTTTATTAGATTATGGCAAATTAACAAAAGCTTCTAACCATTGCTTTAAACATCTGATGACGACAAAAGCCTAAAATTCTCAGTTAGTCCAATCAGGATCTACATTACTTTATCATTAAAAAAAAAAAAATAAAGGTGTATTTTTAAAATGATAAACTATAATAAATAACTATAAAAGTAAATGCCATTGTAATCGAAGCACATTGAAAAAAATGACCAACAATGTTTAAAGGAAGACACATTTATATAAATAAAAATAAAATTAATATTGTCATTAATTAAAAAGAATTTAATTTTTTGAAATTAAAAAAAAAAAATTACTAACTGATACATAATATATTGTACCCCGAAAACAAAGGGCAAATTCCCAATTTGATAAATAGCTGCCCAGGTGTAACAACATCTTTGCAGTGTAACAAATAATAAATGTTCAGAAAGCTACAACTCTGCACTGCACCAAATTGTCCGATTTTGATGATTTGTTTTATGTTTTTTAACGAATTTAGTAAGCTTTCAAATACTCATATGTATAATGGCGTCCTTTTCGAGTTATTCTAAAATTTTAAATACATTTGTAACCTCTCTATTTGTTGAGACCTCCCACTTTTACAATAACTTTTATTAAAGTCCAGGTATAAAATTAGGAATCAAAATTACAATTCACGCACTCTAGGTGATATTCCCTTTCTATTGATACCTCACTCGTCAAAATCCATCACTAATAAGAGCCGGAAAAGAGATATATATTTCAGAAATAATATATAAGAAGATATGTGTAAATATTAATTTATACAAACAAATTAAAATACAATGTTGAAGACACAATTCAAGATTACAATTTAAGTTTATTTTCAAAGAATAAAACAATCAAATTTACCACATTTGTAGACTTATCTTAAATTCAGATCTTTCGCTATACCTAGATATATTTCACCAATTCCCGGAAATCCATTTTCCCCATGTAAACATCATACTATGTTTCTATTTCAGTTTATTGTCTACATTCTTTGCAAGAGATCATATTTCTGTTTATTTAAAATGACAAAAGTAAGTTAATCATTTTCAATAAAGTTGAAAATGATTATGAAATGATGAAAATGATCTTTTTTCATCACCTAGCAAGCCTGTTGATGAAGAAAGATCATTTTCTAATTATAAAAACCTATATAAATAAAATAAAGATTTTGTCTGTACATTGAATAGAATCAACCCGTTTTATGATATCTTTCCATTTCATACATTATAGACACCAAATCCACTTTTAAAAATATTTTTGTCTGTCTGTATGTCCGTATTGAAACGAAATTTTGTCAGAGGTAAGCTCAGCAATGCCTTATTGTAGACTTTTGAAATTTTAACATTATATTAAGGTTTGCATACTTAAAACATAGGCTTTAAATGAAAATAAAATATTGAGTATAATGAAAGTTATCAATTCTTGAGTAATTTGTCTAGAAATTTCGGTTAATGTTGATAATAAATGTTAATAATAAACATATGTTTATAGGTTAAAGAGCGCCTATATAAATAAAATAAAGGTTTTATCTGTACATTGAATAGAATCAACCCGTTTCATGATATCTTTCCGTTTTATACATTACAGAAACCAAATCCACTTATAACAAATTTGTTGTTGGTCTGGAAGTCCACATTGTCTAACGAAATTTTGTCAGGGGTAAGCTCGGCAATGGCCAATGGTAGACTTTTGAAATTTTGACATTACTTGTAGGTCCTCCCTCTCTGCCCAATTTATGAAATTGAATTTGGACCCTCCTTCCCCCATAGTACAAAGTCCATTTCAAAAAAAGATTCTCAAATTTTAACTATAACCTTCAACGATGGGTACATCAGCTAGTATTTTATAAAAGGTAAAGTTTCACAGAAGCCAATTTAGAAATGCTATTTAGAAATTCTGATAATCGATTTTAATGCAGAACATGTCTGCAAAGTAATCCTCCCATCTTCGTCTCGATCCATCCTTCGGTCGTTTACCAATTGGAACTACAAATATTAACATTTTAACGATTCTTCCGTTACTAAGCCCAACAATTTTACACACCCATTTTATTAGCGACAATGTATGTCAATTATATTAACCGGATAATTATATTACTATATTCACCAATATAATAATATAATATAATATAATACCATATTATATTCACACAATTCGGCATTATATAACTGTTCAAATTCTCCAGTTGACTCATCCTTCTTGGGTCTGAATATTCAATGTAATACTTAATTTTCAAAAACCTTAAGACATTGCTCATCCCTTAGTGTAAGCCACCAAGTTTTGTATCCATAAAGAACCGTAGGTAAGATGATGGTTTTATAAATTCTAATTTTTAAATTTCAGGACAGAAGGGGAGAGGAGCTAAGTAGTTTTATGACAGAAAAATAACAAACATTTCCAGCCTTCAACCTATTCTAAATCTCCTCTTCAATTTCATTTTTTTTCTATTTATCATAGACTCTAGATATGTAAACTTCCCTATGTGTTTAAACATATTCCCTTCTATGTCAATATCACCGAAATTATCCAAAATTTCCTATAAGAAAGGCTTTATTACATTTTTTCATAGGGTCAGTACTTAGAGAAATAGAACAGAGAGATGTAAGAATGGCATATATATGCCTTATATATCTTTAATATAATTATTTCAGTTGTGAAAAAATTTTGTACTTGAACTAGACTATTTACATACACACAGAAACTATTTTGCAAGACTTGGTTATTCGGACTCAACAGACTTTAAAACACGTATATGCATTGAAACATCGGATTCATAGTTTTTCATGATGGCAATATATTGCCCTCACTATATATTTCATACATAGGCAAGTGAAAGTAAAAAGATTGGTACTAACTAAATTTTCCTATAAATATTGAAGGTTATGATATCCATTCAATATTTATTTGTCATCCGACTGTGATAGTGATTCAAAACAATAACTTTGTGATGACTTATTAATTATTCAAGATACTAAATATATATATATATATATATATATATGTATATATTATACTAACTAATACATACTTATTTAGTTCATTCTTTAACTCTTGGACAGTCGAAACGCACTGCTGATAGTAAAGCAGTTGAGCATCAACAAAATCGTTAAGGCATCGCAGGTGAGATGCATGAGATGAAGAAACGCTCTCCAGAAGTAGCTTAGTTATTTCAACTTGCCTATCGAATTCAGACTGAGCAGTCCGCAAGTCTCTTTCAGCCTTAAAAAAATAATGAATAAATTATTAATACTTCAAAGAAAAAATTCTAAACATAAAATGACAATTTGTCTTATGGAGGATATAACAGATTATTTAATAAGTTACATAAAATGTTACGGTTATACTCTCTAAAAAGTGAAAGTGAACCGCTTTGGAAGTTAGACAAATGCATTTAAGAAGATGGTCCATGAATTGGTAAAAAAAAAAAAAAAAAAAAAAAACGTTAAATAAATTCTGATTGTTTATTTAATGTTAACATTTTTATTTGATACTAGATGGGGTACTCCCCGTCTGCCTAATGCCTAACAGACCAACCCCCATTTTACCAATTATACAACTGTTCATTTAATTGTACTACTCGTTGCTCAAATTGTATAATTTTAATCTACATGTATTCTTACATGTAATTCAGATTGTATTATTTTTTATCAACATGAAATAAACTGAAAAAGACCACAGTTCATTCAAATTTTTAATTTCTTTAAAAATCTATATTATACATGGTCCCGTATTGTGAATTTATATTACTATATACTTATAATTATAATTATTACCAATTTTTAATCATAATATATATTCAACTTCATATTAGCCCAACAATAATTTGATCCTTTTATTTCTAATATTTTTATTGTTGTGCTTCCATTTCTACTTCATAATAGTTATAATTATATTACAATATAATATAAATAATGTAATATATAATATAATGATTAATATATTTTATTCAAGGGGAAATGTCTAGATTGAAAAATAACTGCTGTCACCTACGTGAAATCAAACTACCACCTCCGAATAAAAATACCATTTTCTGTACAAATTTTTAGTCAAAAATCTTTATTTTGTATTAGGAGGTTAGGAGGTAACAGGAGCACAACACATATTTAATTAAATGATAAGCTGAATAATTTTTAAAATAAACGCCTAAAAATTGAGCTCCTGTTATCTCCTACTTTCCTAATACCTAACTACAATAAAATATGAATAATAATAATAAAAGGCTAAGCGAACCCGAAGGTTCGATGTTAACACCACCAATCACTCATTACACACCTCCCTCCACTGTTCGTCGTCCAAACCCAGTCCCTTCAGATCGGCTTTAATGCAATCTTCCCACCTTCGCTTCGGTTTACCCCTCAGACGTTTACCATTCGGTACAGCAAATATTAACATTTCAGGAATTCTCTCGTTACTAAGCCCAACAATTTTACAAGCCCATTTGATTCGCCGTGATGAAATTACCTCAATTATAAAACCCGGATACAGTTCACGCAATTCGGCGTTGTGTAACCGTCTGAACTCTCCGGTTAACTCATCCTTCTTTGGTCCGAATATTCTACGCAATACTTTATTTTCAAAAACCTTAAGACGCTGCTCATCCCTTAATGTAAGCGGCCAAGTTTCGCATCCATAAAGAACTGTAGGTAAGATAATGGTTTTATAGATTCTAATTTTTAAGTTCCGGGACAAGAGGCGTGAACTAAGTAGTTTTGTCACAGAAACATAACAAGCATTTCCCGCCTTCAGTCTAACCTTAATCTCTTCTTCAATTTCGTTTTTTCTAGTTATCGTAGAACCTAGATACCTAAACTTTTCAAACATATTACCATATACATCGATATCACCAGTAGTATCGCCATTTTTGCAGCTAACAATATATTTTGTTTTATCCGCGTTTATTTCGAGTCCTAAAATAAAATATGAAAGTCACTAAAAACTTTTTTATATAATTGAGCTTTTTTTTTTTCTCTCCTTCCTCGCCTTATTTGATATATTTTTTTGTTTGTTTTGGTTTAATAATTTTAAAACACAATATTATTCCTTTATCTTCCTAAATGGGCAAGATACATATGTAAGAAGAATTTTCAAATAAATTACATAATTTAAAGTTCTAAGGATTATCCTGGAGTGACATATGACTTTGGAGGGAAAGCTAAAAAAAAAAAAAATCTTAGAAATATAAACAATAAACTACTAAATAAATTTACCTACCTCTTGCAAAAGGTATTCAGGGCTAGGCCCTTCCTTCTGACGCATGAAATTGAGATTAAATATTTAAAAACTAAGAAAAATATATATCATAAGTACATTTTTAAAGCATTAATTAATATAATTTAGACATAAAAATACAGATTTAAGATTAATCCTGGGGTAATGGAAAACAACAATTAATTTTGCTTAGAATAAGAGTAAACCTAAAGTTCTCAACACAAAAATTTATCAAAAAAAAGGTATGTGCTTTGGACCACACAAGAGATATGAAAATATCAACAAGGCGAGATTAATAATAAGAAATATAAATTATAAATAATAGCTCCTTTTAAAGAGGACGAAATGCTGAACATTTCCTTCACTTACAGTATTAAGGTCCGATATTTTTACTTTCTGAGATATTTCAATCCATATCTTCAATAAAACTCGTTATCATTTGGTTTTTGAACTATTTTTTTGTTATTCGCCTCTTTAACATGGTGTCGTGTAAAGATAAAATTTTGAATAACAGCCCATTACAGTGAGGGTGAAATGCTGAACAATTCCCTCGCTTACAGTATGCAGGTCCGATTTTTAGTTTCTGAGATATTTTAATCCATATCTTCAATAAAACTCGTTATCATTTGGTTTTCAATACTATTTTTTCCCTTTTTGCCACTCTAGCAGGGCATCACGTTAAGATACAATTTTGAATAATAGCTCATTACAGAGAGGGTGAAATGCTGAATAATTCCCTTGCTTACAATATGCAGGTCTGATTTTTGGTTTTTGATATATTTTAATCCATTTGCAAAAACACTTCAATTAGTCGACTCCAGCCGACTTTATACATTTGAGATCTGACGGTTCAATCTAGTTCATTCTCCACAAAAAAAAATGCAAAACGCACCTAACAAAGTTTTAACTTCAATTCAAACAATTAAATTGCACGCTATCATAAAATAGTACCGCATATAGAAAGAGGAATCAGTGAACATCAAGATGGCTTCGCTGTAAGAAATTCATAATAGATGAAATCTTCTCATTGAGATGAATATATGAGGAAATGAATGAATTCAATAAAAAAATCTGGATGATATTCATTGATTTTAAGGGTAGCATATGATACTGTAAAAAGAGAAAAAGGAATTTCCTGGACTCAATAAAATATGCCGCTGGAATGATTGGAAATGAAACAAGCAGAATATGACTAATGATCAATGTCAAATAAAATAAAGATAAATATTTTAATTAAGATAAATGATTTTTAGAAAGAAGAAACAAGCCCACCCCTTAAAAATTAGACAATGTAAGACCACAGTTACAGAATAGTGAGCAGTTTATAGTACCTTGGATCTACAATAAATGAACAGCTGGACGTAGAAGAAGAAAAGAAAAGGATAATGCTAGGGAACATGTCCGAGATTCTGAGAAGTAGGCTGACCGGTACTACCACAAAGTAATAAACACTAATAAGACCCGTTGTTACTTATGGCAGCAAAACCTAGAGCGTGAATAGAAAGACCAGTGATCTACTGTTCCTGTATGTAATAACAATATGAGAAGATGGAATATGGCAGCTTGAGAAAAATAGAGAGCTGTATTCGAAATACAAAGACTTCAATATCTCGGCTAGCATCAGAATCATGAAATTGAAATTGTTTGGCCTTTTAATGAGAATAGAAGACAAATTTTAAATTCATTAATTTTTTTTTTTAATTATGTGATACAAAAACTATTTTAATAAACTCTTTATTTTATTTCAAGTTGTATAATCAATGAAAAAAATACCACAATGTTAATTTGATCTATGAGATAACAAGACCAAAATTGATAGAATTCAGTTACTTAAATAACTGCCATTTAATTTCTATTAACTATAGTTTTACAGAGAAGCCTTAGATAATTTTATGATTAAACATAATTACTTACCGTAGGCTGTCCAATCATGCTTCTTGCTTTTCGAACCCTGTTCTTGCACGCGTCCAAATCTAACCTAATAATAAATATAGATATAATTGTATGCAATAACAGAATCATCAGTAGAGTTATTTAAGAAAAAAAATTTCAGTTCATATCTATGACATAAATTCTACTTCAAAAAAGTTTTTGATGGTCAAGAAAAACTAAAAGGAATAACTAACATTTGAAAATTTCATTTAAAAAATTATAAGCTAAACAACAGAAATAAAACAAACTAAAGTTATAACCAGTTTTTTTAAATTACCAAAGGGGAGGAGGGCAACTCTGAAACATTGATGAAGTTATTTAATGGAAAAATAAATAATAAATAAATAAACGAAGAATAATTATAAAGGATAAAAGATTTATTATCACAGAAAAATGTAAGTTAAACTATATATGATGCCACAAAAACAATACAAATTTGAAGTTTTTACTTAAAAAAAAAAAAAATAATATCTAGAATATAAAATAATTAACATCCTTCGATTTAACAGTCAAGAATGAAATAAAAGATGCCTAAATAAGTCTGATAGTTCGATTTCCTAATTTTTATCTGCCCTAATTAAAATTCATTGCCTACTCCCACCCAAATTCAGAAGTGAAAAGAAAAAGGAGAAATTTAATAAAAAAAATGTTGTCAAGAACTAAATTTATTCATAATTATTCCAAGGATAGAAAAAGTATAATTTGAACCAAACTAAAGCATGTTCTAAATATTAGAATATCAATATCAAAAAATCTGCTGTGGTATATGCATCACACAACTTTTACTTACCACCCTCATATTATGTAGAAAAAATAGGTATTTTTATACCTAGAGAAGTGAAAGTAAAAATTATAGACAAAACAACATATTAATTTGAAAAAAAAAAATTAATTTTGTCATTGTTCATTTCCTTGTACAACTGTTTATTTTAATAATGAGACTGTCACTTAGTTTTTTCTCATGTCAATTATATTTATATTCATTTTATATACATATGGTGCCCAAACAAGAACTCGAAAATTTTACTAATATATTATACTTAAAGCAAAAGACAAAGAGATTTCAAACCTTTTGCTCTCCAAAATACCCCTTTCATTCGTTATTGTTTTCATTTCTCCATCCAAATATTTCCTTAGAGGTGTGAGAAAACAAGAATTTGCATTAGAAATAAATTCTCGCTCGATTTTTCCCAGTTTATGTTCACACTGGCCAACTTTTAACAGAGCACCTCCTGTAAAGATTCAAAATTAATTATATATTAAACATATATATTCAAATAATAATTCAAATCATTCCTCTATATCTCTTTAATTTTTTACGAATTAATTGGTACAAAGAAAAAATCCTCTAAATTTGTAAATAAACAATAATTGCAGTCCGCTCGTAAATGTTTATTTATTTTCATCCACATATTATTTAAAATTGTGGGTAACTTCACAAATCATTTAAATGTCTTATAATTCTTATTTTCACAAAACAAAAAAATATATTGTTTAAAAGAAAGGGATTTTAATTTGAATCCCTTTAACTTTCAATGAATTTAATTTTGCTTTGTTATCTTTTTTTTAATTTCTATTCTAGCTCATTTATTGTTTTATGCAGTTAAATATAGTATTTCTTTCTGATAATAGCACTAAGGAGGTCTAACGAGCCTCACAAGAATTTTATTATTTTATATAAATTATGTAAACAGAATGTTTTTAAATTACATTGTGTGATTCTATTGTACTTAAATGTAACTAAAAAATTAATATAATTTCAACTAGGATTAAAACAAAAATTCCACATTCTTTTAAAAGTATTACAATTATAAAAAAATAAAATAAAACTGTAACAGTGAATTATTAACATCCGCCTGTTAATAATTCAATAAAAAGGGGTCTGTACTACAGACTATAAAGGATATAAAACATACAGCTTTTTTTTTTTAAATTCAACTTAATAAAGTCATAAAAAAAAAAAAAGTTTAACTGAGAAAAATAGTCACACACCATATGCTGTCCCAGGCCCGAATTCATTTCCAGCCTCGATCATATCTTGCCCAAGATATTCTAAATTACTAAGTCTATTAGGCCGCTTCTTCTCAATTTTTTCAAATAAAAAATCTTCTACTCTGTTACCTATAGAAGAAAAATTCATTTAATTATTACTTACAAAAAAAATAAATAAAAAAATGACAAAATGGAAGGATAGATATCTGGATTGAGCCAAATCAGAAACATAGGGAACATTAAGGTCATTATGGATGATTTTATTTGTAACAAAGTAAGGAGCATTGAGGATTTTACGAAGAATTTTGGATTGTACGAATTGGATACGAGAGGAATACGATGGTTTAGTGGAGCTTTATAGCTCAACTCCGTAAGTCCAAATAGGCCTTATTATAGTCATGTATATGACTCTTTTGTAATAATTGGAAGGTTAGAGTGTTTGTCTAGCAAGTGTTAAAGTAGTCTGAAACGTCGAGCGGTTACTTGTCTTTTCAGTCTGTTATGAGGATTCCAAGTTAGACCTGTGTCAAGGTGTAGTCATAGGTAACGGATTTGTTCAACAGAAATTAGTGAGGTATTGTTAAAGAATACTGAAGGACAGGAAGTCATTAGTTCACGACGAAATAAAATATTATAGAATAATTTGATTTTATAATTGCTTAGGCTACTAAAATCCAATGGTCTAGTCTCAGTTTTGTAGTAAACATGTATATTTTTTCTTTGGTAGGTATTCGATTAGTTGATAATCAAATTCCATTCCATTCACAAAACATAACTTAAAGATTGCAAATTATAAAAGAGAAGTGTTTATGTACCTTTCTTCCTAACTTTGTTCCATCATTTGGATTCCATTTAAAAAAAGAGCAATAAAGCCTAGGAAAAAAGGAACAGTGAAGATTTTTTTTTCCAAGGATAGTGTTAGTCTGGAGCAGAAGGAGCAGAATCATCGAGAAAAAAAATAGTTCGACTGAGAAGCCAACCTCCATCGATTCATATAGTAAGATATAATCTTACTAAAGTTATTTTTATTTTGCTGTTTTTTTTAATTATTTCATTTATTATAACATAATTATTACTTTTACATAATTAAGACTTACGATATAGGGCTTCAATTCATGTAGGCTTTCAAAACAAAATTACAAAACTTTGTGAAATACTAATAATTATTTTCATAAATTAATATTTTAATAAATTTTCTATGAAGTACATACTACATACAATTCATCCATTGCCCAATTTCCCTTATTTCCTTGCCTCTGGATCTTATGGGGAAAAATGAAATTCAAGTGGGTTGTCATTAAATTGATTTAAACATTTTAAATTTCTCAGAAAACATACTCATTTTGGTCCCTTATTAATATTATTTGCTGAGAATCAATTGAAATTGTTGGTATTTTAAACATATATAATTTAATACGGTCAAAATTATTAAAATTGTATCATGAAAACCTGAAAATCTTCCACATTGAATCCCAAACATAATTTATCATAATTATCTTCCTATGATTCAAAATATATTTAAAAAACAGTTAGTAAACAAATATTTTAGTTATGATCTAAGAACAACCTAATGGAATTAATTCAAATTGATAACAGAATTTATTAACAACTTTATCAAAATCCTATGACAGGAGTGTAGATAAATTGATAACTATGGTTTATGTTGTTTACTAATTCAATTATTGTAGAAATTCAAGTAAACTTGATAGGAAACCAATAATCTGACAGTATTTAGAAGCATACAATATGAAATGCTTATATGTAAAAGAAACTATAAACAATGGAATTCTTAATTCAACTTTATGTTATAGTAGAATTTCTAAGTTATTCATTTATAAAATATACCAGGATTTGGAGTTAAAACTGATTCTGTATCTTTTAGTAATTTTTCAGTCCAGAGTTTCGTTGTGTCAGAACGCTCAGCCAAATTTTCAAAATGTGCATCAAGTTCTGTTTTCTCTGAAGTGCCAAGTTTTTCTCCAGTCATCTAATACAAATGATAACATTAAGAAATCAGCAAATAGGAACAGTGTTTCTATATTTATCTAAAACCTTACTTGAACAACCCTGTTCACAACCGTCCCCGCATCTCTCACCATTTTCTTTATATCAACATTAAAATTCATATTGGATACCTAACAAAATTTCAAATAGTGTAACACTTCTAATATTGATTACAGAAATCAGCTGATGCACAAGGAAGAAAAATATGTCACCTAAGAGAATCACAGACAACGAGAAATTTCATAATCAATAAAACAATTTATGTAAAAATTTAAATTTTTCTTATTAGTCGCAATTAAACAAAACCCCCTTATAAAACGTCAAACTGATAAAGCTTACAACACATTTCTTCATTGTTACTTATTTACGTTTTTTGTTTATTTAAAAGAATTTTTTTTTACAATAAAATAAAACTTTATTGACACATATCAGCGTTTTGTTACTTTGCTTAAATACTCAGTATACTTTTTATTTAATTTCCTGTCATATCTTCAGCTTTTAAGGAATATGGGCCATCTTAACTATAGACTAATAAGAAGACTATACTACTCAACACTTTAACACTAAACAAAACTCTTGGAAATTATGCTCTTCGTTCACTTTTTCCATTCCTTTTAAAGCTTTAATCTTGACTTTTATGTATTTATTTTCTGAATTAATAGCGTTCTTGGATGGATATTTAGATATTTTTTTCTTTTAAAACCGCAGCCGATCTACTTATATATCTGCTGCAAAGCTTAGACTTTTTAAAAATAATAATAGTCCTCCTAATTCTTCATGTCATTATTCCAAATTTTCCGTAGCTATATTGTATTGATTGTGGTGCGAGAAATAAATTAATTGATTCCTTAACGTACGAAGCTTGGGAAACAATAACAGCATCCAAGTCTCCCACGCCTACATCTGAATGGTTCAAAGCATGCTCAATTATTTAAGATTTATTGTTTTCTATTATTTTGTAGAGAATAAGATTAAATATTTGAAATTCAATGTTTAGTGTTTGACATGTCAAAAAGGTAGTTCGTAAGAGCGATTCAACGAGATTGGACAAGTATTTACACTCACGTCATGGGATAGATAAAAATTTATTTGTGCCCATCTCCCCCAAGATCAATAGTGCGAAAAACAATTCCCCCATCTAACATATTTTATTGCTCATGTATTCTATAAAACAGAGCAAGTGAAGGTAGAATTAGAAAAATCGTAGGTCGTATACAATTACACTTGCTGCGGTCTGTTGCATGTTTCCCTTAGTCAGAAACTGTTCATCCTGAAAATTTATAACCCCCTTATAGTCGAAATGTGCTCACTCAAAAATTCGAAAACCCTTTAAAATATGCCCCTCTCAAAAACTTTGATTGCACAAGTTGCGCCATCAAACTTCCTGGGTACCTCTGGTGAGCTCATATTTAATATCATCAATAAAATCGTTCTATTTGTTTACAATGGGTCATCTTCAGAAAATTCGACACAACCCCGCTTTGAGGGAGTATTTGCACCTATGAGTTGAGGTTTCATTAAGTCATAAGAGGGTCTTTATAATGTAGGTTTTCATACGCTGTCTGGCATCATTTAGTAATGTGCTGCTAGAAACATTTAGCTGTGATTTAGACGGATTGAAATTCAAGGGACAATGAACAATTTAGGAGTTCATTCTGTAGTTGTAAGAAGAAAACATGCAAAGAATACAACCAGTTGTGGTTAACGACACACTTTTTATTAGTATGAACAGTGCCGGCCTCAGGGCAAGACCATCGATGTCCAACATGAGCCATAAGCTGAACTTTAGTGAGAAGGGAAAGATGGATACTCAACATCGTAAACTGTCGTTAATTCGCAGGATATTAGATATCCGCACTCCTACAGATCGACTAAACGCCCAACAACTAAGCTAAAATTTGTCCTTTATACCAGAAAATTTTCAGTCAGAATATTCTGACAAGAGCCTAAAGGCTATCAAATAACATGTACTTGGGAGACAGTCTTAAGAGGATTGGTAATTTCGTCTTTGTGTTGTTAAGAACGATGATTGCTGAAAGCGCACTCACTTTCGAAAATTTTATTAGCCTTTACATTAAAGGTAAGTATTACATTATGACAAACTTTTTGGTCATTTTTTCCTTTGATTTTCTGTACCAGTACCTTCTAACTTTGACTAGAAGTGGTTGAGAACTGGCATTTCCTATACCAGTTAGGTTATATGTACCAAAAAATATTCTTAAGAATTTTCAAACATGCTCCGAGAGTATATATTGTTGGAATGAATATTGGCATTCATCCTGAAAGTAATGTGGAACACATTCCATTTCAAAACGAACTTGAAATAACTATAGGTTTTCAGAAGTTTGTTCAAGTTATTTAGTTTCGTTTGTTGCCTCTTTCCTTGTTTCCTTTGTAACCGGTTCGAAGGTTCTCAAACGCTCCAGCTGTCAAGTGTTGTATTCCGGGAGCAAGATCTGTTTCCTTCTCCGCTTTATTAGTGGGCCTATTTCCAGTCAAACATAAATGTTCCTTAACTATGGCTGATGCAACTAAAGCTGAAAAATTAGCTGCAGCTAGAAAAAAAGTAGTCGCCTTTTTAAACTTTGATAATATGTTACAGTTTTTCTGTATGATTTATTAATTTTATTTTGGCTTTTCTTGTAGTTGAAACAGTTTCAGCAGAAAAATAAGGATGCCAATTCTACTGTTAAGTCTACGTCACCTAGTATAAAATCAAATTCCCCAGTAGATAACAGTTTTGTCCCCAAAGATCAGCCTCAAATTTCAGACAATGTAATCAGTGGAGAAGGATTGGTAGCTGATAACAGTACTGTCCAACAGCAGCCTACACCACCATTTCAAGTAGATTCTCCTAAACAAGAATTAACTCATCTTTTTAGCAATGATGCCAATAAAAATGAGAAATATGAAAGCTTTTTTGATAATGTATCATCCAAATTTAATGAAATCAAACAAATTAATCCGTTTGTTGAAAACAAAGTGGACTCTGGTCAGAGTCAAGAATTTCATGATCAATTAAGATATTCTAACGGAGACCAAAAACTAAATGAATTCAACAGTTTAATCAACTCTACTGCTAAAGATGAAAAACAACTTGTGAATCGTGTCGAAGAATTAGAACATCTGCTATCTTCAGAAAAAAGAGTGAATGTTGAATTTCAATCTAAGCTTGCTGAGAGTGTATGTTATATTTTTACACTTTTGTTTTATTATGTTAAATTTGAAAGAGGAATTATTTTACTGAAGGTTTTCTCAAATATATGTGATACTTAAGGATTCATTATTTCAGCATAATCACATTCTAACTCTTCAATATGAGATAAAAAGGTTGAACGAATTGCAAAATCAAAGAATCAGTGATGAAGTATCAGAGTTGGAAAAGAAAATTAAAGTTCATTTACAAACAATAGAAATTCTTGTTACAGAAAAAACTGAATTTCAAAAAGAGATAATGCTTCTGCAAGAAACTATTAGTACAAATAACAGTAAATTATTTTATTTAACAATTGATGCATCAAATCATATTGATTGAAACATAATTAATTTATTTATTCTGAATTTTAGGCAAGTGTGAAGAATTAGCAAGTCGTTTAAAGGCTTCTAGGTGTCAAGTTCAGAAGCTGGAAAAAGAATTATCAGATTTTTCATCAAACAGGACACTGCAGACTAATTCTTTAAAAACTCTAGAAGATAGCATTACCCAAAAGGATGTTTTAATTAATGATCTGACGTAAGTGTATTGTGGATTACTAACTTACTGACGGGCTCTACTGTCCGAGGTGGTCCTTAGCTTCCTTCACTATCTTTTTCCAATCCTCTCTATCCTTTATTCTTCCCCTCCAATTTACTATTCCCATCCTTTTTAAATCCTGTTCCACGTCACCTTTCCAACATTTCCTTGGTATTCCTCTTTTCAGTTTCCCAGGATATTCTTATTCGCTGCTTTTTCATCTGGCAGTCTTTCCACGTGTCCTAGCCAGCTAATTCTTCTGGCTTTAATAAAGTGTACAGTATCTCTGTGCTTCAACAGTTTATCCAGCTCCTGATTTGTCCTTATCCTCCATTCTCCTAGTATGCTTAGGGGACCATTTGTCTCATAATTTTTCTTTTGAATATCCTTAGTGCCTTCTGGGCCAGAAATTTTCAGCGTCCAGGCTTCGGCTCCATAACACACAACTGATCAAACCAAGGATTTGTAGACTTTAAGTTTTATGACTCTGGATAGGAGTGTCGATTTAAATAGCTTTAGCATTCAGAAGTACGCTCTATTGCCTGCCATGATTCTTCCTCTTATTTCTGGGCTAATCAAGTTTTTGCTATTGATTTGCGCTCTAAGATATGTGAAACTCTCCACTGCTTCAAAAATGTATTCCTGGAAAACAAAACCTTCTGGCTCCCATCTTGAATCCGAGGTCGACACTACCATGTACGTTGTTTTTGTGTCTTTGATTATCAATCCAACCTTCTTATGTTCTACAAATAATGTCAATTGAACCTCAAATATTATCGCTTTGCTTCTACCTAGACTTGCAATGTCCTCAGCATGTCCCAATATTTGTCTTGTTCGCCATGCTATATTATCACCTGGTGTGTTGTGGATTAGTTTAATATAAACATAAATAAATTAAGTGTCATATGATGTTATTAATTTAAAATTTATCAAGATTTAACTGTTATTCAATTAACAATACTGTTATATTACAGGAGTAATATATATCTACTTAATACTTGTTTTAGGGTCTTAAGTCAATATCTTATCATTGTTATCTGATTAAAGAACTAACTAGTCATCATTAAAGAAAAAGTGTAGATTTAAGATTTAATAAATGTCACTAGGCTTACGGGGTACATTGTCGATTGGCTGATTCTAGCTGATCGCAATAGTAATCAATCTGGTAGATGAAACAGAATGTTCCTCGTCGTTAACAAGGATTTTGCCAACCAAAGAATTGTCTGGATTGTCTTTTGGTGTATTCTGGAGGGTTTAATTGCTAATGAAGAATGGGAGAATATGGATGGAAAACCTGGACTGCAGAGTGTAATTTCAGAGAATATTGTGTTAATCAGAAAGGATAAGGAAAGATGGTTGAAAAGGAGGGATGGAAGGCGGAGACCGTTGATGCATGACATAGGAAAGCAGCTTGGGCAAGGAAAGACTCAAATGCAGCAGTTCAGTTCACTAGGGAGGAGGGTAGAGAATTTTTGGTCCCCTAAGCATACCAGGAGAATGGAGGATAAGGACAAATCAGGAGCTGGATGAACTCTGGAAGCACAAAGATATTGTACACTTTATTAAAGCCAGAAAAATTAGCTGGCTAGGACACGTGGAAAGACTGCCAGATGATAAAGCAGCGAATAAGATACTTATGGAGGAATTTCCTGGAAAACAGAAAAGAGGACGACCGAGAAAATGTTGGAAAGGTGATGTGGAAGAGGATTTAAAGAGGATGGGAATGGTAAACTGGAGGGCTGCTGACAACTCTCTTGCCTAGCGACGCTGGTTTGAATCTGGCTTGAAAAGGGCCTTTACTTTTATTTTGTGGCAGACCCACGGAATGAAACTCTACCCTCTCACTCTGGTTATAATAGGTTTGGTTGTATCTCTAGAATAACTCCCCTTAAACAGAAATGGTGGATAAGGTTTAATGCAATAATAAAAAAAGCTCTTCTGGAGTCGTAGATACCCTGCTCCAATCATTATTTATATAGGAATTCCGGAAGGTATCCTAAAGTATGCATCTTCTGATTCTAGAATCTTACAGAGAAATAGGTTGGCATCAAATCAGACGAGGGCTCTGCTTCATTTCACTGGCGCATATAGGTTAACTTCTGTCAAAGTGGTACATGTCCTATAAGCCGACTCGTATTGTCCATCCAGAAACAAGAATGATGCAATTATAAATGGTCCTACATGTATCACTCAGATAGACCTCATTTTAGCTCTGTTGACAAAATCAGAATAAACATTTCTTGGATTGAATCTCAGATATCTGGAAATATGTCAGTATAATCTATCAATTCAACAATGTTAACCTTTACGATACCTAATTGTACCAAGTCTGCTATACCATGCAAATTTCATCAGAATTGCATTAACTATTTTGTATTGATCCTAGATACTACCGTATACTCCAAAGTGAAGGATAATATTATAGAAATGTATTATGGATTTTGCGCCAGGAATAAACATATGTTTTATATTTCCTTCTGATAACGGACTCATGCAAATTACTTGATGATTATGTTTTTTTCTATATTAACAGAATTATTGTTAATATTTCCTCATTAAGTTGTTTAGTCATCAGTTGTGAATGTTTTATCTTTTATGATGTATCATCTTGACTATATGATCTATAGATATAGAGACAGGTATATCTATAAAAACAAATGGCATTCTAACGAAGGTAATCATGAAATTTATATAATTTATTGAAATTTGTTTTTTTAAATTTAATAATTCTATCTTTTAAATTTTACCATTAAAAAATTGATGAATCTTCAGGCAGAAGTTGACTGATGCACAAAATGAAATTAAGGAACTTAATAAGAGGGTTGATTTAGAAACTATGAACAGTTCTAGTTTAAAAAAAGATTTAATCGAAATGGAAAAACAATTATCAATGGCTCAGATTAAATTGACACAAGTGATTATTTTTTATTATTTTTGAATTTTATGTATATTAAAATCTTGTTTAAACAACTAATTGAATTGTGTACATTAGTTAGGCTCAGAGACTGGAAGTGATATTTTCAAGGAACACGAAAAACTAAAAAGCGAATTGGAAATTGCTCGGAAAGATGCCGAAAAGGCATGGGAAGAAGGAAAAAGGTGTGAAACCGAATTGAGGCAATATATAACCAATCTAAATACACAAGTTCTACAAGCTAATGCTAAGGTTGTAAATTATTGTTGACTTTATTTTGTTAAATTTAATATAATTTCTGTGGTTTAGAATATTGTCATATAAATTTTGACAACTTTACTAAAGTTTAAGTGATTAATAGTTGCTGATGACCTTCATCTTGTAAGTTATAGCACATTTGAAGCTCAAAGAGTCTTGAAAACATATTTGTGGTAGCCATTCCATCGGAAGTGAAGAAACTAATTTTTTTAAGAAACCAGTTTTGGTTTATTATTTTCAATAATCAAAATTGTAATCATACAAAAAAAAAAATTTTACTTAACACTGAAGTATAAGTGACTTAAGTTTATTAAAAATAAATATTACATTTTTAAATAGATCAGTTTTCCTTTGGAACCGTTAGTGATAGAATATATAGGGACAGTGTTGCCGAGTGTGCTAACAGGTGTGCAAAACATGCATTGCCCGACAACCTGATAATCAATGATATGATAACATGTTTTTTCCAGTGCTTTTTAACTCTGGCATCCATTCCTCATCCTCACCCCTGGGCCAGAAAAAAAAACCCTGTATAGCCTAAAAGGCGAGGAAGGAGAAGGCAAAAAAATAGAATGTATAATATACTAAATATCAGATATTTTTAATAGACTGTATACCGTTTCTGGGACCTCTGTCTGACTTAGAAAAATGGATATCCAGAAAGGCAGCACTTATATTAAAATGCCAAAAACTACTTTTAAGACAAAACAATTAAGATATTAATGGCAATATAACATTTAAAGTTATTCAAGGAATATATGATAAGGTTTATCTTAATTGCAGTGTGAAAGTGCTGAAAGAGATAAAGACAATATTTCTTCAAGAGCAGACATGTTAGTTCAGCACATCTCAGATCTTGAGAAACAGTTAAACCATGAAAGAAATTTGAGAGAGTCTATGAATGAAACCGAAGCCATTCAAAAATTAAAAGAAGGACTACAACAGAAGGATCAATCTTTAATTGAAAAGGTATGAATGAATAATTAGTTGAATACTTTTAGATTAATTAATATAATAATATTAATTTTTATGTGAGGAGTTGATCGGGAGAGGGGAGAGGGGTGGTGTCAAATAAATACTATAGATTAAAATAGTATTTTGTTGGTTACTCTGACATTTAGCCCACTTTGAAAGTCTTCATTAGGCCTACAAAAGATATAAAATATAAAAGATACAGTAAAAATAAAGTGAATGAATTATTAGTAGATAATAAATAAGAGACAATTGTCTGATAAAAAGACTAACTAAGAACAATTGTCTAATTAAAAGAACTAATAAAAAGACATCAGTGATACAATGGGTGAGAGTATACTCTTCTTATGATTTGTTTATCAAACAACTGTCTCTTATTTATTATCTACTAATAATTCATTCACTTCATTTTTACTGCAGCTTTTAAATTTTGTATCTTTTGTAGCCCTAATAAAGACCTTCAAAGTGGGTTTAAATGTCATCGTAACCAATAAAATACTATTTTAATGCATAGTATTCGTTTGACTGTACCCCCCGACTAACTCCTCATATTATAATCACGATCAACCATGTACACCATTAATTTTTATGGTTTACTATTGTTAATATTCCTACTATACATGTAATTGAAATGGTATTTTTATACAAGTGTAAGCAAAAAATATGAGGTTGATACAAACTTCTACTTCTATTTTATATGTCCAAACATCAGTTGAAGTAAGTAACTTGGAGAGCCACACTGTTTAAAATTCCCTAGTTTAATATAATAATAGTTAAATTTAGATATCCATGCTCATTATTATTTTTTTATTATTATTTGAATGATATTCAGTCAGAGGTCACCCAAAATTCATTTCCTTTAATATCCTTTTATTATCGCTGATATTAGTCAATAGAGCATTAAAATATTCAAATTTTACACATCATTTGGTAACTTGATGTATGTACATTGTTATGTCTCTTATATTTTTAACGAATAATATAACTTCGGAAGATCACTTCAAACTATTGGGATACTTCCTAAAGAAATAAGAGGTTGTTAAATAAAAACAAAAATATAAGAATATTGATATATTAAACTAAACTTTATAATTATTTTATCTCAGGTATGGGTTTCTGACACTCAGATCAAAAGACTCGTTCAAACTAGAATTATTTACACTAAACTCTATTTGATTTTGAAATTAAGTCAAGTGTGAATTGGAAAGCTAATCTTAAGCTAATGGTAACACTTTCATCAACTCCTCTCAAGGTCCCTGAGAGATCCTCTCTCTTGTAATTCCAAATCACTAGCAGCTCACCCAAACAACAACTTTTATTTATTTTATTGGATAACCCGCTATCCACCATTCCTGGCATACGGGAGAGAGGGAAGGGCGGCTAAAGTATACACATGAGGTTCCCAAACGATGAGTAAGAACTGAAATACTTTAATGTTATATTGACTAATTATAATTTTTGGTTTATTATTTTCAATAATGAGCCATTGTAAATGTCCAAAAACTTAACCCCTCTTAAAATTTGAGGTTTTATGTTTCAGGATACATAGAACTCGAAAATTGAATAAAAAAAGTTTTTCTCCGTCGTCCAGGCATTTTCTCTGAGACAACTGGACCGATTTTTTTCAAATTGGGAAATAAATTCAGAGGACCCCTGAGGATGACCCTCCTACCTCAACATTACTTTAACATTATTTTAAAAATTTACTACATTTCCTAAGAAACAAAAAAAAATTGTTGAATTCGGCCAATTTGGTGCAAAGATATGGTTTTAAAAATATTTTTCATATGTTCTACTGCAAAGCTTATTTCCTTTGTTTTGGTTTTTAATATTGTGAAAGTGTTAGGTCAATTGAAGCAATGTGTTTTATTTTTCTTAGAAATTTCTAATGATGAAATAAAAAATTATGTAGTGTAGTATTAGGAATCACCTTTTATTATATTTTCCTTATGTTACAAGGAATGTAATGTTCCTTTTGATTTATAAATGTTTGGAAATAATAAACCATTGTGTAATAATTTGCAGCGTTTTATGGTTTATAATAGAAAATGGCTCATAAAACCGAAACATCAGCACTAATAAAAGGATATTAATAGAAATGAATTGTAGGTGTTCTTTTGCTATAAATATCATTCAAATATTAAATGATAATATGGCACTAAACATAATAAATATGACTAGAAAATCGCTTATTTTTTTCTATTTGTTGTAAAGATATTAGTTGTCTGAACTTATACTTATATTACTTTTTAAAACTAACTATTAACTACTACTATAAAAAAAAGTTATAATTATAATAAGTAAACGATATATTAAATAATTGGTAATTGGTTGACTGTCGTGGATAATGAAGAGAAGAATAGTTGGGGTGGTCAGTCAAAAAGGAAGGCAAAAATAAATGTTAATATTTATTTTTTACATATGCCGACGTTTCGACCTGAAGTTCAGGCCTTCATCAGGGCTAAGAAAATAACCAGATAACAAGGTATGAGAAACATAAGTAATGATGGTAAAAAAGATAATAAAAAATAAAAAAATTAGAAAAAATAAAATAGATAAATATAAAGTAAAATGAAATTGTTAGAACAATGACTAAGAGCTAAGAGATAAATAATAAAAACTGTTGCAAAGTGTGGAATGATGAAGTAGGCATAATCAAAAAGGGTGACAAAAGTGTTACAATGCGAATCTTAGAATAAAATGTAAAACATAAAAAAGAAATATGAAGTTATATAAGTAATGAAAATAAATAGTAAAATTAAAAACTTTCAAACTTCGTCGGATAACCGTTAGAGATGACGCCACCTACACATCTCTTCTCTCTCCCCCTCCCTTGTAACGACTTTTATTCTCCCTGCGACGCTTAAGGAGACAGGTAGTACTTCTTTTATTTCTTTCTTATTTCAGCTTTCTCAATTTCTTCCCTCCTTCCTTTCATTCCTTTTCTCTGTTTTTAACTCTGTATTATATTATACATTGTCTGTACATCTTGATAGACTATACAATATCTCAATTTTCTATCTAACTACTCCATTCTCAATGTTTTAATTTTACTATTTATTTTCATTACTTATATAACTTCATATTTCTTTTTTATGTTTTACATTTTATTCTAAGATTCGCATTGTAACACTTTTGTCACCCTTTTTGATTATGCCTACTTCATTATTCCACACTTTGTAACGGTTTTTATTATTTATCTCTTAGCTCTTAGTCATTATTCTAACAATTTCATTTTACTTTATATTTATCTATTTTATCTATTTTATTTTTTCTAATTTTTTTATTTTTTATCTTTTTTACCATCATTACTTATGTTTCTCATACCTTGTTATCTGGTTATTTTCTTAGCCCTGATGAAGGCCTGAACTTCAGGTCGAAACGTCGGCATATGTAAAAAATAAATATTAACATTTATTTTTGCCTTCCTTTTTGACTGACCACCCCAACTATTCTTCTCTTCGATATATTAAATAATTTATTGAGAAAAATAAGAGGCTTAACTCACACTACTTCAAATATCGACCACTTTAAAACGTAAAATCTATCTGGTCTATTTATCTACCTTCCATCATCTTGAGTAACGTCTGACTCAACTTAATATCTTTAAATAACGTAAACACAGCTTCTATTTATTTTAAAAACCGAGGGAGTGTGGGTTTATTAAAATGGTTCATAAATTGACTAGTGCACCAAAGAATTAAATAAAACTTATAACTTTTTTTTTTAATTCTATTAATATCTGTTGTATGATTAATATGAACCTTTTCTTTGACAGGAAAATGAACTTAAACAAGTTTTAGAAGAATTAGAGAAAATAAAAGAAAAATTAAGCGAAGCTGTAATTTGGAAAGAAAACGTACCAGACATGGGACTTCTTCAACAAGCGATGGAAAGTGACAGAGTTGCAGCAGCTAGGGCGATAGAGCAAAATAATGCGCTCAAGCAAAAACTACAAGAACTAGAAGAATACATAATCAAAATAGTATGTAATATTTCTTTTTTTTTATTGGATTAAATAAAGTATTAATTGGATTCAAAGATATATGCTGTAGGTTAGGAACCTTGTTATCATTCGGGCCCACATTAAGGTTAGGCAGTGGTCATCGAGGCACCTCTAGTTTTTTCTTTCACTTACCTATCCACACATATATTATTACAGTAAGGCTCGAAATCGGTTTTATACCAAATATAAGCTCCTGTCATGCTCAAATACTCTGAATGATGTACTGTTGGATTCAGAATTTCACGGAGGGTTAGCGAATCATATTCTCCACTTTTGTTTTTCTTTCTAAAATAAAGTCGATACAAACATTTTGCTAGGCTTCAATACTGGAACGGTGGTAGGTCTGTAGATCGATACGGGACAAATTGGATCTTGAAGATTTTGATGCGTACAGCAAGACCCGGATCCTGCGTTTTTAAGCCCAAAAACGTACTATTTTTGAAATAACGCAAGACATAGCGTTCGCATCCACACAACCTTACATTAATTGTAGTACTGTCATTGAATACATGTCTCATTTCGTCGACTTGAGGTCTCTATGATCGAGAGAGGAGTTTATATTATTTATCAATGGTGTTTTTGATCGGCAAGCCATATCATCGTTAATTTATCACCAAATCTCAAGATTGAGCCACCTATTTCGAAGGCTTCCTTCTCCTTCAGGCGGGCCAATCACCCCGAAAATTCAGGCAAACAAGTTATGAAAGAAACTATTATGAATAACTAAAAAATTACACACTTTTCCCTTGGTTGGGCCCATGATTGTATAAAAGATTTCTAAATTCCCTACAAAAGGAAAAAAAAATCATCGAAATCGGACAATTTTTAGCAAAGATACAGCTTACTGAAATTTGTAAACATGTTAGTTCCAAATATAGTATATGTAATATATAGTAAGGGTAAGTATTGCAATCGTGAAAATTTTTGAATCTGAGTTTTCTATGGAAATACACGTTTTGAAGTCCAAATAACCAAGTCCCGCAAAATGGTCTGTGTGTGTGTATGTATGTGAACAGTCTAGCTCAAAAACAAAGAGCTGTACGAAACTGACATTGCATATTTGAGGTTTTTTTAATCCTTGGATGTTACAGCAACATTTTTGTCAAAATCGGCAAACTGGAAGTGGTACTTAATATAATCAATTTAACATATTTTTATGATTTTCTCGAAAATGGCTCTAATGATTTTGATTAAACTCAGTATATCAGTGTATTATTAAGCAGTTTTTAATATATTGTAGGTTTTATTCTCATTGATGTTCTTTAACAGGACTTAAATGGCTAATTTTCAATATAAGCTTCCTCTAAAGTACCTTCAATTTTTTTTTATTTGAAATAATTAACCATTTCACATTAATTTTTGGTACAGAAAATAGTTAAATATAAAATATGAAAGAATTTGATAATTAACTAAAGGAGATATAAGATCGTAATGGGTAATAGCTATAATGATGTAGAGATAGTTGACCGTTGATATAATATGAGGAGTTGACCGCACCCCCCCATCAACTCCTTCTCAGATAATAGTTATAATGGAAGAACCAAAGGAAAATGAGCCCGAATACCCAAGCTCACTCGAAAGAGTACTACAGGCTTCAATAAGTAACATGAGCTTTATATAATACAAACTCCGACAATATTATGTACATATACATATGCCGTTTTCATAAATTATATCGTTTGTATTATTTAATATTTAATTGTATAGAATTCAGCGATATAAAAATTAAAATTTGTCTATATAAGGATATTTAAACAAATAAAAATACCCACAATGAAATATAAATAAATATAGCGTATGTAATTTTCACTTTCACTTTCCCCTTTGTTTGAAAATACTTAATTAAGGCACTGACTTCCTATATTCAAGGTCCCGGGTTCGAGTGTTACTCTGGCAGATTATCATTAATTCTGTTACATTAGCTGTGGAGCAACCCTGGGATCAGGAGATCCTTCTAAAGCACGCACAGTCTCTATGAATTGCATACTATTAATTAAATAATTAATTAACAGGTAAAACTTGGCGGTTGATCATGATCAGAGCACAATCACCTCTCTGCCTCCCTTACAAAGTGCTGAACTCTTCATGGCTTTACTTATTAGGATCTGATTATCTTTGTTGAAATTTCACTGTTTTTTTAAATTATTTGTCTTTTGTTCCCATATATATCATGCTTTTTGCGTTTTCTACTTTTAGAATAACAGTAAATTGGAATTGACAGAAGAGTTGGACAAGCAAAAACATATGGCCGGGGAATTTAGATTGCAATTAGAGAAGCACAAAACTAGACAGGTAATTTTTTTTTTTTATTATAACTCTTTTAATATTGGTTTATGAAGCAAAGTTAAACTTATTTATTTTGTCCTTATTTTAATTTTGGTAAAAACTTATATCTAACAATTGAAGAGGACTAGAATAATTACAAGATGTTTAAAAACTTGGATTTTTTTTTTTTTATTATGAAAATAAAAAGTACTAATTCAAGAGACTTATATAATTTGATATTTTCATTCAAAAATAAAATTTTATTATTTTAATAAAATTAATAATATTATTTGTAAATATGACTTGGCAGGAAACGAGAATGGTTGATTCAGTTACTCAAACCGGTTTAGTTAAGAAATCAGATTCTGTTTCTCAAACTACCTACCATGATTTTATCGCAGACTCTCAACCTCATGAACCAGGTATTTATTATAAAATACTGATATATATTTCAATGATTATTAGTGTAATTTTTTTTCCCTCTTAGAAATAGTTATGTTTATAAAAAATATATGTATCCGTAGTTCAAAAGTTTTTTTTGTTTTTCTCCCCGGGCATTTGTGGATTAGGGGCGGGAGAGAGGAAAAAGGAGAGGGAGTTAAATACCCTACATACAGCATAGGCTATAATTTGGGTTATCTTTGTAAATTTTTCCCTTCCTGGTAAATATGATATTTTTGATCAAATCATAGTTTTTTATTATTAATCTGCTCTGTAATTGGACTTAATAATTTATTAATACTCAAAAATTTTGTTTTTATTTTTTCACTAGTCAATTATATTCTCACTTAGGACTCTTTCTTTCAAAATTCTTACTTTTCGTTTTGGTGTAATGTATCAGATGTTTCAACTTTTATTCTATCCTATTCAGTTTGCTTGACAACTCGATATTGAGTCTTGGCCTCCTGTACCAGCCTCCACCAATTGTTCCTAACCTGTGCAGCCGCCATCCAGCTCCTCACTCTCAACATGGACCTGGCATCATTAGCCACACTGTCACTCCACTGAAGTCGAGGTCTTCCTCTACGCCTTGTTCCATGGATTACTTCTGTAATGATTTTTTTCGGGATGTCATTCTCAGCCATTCGAGCGACATGCCCAGACCATCTCAATCTATTGAGCTTCATGAAATGAACCACGTCTGGTTCTTTAAACAAATCTTTGAGCTTCTGGTTTGTCCGACGTCTCCACAACTGGTCAATTTCCACAGCTCCAAAGATTCTAGGCAAACTCTTCCTTTCAAAGACCATTAGATTCCGCTTGTCAGTCTTGGAGATAGTCCATGTTTCTGAGCCATAAAGGAGTATCGGTCAGATAATTGTTTTATAAAATAGGATTTTTGTTCCTTTGGTTAAAGCACAGCTTCTAAAATATGGACTGAGGCCATAATAACAACGATTGGCACATAGTACTCTTTGTATTATTTCAGAATCCACAACATTCTCATGAGTTATGATGGATCCGAGATAAATAAATTCTGACACTTTTTCAATGGAGAATTTTCCGATGGTAATGCTTTCACCTGGTCTGGGATTTTCCTCAGTGACCATATATTTGGTTTTTGCAATATTGACTTTAAGGGCCATTTTTCTTGCTGCTTTCAAGAATCCATCAGCGACTGCCTGGAAATAGCATCCAGCAATGTCGATATCATCTGCATAAACAAGAAGTTGCACTGTCCGGCTGAATACTGTTCCGCCCACTTGAATACCAGAATCTCTAATGGACTTCCCTAAAGCTAAATCAAAGACTAAATCAAACATGCCAACGCATCTCCTTGCCTTAGTCCTTTTCCAGAAGTGAATTCTGCCGATCTTGCTCCTCCTACCTGCACTATGCATCTCATTTATTTCAACTTTTGTTAATGTTAAAAATATTTCAGTTTCTGTGGAGACAATGGTAATGATTGAAAATAAACTGAAAAAGACAATGGACAAAATAGCTGAGCTTTCCGATGAAAAACAACGCCTTGAACATCTTGTTCTACAACTGCAAAGTGAAACAGAAACTATTGGTAAGTATCGTGTTTGTACTATTATTTTTCTTTTTCCCATACTTTCCAATCAGTACTTTAGATTTGGATGATAAAAGCTGTTATGAGTATTGATCCATTGGTGCATATAGCTACTTCGTTTATTAATATATTATTATATATTATTATTTATTAATATTATTTATTACATATTTCGATTATTTCCTTCTTTTTTTTTTAACAGGGGAATATGTCACATTATATCAAAATCAGAGATCTCTATTGAAAGAGAAGGCAGAAGAGAGAGAAAGACAAATGACATTGATAGCGAAAGAAAGAGAAGAGCTGAAAACAAAACTTGATCAAATCAATACGTTGTTGGCCCGTTTTCCACACAATCCTGGTAATTTATATTCTTTTTAATTCTATGTTCAGTATTATTTACTAATGTAGCATTTAAATTCTTGATATTTAAAGCTGGCTCTAGTTCAATACTATTATACATCGCACAATATAATGAATCAATTAAAAAAATATTTTTTATTTAATGTGATAAATATTTAATTATTTGTTGGTAATATTGTTAATTGGTAATTGGTTGACTGTCGTGGATAATGAAGAGATCATTTATTTTTGCCTTCCTTTTTGACTGACCACCCCAACTATTCTTCTCTTCATTGGTAATATTGATTCAGTCTGAGATTAAAATAATTAAACTACAAGCTGAAAGTGTCTAGTTCTCATGCATGCACAAAATTTTACACAAAAACTAGTCTCCTTCGATAATGAATTTGTATCAATTTGTGAGATGGCCCATATATTCTTAAGGCCGTTTTACATAGTCCAGTTTTTTTCCTCTAGCTTTGTCCTAGAAGGTGTTGTGAAGTACTTTGGGTTTTAACCTTTAGGGTATTTTATAGAGCCTTTATAATTTTTAAGTTTTTTAAACAAAGTTGGGATTTCAGTTAACATATTTTTCTGCTGGGTGTGCCTAACCGTAGTAAAGTAAGCTTACGTTGCAACTTTACTTTGATTATTTTTTGTTTATCCCTGTTATAAAATTAAGAAATTAATTCCATATCCATTAGTTCAACTCCATAAATGGGCTGTAAGTAATTAGAAATACTTAAAGAAATGATAGTAAATCTCAAGAGCTACAAAACATTTTATTTATACAAGCAATGTAATATCGTACTGAGATGGTCTATTCCTTATCACTTCAATCAATTTTAAAACTTGATCATGAGTTCATTCCGACATTTTATTACTTTCACTTCCCTATATATGAAATATATAGTAAGTGCAAGTATTGCGATCGTGAACATTTTTCGAATTTGAGTTTTCAACGGAAATACATGTTTTGAGGTCTCTTGAGTCCAAATAACCAAGTCCCGCAAAATGGTCTGTGTGTGTGTGCGCGTGTCTGTATGTATGTGACAGGTATAGCTTAAAAATGAAAAGTCGTATGAAAATGAAATTGCATATTTAAGGTTTTTATATGCTAATGATGTTACAGCAACTTTCTCGTCAAAATCAGCTAACCGAAAGTGGCACTTTATATCATTGATAAAACACATTTATACTATTTTCTCGAAAACTGCTCCAACGATTTTGATTAAATTCATTATATCAGTGTAAAATTAAGCAATTTTAAATAAAATGTAGTTTCTATTCTAATTTATCTTTTCTAACAGGGCTTAAATGGCTAATTTTCAATATTAGCTTCCTCTAAAGTACCTTAAATTTTTTTTATTTGAAACAATTATCCATTTCACAATTATCTATAATATAAAAAAATAATTAAATATAAAATATGGAAGAATTTGATAATTAACTAAAGGAAAAATATGGAATAAGGAATAATACGGGTTCCGACAATATTATGTACATATACATATGCAGTTTTTCTGAATGCTTCCTTTGGTATTATTTAATATTTAAATGTATTGATTATAGTGATATAAATATTAAAATTTGTATATATATAAAGGGTACTTAAACAAATAAAAATATCCCAATGAAATATAAATCAATATAGTGTTTATAAATTTTACTTTAAGTTCCCCTTTGTCTGAAAATACTTATTTCTGCTAAGAAGAGGGTGGTAAATGAAAGTTGTTTGACATTATTAAGTATTCCAAAAGTCATGGACTGTATCCTTGTTAATAATTGTCCGATTTTTACGATTTTTTTGTTTGTTTTGAAGGTAATTTTTCTAATTATTATGAGGACAGTCCAGAAACAAATGTATACTTTTTGAGTTATTCGCAAATAAACTTTTCATTCAAAACTTTTTCCAGAAATTTTGGGGGGATAGGACTACTTTTCACATGTGAAGGAGAAGAATATCTTCAAAATGAGTGGCCAATCATTGGATTTGATGAAGAATTGATGAAGTTATGGCATACTGACAAAAATACCCCTTTTAAAAATAATATATAGGATTATCAAAATCTATTTCGTGTTTATGATGTTTTGCATGGTTAGATAAGGCAGTGGTTGTATTACTAATTAAATGTATTACTGTTTCAGATGTGGAAGATACTACCTGCAAAATCAGCAGTTTGCTCGGAGAAATTCAAAGCAGCAGCATTGTACAAGAACCATCAGGAGCTCCACCGACTTTTCATCCTTGCTTGTTATGTTCAGGAAAACTGATTAATGTTTAGAACTATATTTAATCAATAATTGTATATTATTTAGTTAGCTTTTGCAATACCATTTATAAATATTTTAGATTTTAAAAAGTAAATGAAAAAATATTTTATGTATATAATCAAGGTATATGATTGTATATACTTGACAAATTGTATATTTATATACTATAATGATTTAAAAAGTTAAATTTTATAATTTTAATCTGCTTAAAAAAAATAATAAAGTGTTGATAAATAAAATGTTTATTTTTTCTTAATAAATAAATTTTTAAAATATCTGAAAGATTTTTTTTTTTTGGGGTTAAAATCTATTACATAAAATATATTGGAGTATTTTCTAAAAAATTAAATTAATTTCTCTGTATATTAAACAAGATAAAGAAAGAAGAAAATTAACTTTGTTATTTTGACTCAGTTAATGTATAGCCAGAATTGGATACTTGCACGAATTTTTCTGATGCATGTTTGAAAAAGATAATTAGTATTAAATGAAATAAAAGTGGTGGGGACAGAGCTATGTCATGATGGTGGAGACTCGGCTACGTCATGACTTGTTTTTCCAGCTTCAAAACCTCCATCTTTTATAGTCATGGTAAAAGGCAATGAGTCTGAAGTATTTTTCTAGATAGAGGAATCTAGATGGGAAAAGGATGGACAGATACAGCAAGAGTAACTGTATACAACGTTCCTCAGAAAGAGTTTCATGACGCAGGTTGCACCATCAAAATTTTTGAAGGGAGCATGGTTTGACGAGATTTAGAATTTTTAGGAGAGCACATTTAGACAGGGTTAATTTTCAGAATAAAAGGTTTTAATCTAGAGGATGAGGGAAAAACTGGGACAGAACGCAGCAAGTGCAATTGTACATGAGAAATGAATTTTTTTTTAAATTCTACTTTTGCTTGGACTGTTCTTAAGAAGAGGATAGCAATAGAATATCTTGGAAGAGAGGGAAAGAGAGGTTCATGTGCCATACACTGTGTGGAGAATAGGCACTTCTGATTGCATATGATCTGCAATTTTTTCAATTTTACTTTCATTTGCATTGCTATTGGCCGATTGTGTTAAAGCATAAACTTTAACATTCTGGAGTCTAACGACGTCGGTTCGAATACAGTCTGAAAATTTATTTTGTGGTGGACCCACGGAATGAATCTCAACCTTCCCACTCTGGTAAATAAATGGCGAGTTAGGGGTATTGACAAAAAAAGCATTGTATTTAAGAAGAGAGTGATAAAATGAGCATTGCACACCAACAGTGAATATTTTTTATGTACAAAAGGGTTTGTGTCAGTTTGATACACTAATTGGGTTTATATGTCAATAAATAAGGTAGAAAAATTCCTTTAGAATAATAAACAAGAACAGAAATGTTTACTTTTGGGCCTCAGAAATATACAAGTGTATTTAAAATTTAAATAGATAAATATAATAGAAAAAAGATATTGGAGCGATGGATGAAGGAAGGAATGGAGTTCCATAGGATTGAGGATAGAATAATGAAAGATCGGTGCAAAGGTCAAATATTGGGATGAAGGTCATAAAATAAAGTTCGACGGGAAGATTAAATGGAGATGCTATCATAGTTGTAATAAAACCGTTTCAATACAATAAATATGAATGCGAAGATATAATAATATGAATATAATACAATAAAAATTAATACGAAGAGCTTATCAGTGTTAAGGTTATAAACATTGGCAGATAACAGTCGGACGCTACCCGCTACTAAATAAGTACCAAGTTTCCTCTCGAAATCCTCAGGGACGCCTCTATATACCGTGCTGCAATAGTTAAAGTGGGAAAATATTAAAGATGTGACTAAGAGTCTACGGATTTCAAAAGGTATATAGACCTGTAGATCGAATTGAAGTATTGCATAATACACAATGTCAATTTAAAATGCGTGATTTTGATTGAACCTGGTAGTAAATAATCAATATTTACTAAATATTGCTTAATCTGAGTGAGGGGAGGGAAAAAAGTTTGAATGCCATACACCAAGTGTGTTGGTGATAATTTTATAACCTGTAATATAATATAATAATAATAGAAGGTTTGCTTAATTCTTATGGGTTATTTATTAATTAAATGAATATTGGCCAGTGCAACTGGGCCCCTTCATAAAATATTGGGACACAGAAAGTATCCCCCCCCTGGTAGAGACGGCGCCTAAAGTATTGATTCAGTTATGTCTTCCCGATTGTATTGAAAATATCGTGTAGTCTAAGATGGCTACGCAAGGCAAAGACGACAAAAACATTATTTTAGAAATATAAGAAATTATATTAGCTTTGTAGAACTTAAGAAGTATCAGTTTATAAAATTGTAAATATGTAATAAACATTCTGAAAATTTACTGAGTATTTACAGATATAGAGAAAATATCCAGATACAGACGTCATATTTATTTAAAAAGTTGAAATCATTGCGCACAAACAAGAGAATTGAAGTGATAAAGGATGTTAAAAAGATTTTTAAAAAACTGATTGAAGTTTATAGATTATGCAATATATTATATATACTACACTAGTAATTTTCATACACTTCAAAAATATTCTCAGTAGCTAAATACCGTAGTTTTATACTTGAATGCTGACAGGGAGAAATAACAATGTGGTATCTCTTCCTGAATTCCAGGTAAAACCATTTTTCAAGAGTTCATGACATAACAATCTTTCTAAAAGTACTTGTTTCTCTTATCTTTGTTACCACTTATTTCATTTAAATCAGTTGACTCTTTTTTTTTTTTTTTTTTTTTTTTTTTTTTACCCATTTCTTTAAACACCTACACTTATTTTTCTCTTTTTTTAAGAGGGAAATGCTTAATGAGAGATCTTCGAAGAGAGAGAGAGTGTGTAACATGGGTGGACTATCCAGAAGAGATTGTTAATACAAGAGGTATTGCGACATTACCAATGGGAATAAAGTCAAAGACGGCATATGGAATATGGAAGCGATCACAGGATGCAGTAGGAATGGGATTTCGTGCTCAGATTTCAACTCCTGAAATGATCCCATGGTCTGTGGATTTATACAAACAAACATGAAAAAATTCGTGAATTTATTGTGAGAAACCAGTTAGTGATAATGAACGACACACGTTCATTCTCAGCGCCGATGAGTCATAGATTGATGTACATATGTAACGCTGATGCCTTCCGAGCCTGAAACCTAAACCTCTCGCACCAACAGAAGAGTAGGCTAGTATCGATTCAGAGATTGGTTTTACTTCGGGTCAATAGAGCCTATAGAACGGTATCTCATGCGCAGTGCAAGTACTGGCAGGAGGACACCTCTCGATATCCTCCTGCGAGAAGACTATTACCGCTTTAAAATAAAAAGAGAAGATTCGGCGGATATACCGGAACGTCTAAAGATGAGAATTGATGAAGACCCAAGAAGATGGAAAAGAATAATCAAGGAGGACACAGTTGATCAATGGAACCAGCGATGGATGGCAACTCTGAAAGGGGCTACACTTAAAGTACTTCCCCACGGTCAAGTCGCGATTAGATGAAAGATGGATCCTCCCGGATTACTGGGTGTCTCAAGTCCTCAAGGGACATGAGGGCTTTCGAGCGAAGCACGTTAAACACGCGAAGAATATTGATCCGCTATGTCCCGTGGACGCAACCTGATCTATGAGAGATTTAGAGTACTGTGTGTGTGTCAATGTATGTGTAGGTTCCCCCAACCTGGAGGGCCAGTGGCTGACTGCAGTCTAACGAATGGGCGATGGGCTGGTTAGGGGTTAGGGGTAGGTACCCGGGAAAACTCCGTATAGCCTTAAAAGGAGAGGAAGGGGAGACCCCCCCCAAAAAAAGATCTGCTATGCCCCAACGTTCCGGAGACCGCCGAACATGTGGTCGTCGAATGCACTTCCTATGAGGCGCTAAAAGCTAAGCTCCTGAGAGAGACGGGGATATATACGCTGACAGAGAGCATGTTCCCTCCGCTAATGAGCAGAGAGAATTCCCACATTATAGGGAATTCATGTATGGGTGGAACGATGCTGTAGGTCCTACAAATTTTAATCTGGAAAGAAGAGAAGGAAGTGCATACAAGCTGCAGCTTCTTCGAGGACCAGCTTCAGGTGGAAGAAGGAGAAAGAATTGAGAAAAGGAAATGCGTGGGCTTGTGCACACAAACTACATCTCATAAATAATAATGCTAAACAAAATTTTAATTAAATAGACCTATACTGCCAGCTGTGGCATACTGCGTCCCATATCGTAATATCCCACTGCTGCTACAACCCATATTGCCAGTAAGGCAAGGCAGGGAGGAAAAAAACAAAACACCAACGCTGGTAGATCTTTAATTTGAGGAGATCCTTAGATATGAAACAGATACCGACAACAATGCTCTAGTACAGAATGCAAGCTATCCCTAGGCGTTGATAAAAGCTACAACACCCATTTTACAGACTGGAGCACGCTCTGTTATATTTTGGAGGAAAAGCATCATTGAAAGAAGCTGAGACGAATTGGATGGATGATCTGCACTACAGGGTTGTTGTTAGTTGGAATTTAAAGGCGTAAAAATTAGAGGTCATCAACGCCTGTGTTTAGCACTACAGAGTGTTTGGGATCGCTAAAGTCATTTGTGATGCTGCAGAAAATTCCTCTCATCCTAAAAAGATTAGAACTCTACAAGGATAACATCACATATATCATATAATAATTATATAATGTCTTTACATTATATTTTTGTTTCATCGAATATAAATTATGAGATTGAGATACAGTGGTAAAGTTAATATTAGAAGAGGCAACATTACGTTTATACACTTGGGACAGACTTATTACCAACCATAGAGCTTCCATGATCTCTTTCGTGCCGTCGATAGGCAAAGGATCGGTCGTACTTTAGGACTAGGTATTGATGCGATTCTGAAGAACATTGTTCCTCATCTGAAACTCGGAAGAGTGAGTGGAAGATCGTCGATGTTAGAGTGCTCCAAAGGGGAGGAGGAGTAAAAGAAATGATAAGGATGAAAAGCACTCGCTAAATCACACAAAACAAACTGTCTCCTCCTTGCAAGAAAACAAATAACTACAGTACCTCATTCTGGCCGTTTTTGGCAGCACACTTTGCTTAGATATACTCTGAGATTTTCCTTGTAATCATTTCGAAGCTCAGAAAAAATCAAATATCGATAACATTTCGTATGTTATATAACTAGGTAATATTTGCCATAGCATTTTCGTTGCATATATGATAAGTAATAAAGTTGGTTTTTAGCAGTAATTAATAAACGTTAAAAGTGATTGACAGTAACTTAAGTGGTAGAATTTTAAGGCATTAGATTATTTAGACCCCAAAAGGACTTGATTCCCATAAAGCTATCTGTTAACTTTCTGAGTCATGTTAAAATGAAGAAAACAAATGTCTTGCCACCAGTAATTAGTCCGTTATAAAAGAATTTTCTTGCAGCGATTGTCTTAGAGCTCTTATTCTTTGGTAGCCCTAATCATTACCCAGTATCAAAACATTACGTGGTTTCTTAAGGATAATCAAATGCAGACTGAAATAGTGCATTAGATAGTTGCTGGGTAATGGACCAATGCTAAGAAGCCTCTCATATACAGCGGAACAGTCTTAATTATCGACATCTCTCCCGTGTGTTCTGCAAACCTGTTTTTTTGTCTTGTAGACCAGTGTTTTCCTAGAATAGAGTGCTACAATATGTGGGTCATAGCCACTCATTGTTAATGTGCTATTTGTAAAATGCCTTGGGAACTAATTCTCTATTGTTTTCCAAATGGGAAAATTTTAATTTTTATAATCATAGCCGTTGTACAATATTCCTTAAAAAAACCGTTGTAGCCAAATACTCTCAGCGAATACTGTTGAAGTAGAGAACTCGTAATGATATCATTTACATGACTACTATTTTATAAATTGGGAACGAATAAAATGTATTTAATATTTTTATAATTTATTTACTTTTGAATATAAAACCCATACGCTTGATAAGTTCAACGTGTCTTAAAACTAGTAAATTTTAGGGTGTTTTGACATAGATTGTTTTAAATTTATGAATGTTTTGATTGTTAAATCTATCATTTTAATAGAACAAAGAAAAGGAATATAAAAATAGAAAAAAATATCTATTTAATTTAAATTTTATATTGGTTAGTTATTATCATTAAGATATCAATCCCTTTATATTTGGGTAGAATAGTGAAATAAGAAAAAAAATTTCCACAATGTATATATATTATTCGTTGTAAATCTAGATGTGAATTAGGGTCTAATAAAAAAAAAAAAAGAAAGGAATCCAATTACATTTCTTTGATAAATTTGATTTTTTTATCTTACTAGCTACACTGTTTGAAACCTCTAGTCAGAACATAATAAAGTATTAGTAGCCATGATGGATGGCGGAGTTAGATGGAGTGAATTTATTAATATTTATTTAGTTTTTTTTTATTTATTTATTTTATTTAGTGTCAATATGTAGTGAATAACTTATAAAACTAAAGTGTGGAACTGATGAACCTGCAACTATTTTACTTTCCTCTAGACTTCTGTCACTGTGCTCAGTTTTATCATTTATATATTTTTAAAATACTATGTTTTTAAATTTTCTATTTAATATAGAAAACTTAGTGGTTTATAGTTAGTTTTTAAACTATTACATCTTGCGGTTCAAGAGAGTTTGTAATGGATCTTCCAAGAAAATTATATTAGCTACATTTTAACTTCACATAATTTAACACCATGGAAAATATAAGAGACGAAGATAGAAAACGCCGTTTACGGCTGTTAGAAGATAAAATACAGGATCCTAGAAGTGTTGCTAATGTGGACTGTTTATTGGTATATATTTTTGTGTTTGCCTATTTCTGTATCTCATTAATAAAATTGATTCTTACATAAAATTTTCGGTATTTAAGGATACTGTGCAGGCTTTGGTTGCTGATTGTGATCATCCCTCCATCAAAAGAATGAAAAATATCGATGCTTATATGGAAAGATGTAGGTATTGTAATATAAAGTTTATTGTGGTTAATATTTGATCACATATTTAGCAGTTTAATTAGTACTAAATATCTTATTCTCCTTAAGGTTCTACAAAGATAGGTTATTATCAATTATCAAAACTTGCCCAATACAATAATAAATATTGTTGATAATGAGTGTGTAATGCCATTTTTTTTAAAGAGACCCAGAGTTCTTATCAACAATTTTATTAATGTATTTCTTGCCTACTGAAAATTTTAATTTGTAGTTTTATTGCTACAATACATTTCAGTTACAACTTGACTAATTCTTTCTATTGCTTTATATTTTATTTTAAAGTTTGAATAGCTTCTTAAACATGAACGGGTCCGAAACTTTTAAAAATCTATTTGATCAAATATATAATATACATTTAAATGTTGTTTGAATCTGGATATTGATGAGAACATCAGGAGTTATGATTCTCAATATGTTTGTGGCTCAGTATTTGATGAACTAATTTTGGCTTTTGACAAAATAAAATAGATTTAAAGTTGAATAGAAAAAAAACAAAAAAAACTTTTATGCTAAGCTATGTGTAGCAATGTCATTTATTGACTTTCGTTATTTTTTGTTTTTGTAGTATAAAGAAAGAAAAAAGATTGCTTGTTTTACTATCCTAAACTGCTGCTATGTAGTATAAGTTATTAATGTATAATTATTCAGTATTCTTTATTTTTAGGAGTTATAGAAATTATTATTGATTTACTGTTAAAATTGATTAAGCATATTATTAATGAAGCTAAACTTTAAAGTACTTTTTTATGGATTTTCACAATATATTTTTATGATACCAAACATATAAGAACACTAAAATGGCATAATTCCTATTACATGTTAGAAATAGTTAGATTAACAAGACGTCATAGTCAGTGTGTCACCGATTTCAAAAAACGTTTTTTGGTTCTGTCTAATTCTGCATCAAAAAAATATTAGACTCATATCTATAGCACTAATTCCAATAATTAAGTGGAAAAGAAAAACAAAATTACATTTTTCCAGAAAAGAAATTTGTTTTTGCCTTTGCTTTGCCCTGATTTTTTAGGTTATATGCCTTTTTTTTTTTCATACAGTGTAAAAAATAATATTTCCTACAGTATTAATGCATGATTTATAATCCATTTGAAATTCCAAAATCCAAAAGACTCGTACTACAAAATGGGGGAAGTAAATATTCAGTATCATTTAAACCTCTTAAATATGAATTTGTGTAGAAATAATAAAATACCAATTTTATTTTTTTGATTTTTTTGGAGCATATTTTTCTGGATTTTTAACTAAAGTATTTATAATTCCTCATGATTTTCTATAAATTCAGCATTAATACAACCTGACCATAGATATATATAGATATAGAAATATTTATTCAATTATGAAATATTTGAGTTTTTGAAACATATCTAGCTTATATAGAAATAAAATTTATAAGTTATTAATATGGGTTAGAGGAGAAGTAATATATCTTTCCAACAATTGTAGTAAGGAACGTGATATGTCCTGGTGATACAATATCCTTTGTCGGTATTGCTGCGGATTATTGCACTCTATCGGCCTGCTGTAATGTAATGGTTAGTAATACAACTATATCGTGTGATTGCTACGGATAGAAATATCATATCACCGAGACGTATGGAACTCTGTTTGAAGGAGTCTTTAACATTCTATTTGGAGAAATTATGAGGACTTATATATGCTTTAGTTTACAGCTGGAAAAAAGATCAAATACTAAAATTTGAATTATTTGATTTATATACAACAAATCTATCTTTCTTTTTCTTTGCAAAAATTTATATTTGGCCTATTTTACTGGAATGGGCTTTTGGTTTTTGTAATTCATGATACATTCAGAGACCAGATTTTCATGCTGTGAAAAACCGAAGAACGTGCAATATAAGACACAAAATGTGCAAAATTATGCATTAAAAACCTCAAAAGTAGAAAATTGTATACGTAGCATACAAAAATCATAGTTTTTGTTTAATTTATGATATTATTCCTTGTTTACTCCTATGTTATGAGTCATAGCCTATAAATTGAAGTTAGGTAAAAAATTTATTATCTTACATAAATTTTTATTATTTCTATAAAACCGTGCATTTTTGAATGGAGACTTAATTTTATAGGTATAGTTCAATTTAAATTTTTAAAAAAGTAGATGTTGAGTTAAGCTCCTTAGCTTTTATTAAAATCCATAGGCAAGCGGCAATAAAACGTTTGTTTACAAATAATTTCATACTTGTTTTTTGAAAACTGAAATATAAATATAAACATGTTTTGAAACTGTGAATAACAGAATCATGAGGATAAGGGGCTTTGTAAGTTTCTATGTGATCTTGCTTTAAATTAAATTATTAAATATGTTTTCTCCAATTATACTATTATTTATAATATAAAATGCGCTAAAATATCTTTTCATCCCAGAAACATAACTTAAAAATATTATTTTGAATAAAAACATCTGGGGTGTCCACTCACACGACTTTCCTACCTATTTCAGAATAAGTTTTGTATCTTTACATTTGTTCATGAAGAAACAAAAAAAAATTGAACTAGATTTATTCTCCTGAAAATTGATCAAAGAAAAGATTTGAGTACGATTCATTTGATAAACTAAAGTAAAGCAATGTTGTTGGAAATTTCATTACCTTTCAAAAAAACAGGCTAAACGCCGTTTTGGACTTTCGGACTCAGGGGGCTTTGTAATGTATAGATCCTTCGAAAACCGCTTATCGGAAATTTGACCCGATTGCAATACTTTCCTTACCCAGTATAGGTAAATTGAGAACAATAACTTTAAAAACTATTTCCGGCCTTATGCCGTCCATGTGTTGGACACTTGTTCTGAACCACAAATCTAATCTAATATATAATAAAAGTAAATAAATATTTACATACATGCCTATGTTCGTATTATAAAGGAAATTTGGTTCAAGTATTTTACTTTATACTGTTAAAATTAAAATTAAGCCCTTAAATTGTAAAATATGCAATATCATGCACAAAAACAAAAAACATGCAATTAAGCCAGAAAAGGCCAAAACGTCCAAAATGAAATTTCAATATGTTATTCTGCTGATCGAGAAATGGACAGATTTTCGGGTTTGAAATTCTTATACGTAAGCGAACAAAATGTGCAATGACTTGAAAATCCGGTCTTTAATTATAACTCATTTAATTCTATTGGCAATTGAGATCAGTTCCTAAAAATCAATTTAAATCCTACACAAACACCACCAAAACTACTGTTAGCTATAATTTCCAAATTAGCTAGAAAAGAAACCTATCAAACAAAACATCACATTAAATGATTTGAAAAGAACTGTTAAAAACTATGTAATAAAATTATTGTATACTCAACTCTTAATTATTATATTCTTCAGATGACGTAGTTGCATCTGATATTAGAAGACTTCGAATGAAAAGTGATGATTTTACACAAATAAAAGTCATCGGTCGTGGAGCTTTTGGAGAAGTCCAACTGGTAAATTAAAGTGAATTAAAATTTGAATAATGTATATATCCACTAATCTTTATTAACTTGATTTTTTTTTTTTTTTTTTAACTATCAGGTTAGGCATAAATCGACTCAAAAGGTGTATGCCATGAAACTACTTAGTAAATTTGAAATGGTATGATATATTTATTTACTAAGCTCTTTGTTCATTCTCTATTTAATTTATTTGTTCTATTGCATAAATTAATAAAATTTTGTTTCCATTTTTAAACAGATTAAACGTTCAGATTCAGCTTTCTTTTGGGAAGAGAGAGATATCATGGCTCATGCGAATTCAGAATGGATCATTCAGTTACACTTTGCTTTTCAGGATGATAAATTTCTTTATATGGTGATGGATTATATGCCAGGTATGGATAGATATCGGATCGTAATCATTTTATGATATATTTTGAGGATTTGGTAGTTGGAGATGATTGCCGCTTTGAATTAAGTTGTTTTTATAGTATTATGGGCTCTATGTAAAAGTAGTTATAATGTGTGTGTGTTATTGTTACCATTAATTATATTCTGAAACATAAAAATAATTGTGTGTATCAGTATAGCAGATAGAAAGTAAAAACGAATGAAATGAAGAGTATATCTATTGCAGGAGTCTTCTACTTGAGTGCATATTTATAAGTTGTCACGAGGCAGACACAGATTTTATTAGATTTTGAATAGTAAAAAAAAAAATGAAAAAAAAATTTTTACATATCAATATGTATTGCTTATATTCTTGTATAAAATAAATAATCGTTTAATAATACATTGAAAATGTGTATGAAATATAAACTTTCTTTATAAGAAATAAAAGTGCTAAAGATAATGTGATATTTGAATTGCAATTCATTAGTCAGTGGTTCAAAATTTGCATTGCTTATTTTTAAAACAAAATGGACCATTATACGGTCAATATCATTGAAACAAAATCAAGTTTCGTCAATATATTAACTGTTAAGGACTACATTGCATCAATTATATTGACGTCTAATCAAACTGGTTGATATAAATTATTTTTTTAGTTTCATTAAGGCTCTTTAAATATTATTGAATGACTGACAATATTATTGCTTGTGTAAGGACTAAAATTGAGCAATATTAAATAATTTGATCTAGAACTTGGAAAAAGTGTTTACAGGCTTAAAGTTCATTAATTTTTTTTTCTCTATGAATTATAAAATTAAAAATCATGACCTTAAAACTAAACCATATATCTAATTGTACAGTTATCAAAAAAATATATGATTAAAAAAAAATCATATTTTGTTGTGATAAATGAAAATTATTGATAAATCAAATGAGATGAGAGGGAATGAATCTTCTATATCTTTTGTGGCTAACCCAAAAATAATGAAGATATGCTTTGATAAGATTTGAAAAACACATAAATACTCCTAGGTTAGATAAAAAATAAATATTTTTTCTGCAATAATTAATTGCTCATGTTGGAATAGTGCCCTGTCAAAATCATTTTGTGAGCGTTTATAAATATATAAAGATACAAAGAATATAACCATATATTAAGAAAGCTTTAAAAATCAGTCATCATTCAATCGCATAAATATGATTGAATCCAGAAATCGATAATTTTTTTAAAACAAAATCAGTGACCTTGCAGTTATTTTAAAAATAATTATGTTATTGACCAACGAGCCATGCCTTGCTCCAAAAAAAAAACTCAGTTTCTTATTCGAATTGCCATAACAAAGCATCGCCCCTCGCACTTACCCTTGCCCCAAGTAATGTTTTCTCCAATTCTTTAACCTGGACCTTTACCTCTTCTTCTTTGTTTTCCTCTTCGTGCCATTACTAGTGTCGAGGAGTCTCTATCCAATGCAGCCATGTCTCTCAGTCCCTACGAAGCCACCTCATTTCCTGGAGGCACTGGCTTATCCAGGATTTAATTTTGGGGAAGGGGACTTCAGTCCGAAATTATTTTTTTTCATATACATATAACAATGATTAATTAGAAAAAAAAGAAAGAAATTAACTACCTATAGGATGTGGTGTTTTAAGTGATTCTTGAAGTCCTATTAAATGTAATTATACGAACAAGAATACTTTAAGTTAAGAGATAGTTTTTAATATTTTTTTCTGTAAAACAATTTTTTTTTAGTTTTTTAGATAATTTAGTAGTATTTTTAATTACAATGAGTTCGATCAAGAAAAATGCATACTTTGTGGGTTATTCAAAAATAAAGTTTCTCATCCTTCATAACTTTTTTCCCTGAAATAGGACTGTTTTTCACATGTGAAGGAGAAGAATATCTTCAAAATTAGTGGTCAATCGTTGGATTATATGAAGAATTGACGAAGTTATGGCGGATCGACAAAAAAACAATATTTAGAAATAATATACAGGATAGAAGAGCTGTTCTGAGATAGTCGTCATGGCAACCATTTCCCTTTTCATTATGATGTTTTTACCTGCCGTTAACTAAAACATTTATAATTCCTCTGGATTTTATCCTAATTTAATAATTCTACAACCATTAGATTGCTGAATTATCGCTCTCCAATACCGTATAAATAACGTTTTGATTTAACACATCTATAGATAGCAAAGAAATAAAAACTCCTAACAGGTTTGTATTTTCTACCTGGAGTTCTTAACTGTTTAGGGGTGTACGGTTTATGTAGAATTTATGACCCTATATACCTGCCAAATTGCGGATCTCTCTCATACTCCATTCGACAGACATGGCCAAACCACTTCAATTGTCGGTTTTCCAGTAATGTCCTTAGCTCCATTACCTCCAACCCTTACACCTTAAAGGCTGAAAATGTTGAGATTTGTGATGAACATTTTATATTATCTCATTCTACAACAACCTATTGAATTTTTTTGATTTTTCATATAACCACGTTTATTATTTATTATTTTTTTCCTGTTAAATTTTTAAACTTTGTAGATCTCTTGCCACCTTAATGAGCCTTTTTCATCTCTGCCCATCTTATCCTTCTTGCTTTTATGTCGTGAGATATTGATTGACCATCAGTTTTTGTTCGCAGTTCTTTATTGATCCTTTTTTATGCGTCAGTAATCTGATCCCAGATCATTCTGGTTATCATGCAGAGAATTTTGCTCTCAATTTTTTCTTTCTAGGGTGTTTGTTAGTGTATAGATCTCGGAGACTTATATTAGGACTGGTTTTATCATAGCATTGTTCACTCTTAATTTGAGATTCCTTTGAGAGATTTTTTGGGGTTTCAATATCTTTGATTGTGAGTAGCAAGTTGAGTTTGCGCTTATTATGCACTGGTCTATTTCTGACTGTTATGTAGACTAATACACAGATCATCTCATCTTTCAACTGAAAAAAGACTATTAGTTAACAAGACTGTACTGAAATGTATATGTATCTATGGACTTAAACTATAGGGGACAGCTAAACATTCGAATATCAAACGTATCCAATCCTTTCAGTCCTATATACTTAGAACAATAGTCAAGGCTCCACATTATGTCACAAACAAGACCTCACATCATCACCTTAACATCCCGTATGTCTTTGACATCATCCAATCCAGATTCACAATCTATATTCAGTTCCGTCCATCCCTATAATCCTCTTCAAAAGTTAAAATGCTGCTATATTTTTTAATACTTTTTTTTGTTTTTTTTATAATTTTGACCATGAAGGAGCAAGTCCAAAAATAATATTCTATTCATTTTTAAATTATATTAAATTTAATACAATTTGAGACATTCAAATAAATAACATTCAAAATGTTAAATTGAATAAATGGTTATTTCAATGACTCCTTTCAGACAGGTTATTAAAGATATAAAGATGATTGTGTATGACAATAAATGAAAATTATTTTAGCTTACAATTTTGGAAAATTTGTAATTCGATAGCTATTAGATTTACCAAGCCTATTCTGATCTCAAATTGTAGTAAATTTAATCTAGTTTAAAAATATATGTTTGTTAGAATGTTTTTTGTCGAAAAAGTGCTACTTCATGGTCTAAATGGGGGGAAACAAAAAAATAGCAGTTTTTGGGATATTCAAAAGTGATCTAGAGGGCTGCCGAGCTTATAAACTTGGATTGTATCAGCTCAACTCAGTCACATCCCCAACATGAAAAAAAAAAACAAAAAATGAAACCTTTTACCACCACTTAATGCAAAATAAAAATTAACTCCTGGACAATATATTTGTTGCCGAATAATTGAAAAAAATGTATTATCACAAAATAATCGTAATTTATCTATTGATCTTGTTTCATTATTATTTTATTTATCTTTTTTTATTAGGAAGCCTACGTTTATAATTTTTTCATATTTAAGGCAATAAAACTTCCAATTTCCTTCAAATTCTTTTAATTACATTTGTTGTCTCTTACATTTCGGGACAATTTTCGCATCATCAGAGCAATCTTTATCTTCACTTTCTTTTTTTGATGTGGCACCATTTTCAAAAATCAAATATTTGTCACATTTTTTAAAAATCATAGCCAGATGTTGATTAGTGTATCAATGAATATGTAAAGATGTGTAACACCAAAAAATAGTTTTAAAAAAATATAAAAGACAACAAATGTAATTAAAAGAATTTGAAGAAAATTGGAAGTTTTATTGCCTTAAATATGAAAAAAAAAATAATTATTTTATTCTATTAAGTTTTTATTGTTATGTTCATTATTTATTTTACTTTTTAAAAAATAACTTAAATTAATCCTAATGTATATATATATTTTTTTTTCTTAGGAGGTGACCTGGTGAATTTAATGTCTAATTACGATGTACCTGAAAAATGGGCTAAATTTTACTGTGCTGAAGTTGTTCTTGCTTTAGATGCCATTCATTCTATGGGCTTCGTTCACAGGTATAGTAAATATGTCTTGTGTAATTTTTGAGATTTATGTTAGGGTTTTTATTTTTTATACTGAGTATAGTATTTAATTCTTATTAATAATTTAAATGTATTGTTATTATTTTAAAATAGGATACGCTTGGAGAGGATTTTATTGTAATTAATTGTAATAAAGTATTACAAGAATTAATATTTTTTTTTATATTTATTTTTTAAATACAAATATTAGTATTTAATTTATGACCTGATTCTGCAAGTTCATTGAAAGTATCAGGCCTTGGTAATCGATGTTGCATACATTCGCCCACACTAAGCAAGTATTAAATGCTTTTATGGCGTCTCTACGACTTATCTATAATGAAACATCTATAATGAGTAAATAATGTTTCCAATGAAATAAAAACTAATCAATCAAATCAAGCCACTCTTTACTGGGATTAAAATCTGCTTTGTCATTCTTCATGAAAAAAATTATTAAAGAAAACTTTGGCTTTTCAGCTAATATATACCCACATAATTAGTATATATACCCGCATAATTAGTATATATACCCACAAAATTAGACACCGTTGTGATATCTTCTTCAAAAAACACATATAAAAAGTGATTCCTCAACTTCTGGGGACAGCCTAGTTTTAATGTTTTCTATTTAGAGACACCATGATACAATTTCGAAACCACCACAAGAAGCAATTCCAGTAATATATACTGACTGAGAAACAGAGCCATTTCTATTCATTCTCTCGTCAGTCAACTTTTAACTTTTTTGTTTGGGTTATCGAGACCGTCCTTTAGTACAATGTAAAGTTGAATATACCTCTAAACCCCTATTGTCAATATATATTTATGAATTTCCTCATGAAACTTTTACAGAGACAGTAATATTTTGTTTTGTGATAACAGTTAAAAAAAAAAAAAAAAAAAAATTAAAACGTCAATAATTTGCAGTAACAAACATATTTCAGCATTTTTCACAAGAAAAAGAATCTAAAACGCTGCTTTATTGGTTTATTATTTTCAATAATGAAACATTGTGATCGACCAAAAAATTCAAAAACATAACCCCCTCTCAAAATTTGAGGTTTCACGTTTCAAGATGTGTAGAATTTGAAAAACGAATAAAATTTTTTTTGTCCGTTAGCCGTTCGCCGTCCGCCGTCTGCGCATTTTCTCCGAAACTTCGCTAAAGTCATTTTCTCGACGCCCTTTAAATTTATCTATATAACATACTTCAATGGAAAGAAGCTGGAAAAAAAGTTACGAGGGATGTTGAAATTAAATTCCAAATAACTCGAAAAGTTTTTACTTTTTTGTTGTTATTGTATATGGTTTTTTAAAAGTTTATGAAATTTCCTAAAAAAAAACAAAAAAAAAAAAAATAGTTAAAATCGGACAATTAGGAGCAAAGTATGGTCTCTTGGTTTGGCTTTTAAATTTTAAATGTGTTACTGAAATAATGCTATTTTTTTTTAGCATATTACTAATGATTAAAGAAAAACAGTTTAGTCCAATAATTGGAATCACCTTTTGTTTTTTTTTTCTTTTTAACTCGGAAGGTAATGTTACTTTAGATGTATAATTGTTTGGAGATAATAAACCATTGTGAAATCATTTGCAGCGTTTTTTTTTTTCTTCATTGTCTTGAGAAAATCTTAAATCTACTTCTAATATAGATTTATGCCATATTTTTGTGAGTGCTTGAGAGAAAGAATTTTTGTAAAAATTCATCAGCCAAACTATCTCAGGTACTCATATATCGTCATGAGAAATGCAGCAAGTCACCCTACTATAATTAAGAAATCCAAAAAAAAAATGGTAAAATTTGTGAATCTATTTTTTACTGCAGAAATAGTGCTAAAACATTTTTTCTTACTGATTATTGTAAACAAATTAAATCAATCAAATTTATAATTAGGTACAGCTTTAAAGTGGCCTGGAACGCATCAAATCTTGAATAGCCTAGTTTAAACTAACTTATGCTTAAACAAAATATTATCAATGCCTAATATTACTTATGGAATAATCATCAAAATTTTAAAAATTATAGTGTGGAGAATAACCACTCAGAAGTTTAGCAAAAAGGGAAATTTTCTTTAGGTAAATGATAAAAAAATATATATATATTATTTTTGTTATTATTTTAAAGTGTCTTAGCATGAATCTACCTTTGTGTAATCATACTTTGTGTAAACCAACAATTCTATCAAATACATTACTGAGACTTTATAATCAAAATTATCAACCTCTTTTCTTTTTTATTATTTTTTAAACTGTATTGTTTCAATGTAATTTTATTTTTTACCTATATCCTGCTTCAATACTATTTTCTGAGGAGAGGTAGAATGGGAGGGAGGGGAGGGGATGGTACTTGCTTATTAAGGCATGTCCAATCGCAAACACGTACGAAAAACCGAGATTAGAGAATTGAACATACTTTTTTATTGTTCTTTGCTTTAAATATTATTGATACTCAAAGTATAAGGGATCTATTTCCACATATTATTTTTATTAAGAATATGCTTTATTCATTCTGCGATAATTCCGTTTAGAATAATAAATAATAATACAATTGTTAGCTTTAGAGTCTCAGAGTTTTATAAAAAGAATAACAAAATAAACAAATGTTGTAAGTTAACTTCTAACATAAATGGGTGATAAATATTCAGGACGCAGTCTTTTTTAAATTTTTTTTATTTTTGCCAACTTTTCAACCCAAACATGTGGGTCATCTTCAGGGCTGAAAATGTTTTTTAAAATACAATCAGAGATATAATAGTATACGACCGTTAATTATAAATAATAAACTATAGTGATTGATGATACATGAATATTAAACTAATATTGCAATACACATATTAAAATTAAATAGTTATACAAACATTCATACAAATTTGTAATATTTTCTCTTACTAACCGTGGTTTGAGCACTGAGGGTGTTCAAGTACTGACACATTTGGTAGTTAAGTGAAAAGGTCAGGGGGGAGGATTTCCCAGTTGTCCTTTTTCAGATAGCAAAAGGTAAGTAAACGTAGTTAGAGGAGAAGGGAGGTAACATTTATGTTTGTAGAATGTACATAATTTATTGACTAAATATTTCAGACATGTACATTATTTGAGTTGTTTCATATGGTTGCAGAAAGGTGACTATTGGCTAGTAATGAAATGAACATAAGCGAGAGGTGCCAATCAATATAAATATAACTTAGTTTGATAAAAAGTATACAATTGTTAGATAAATAATTTTTATAATAAAGACAATTTCAATTAATTTTTTCAAAAGACTGCGTCCTGAATATTTATCACCCATGATATGTAGAACAGTCGACTAACTTCCTTCAAGAATTCTAACATAAATGAATTACAAACCAAACTAATAATTTATGTACATATTTACAAAAAAAAGATATTTACAATTGTTTGGGAACTGGATGGGTAGGAAGTGATTGAATAGGTGGGATTTAAAGGCGAGTAAAGTTTTTTTGTGACAGATGTAGGAGGGGATGGAATTCCATAGGGACAACGATCGAATAATGAAAGATCTTTCGAAAGCCGCGGTATGATGAGCTGTTGTTTATAAATCTGAAGAGCAGGAACGGGTATCGCGGGAGTGAATAGAGGACTTGGAGAAGGAAAGATGCTAGGCAATATGTACGATGGTAGGAAGGATAAAGCCATTTCAACCCTTCATAAAAATGGAAGACAGAGGTGTGGAGACGATCCCTTGGGATTGTACAAACGTTTGAGTTTTACCTCGAGATGCCAAGAATACTGTGCTGCATTATTCAAAGTGGAGGAATATTAAAGAAATAACCAAGAGTCTAGCGGTTTGTAATGGAAATAGACGACAGAGTTAATTTAGACTTTTTAAGCTAGAAAAGGAACGGCATCAGATATTGAATACATAGTATTCCAGAAGAGGGTTTGATCAAAGTTTATTCCCAAGGTTTTTAATTCAGGATAAAGTTTGATGTGATTATCAATTAGGTGCAAGATTGAGATATGGGGAACAGTTTTAAAGAGGTGATTGGAAAGTTTTAATCGCATTATAAATTGGTTGTTGAGAGTGTTGGGAGGTTCGAGTTTGGACGGAACGACCATAAAAAAAAATTTTTACTCTTATAATGTGATTCATTTTTCATCTAGAATTTAATTTTATTATAATTTATTTTATTTTCTTAAATTCTTAATACATTTGTGGGAAGTGGCAATGACAATTGGATGTCGATTAGTCTGTTTTTTGAGAATGAACCTTATTCGTTCCTGCCTGATTCAGTACATTGGGTTTAGCACAAGAGAGAGCTGACTTCTCTTGGTTAGGCATGCTTGTTTTTTTTTTTCTTATTATTATTTCCTTAATATTGTTTCAAACATTGAACTAAGTTTTTGCATGCATATCTATTTAAATTTGTGTTCTTATAGACTTTCTTTTTAGTGATTTTAATTCACTAAATGTTAATATTTGCTATGTTATTCATGTTTTTAATTGTTTTGGAATTATTTAATGAATCGCAATGGTGTCAACTATGCCTTCTGCTTGTTCTTCTTTGGCATTGTCAATGTCACTATAGCTCATTTATAAATTTTTTATACGATTAATTTTAAGCTTCTCAAGGATGTAAATATTAATTTTTGGAAGTAAATTATCTTGAATAAAAAAAAAAATTATTGCTAATAAAAGTGATTTCAATAAAGGATATCAGCAATATATAGCTTTGTATCGAGAGTAGTTTGAGTTGAGCACTGCTTTAGTGAAATAGAAAGGAGCGAGCATATTTCTTTGGTACTGCTCAGCAGTATAGATATAACATCATATCTATACTGCTCCTTTCCGACTGTTTCTGAAGCATTGAAGCAGTTGAAAGTTCGATGGTTCTAGGTTAGTTATCATATCGGAAAAGTGTTTTGATGATAATAACCTTGCTACATTTCATTTAAAATTTAAACAAAACTCTAGCAAATAACTTTTGTAGGCTTGAAGTAACAAGAGTATTTTTTATAGCTATTCAAATATACCTAAATCTCTGTAACATTAAATAATGAAAAAAAAAATTTCAATAAATACTCAAATCCAAACATTGGAATATCTATTTGTCTTTTTAAAATATAGTTATAATTTACTAATTACCTAATGATTAATCATTATCTGATGTGATTCTATTACAAATATATTGTCGGTTTATTGCAAAAAGCTACTTACTATACTTGCCTAATTGTGCATCAAATAACTTTAATCTGTACTTTAACGTGCTTACTTGTTTCATTTTTATCTGAAGCATTATTGAATTTAATAGGTTTATATATTATACCAAAATTCTATTTTAAAAGCCTTATTTTTACTTTCACTTACGTATATATGTAATATATAGTAAGTGTAAGTATTGCGATCGAGAAAATTTTTGAATCTGAGTTTTCGACGGATTTATACGTTTTGAGGTACCCTGAGTCGAAATGACCAAGTCCCGACAAATGGTCTGTGTGTTTGTATGTTAGCAGTCTAGCTCAAAAACGAAAAGTCCTAAGAAACTGATATCACGTATTTAAGATAGTTATATGCCTTAGTTGTGACGGCAACTTTTTCCTTAAAATCGGCTAACCGGAAGTGCCACTTTATATCAATGCTGAAACACATTTTCACAGTTTTCTCAAAAACGGCTCTAACGATTTTGATTAAACTCGGTGTATCATTGTATAATTAAGTGGTATTTAATATAAATTAGGTGTTATCCCCATTGATGTCACTTTATAGGGCTTAAATGCCCAATGTTCATATACGTCTTCCTCTAAAGTACCTTTAATATGGTTTATTTTAAAAAGATAATTATTTCGCATTATTCAGAGTTACGAAAAAATGCTTAATATAACTTTTGAAAGAATTTGATAAGTTAATAAAGGAGAAAAAAAATAAAAATGCAGAAAAACGTAGCTATAGACTGTAGCGCCTAAACGAATGTACCGATTTCATTGAAACTTCGCTAAAGTCATTTTCTCGACACCCTTCAAATTTATCTATATAACATTCATCAGCGAAAAGAAGCTGAAAAAAAGTTATGAGGGATGGTAAAATTAAATTCCGAATAACTCAAAAAGTATACACTTTTTTGGGAATGTTGTGATAAAATGTTTCAAAGGTATTTAAATTGCCTAAAAAACAAAAGAAGTTTCATCGAAATCGAAGCACTATTAGTAGAGATATCGTGATTTTTAAATATTTTTTTTCTAAAACTTCATTCCTTTGTCATTAATCGGTACATTTTTCAGCTCTCTTTTCCAACTGTTATTTTGGCTGAGGGACAGTCAAGTACTACAGACCACGGTACAGACCACTTTTTATCAAATTAACATCCGTAATCGACATCATGAATGACTTCATCTTATCGTAGCCTACAATTTTTTTATTTATGAAAATTCTCAGAAATAGAGATGTTTTCAATCAGGAAATCTGTAAACTTTGTCTGTTTAATGATGTATTCAAAAGTGCTAGTGTCTAGGAAGCAAAATATTTTTGAGATGATGTATGAGATGATATGATATGATATGAGATGATATTTTTAATGATGTATTCAAAAGTGCTAGTGTCTAGGAAGCAAAATATTTTTGAGGAGGAGCAATACTGGTCGGCTTATACCGTCAACGCTCAACCTCCCTCTCAGTTCAACCTACTACAACAGTCGGATTTGTTTTCTCTAAGCTCTTGTGGTTGACATTTCTCTACTTTAAATTTACTTTTAACACATCATTTTCTTTTTTTTTTTTTTTTATCAATTGTTTTTTATTTTCAACTATTATTTAATTTTTTATCCATTGTTTTTTTTTTTTTTTTTTTTTTTTTATGAATTGATCCGATTTTCAAATATTGCCTTAATTTTTTTGTTATTACCAGGGAAAACTCAAAATTTTACTGCAAAAATTGCAATAAATCATTCGTTAATAAAAGTAATTGGTTGAGACACTCATTGATTCCTGACAAACAAAAGATCTATTTTTGAGGGGTACGTTTCTAAGAATTCAATAGTCAGTATAATCTTGAAAGACACATAAATATTCATGCCAAACAATTACAGTATGTCTGTAATGCATGTAATAAAGTTTTTGGACTTATGAACAATTTAAAAAGACATATAAAAAGTGTTAACTGAATCAATGATGAAATACGGTGTCATGAATGTTTTAAAACCGAAATGTCGCTGAACATACATGGAAAATTTCATTCTGAAAATCAATTAACGTCTGAAAAAAATTATGAAAACGTCCAATCTGCGATTTTAGGGAGTCTAAAAAACAGATGTTAATTCACTTTAAATACAATCACGATGTTCATTGTTTTCAGAAATTATTATTTACAATTTTTTTTTTCATCACCTTCCATTACTGTCTATGAATTTATATACCAGATTTTATTTTTTCTAAAGACCTGCTTTTTTGATTAATTTTTAATAAGAACCACGAGAAATAATCATAATATTATTCAGAAAAATTTCTATTCCTTTATTTTGTATAAAATCTATTCAATTCAATTCCCGTAAGATGGTCTATAAAAGTATTGGGCCGTATAGAGTGACCTCCACTCCCAACATGGTTATATAGGCCAAACAGCCTAATATTTTTGTAGGCAACATTTTTTTTTTTTTCGAGTTTGTGATCAAATTATCTTAAGATTCAAGTGGGAAGCAAATGGCTATTCATCAGTTTTGATCACTTCATTAAATTAATTAATTTAATGTGAATGAAAGAAACCAATTTATGAGAATTTTCATTGATAAAAAAGTTTTAGGTTAATATAAGATTAAGCCATTCATAAAGTTTTATTTGAATGTTAATAATTTGATTAAAAGGGATCTTTACTGTGTACTAAATATTTTATGTTTAGTTTAAATATACTTCTCAGTTATTTATTATTTTAGTAAGTGTTTTGAATGTTATGCCTTTATCAGTATTCCTGCTATTTTTATTACATCTTTTTATTCATGTTTTTTTTTATCTTAATTTTAATTTTCTTTTTAGTTGTTTTATCCTTTTTGTCAAGAATTTCTTATTTTGTGTTTTACAGCTGCATTTTCCCCCATGCTTTTTAAAATTTGCTGTTTTCGTTATGTGTTTCTTCAAGTCATTAAATTAATCTCTGCAATGTTAAACAATCAAATATAATCATTTTATAGAGATTTATGAATAGTATTCGAATTAGTTTTATTATTATCTTTAATACACTTTATTTACATTAATCTCACTTTTAATGACTTGAAATTTTGTTTATTAATTTAGATTTTAACTTTATTTTTATTTAAAAAAAAAATTTTTTTTTTAGATAATTAATTATTTTGATTGTATAGGGATGTAAAACCTGACAACATGCTTTTGGATAAACATGGACACTTGAAGCTGGCTGATTTTGGTACATGTATGAGAATGGATTCTGTGAGTATTAACTTTTTATTTTGGAATAATTTTATTTATTACATATGTCATATAGTATAATTTAATTCATATATTTTGTTACTTTAAATCTTTTTATTTGAAACACATTTTTTAATTTATATTCAGTTCTTTGTGATTGTATATCATAATAAATGCAAAATAAATATGAACATTGTTCGTATTTTTTACTTTAATAAATATTTGTATTGTAGGATGGTCTTGTAAGATCAGATACTGCCGTCGGAACTCCTGATTACATTTCACCCGAGGTACTCCAGTCTCAAGGAGGTGAAGGAGTTTACGGAAGAGAATGTGATTGGTGGTCAGTAGGTGTTTTTCTTTATGAAATGCTCATTGGCGACACTCCATTTTATGCAGACTCACTGCTCGGTACCTATTCAAAAATTATGGACCACAAGAACACTCTTCGTTTCGATCCTGAATTAGAAATTAGTGGGGAAGCAAAAAGTCTGATCTGTGGATTTCTTACTGACAGGTAAGTGTTTTTTTTTTTTTTTTAAGTAATTTACATTTAGGTCTTTAGTAATTTAAACATTTTCATTTATTTTTATGTTTACAACTTAATTAGGTAAAATCTACTGCCAGGATCTTTGCATGCATAGACTCCTTTTTATCAAAATATTAACACCCATAAAAATTTTATGTATAGCTTCAACTTATACAGTCAGAGATTGGTAAACTTTGTCAACTCAATGAGATATTAAAAAATCACGAACATCCATTTGGTTTCCACTTGAATCGTATGATAATTTGATAATAATAAATTGAGAAAAAATGTGGCCTACAAAAATATTGGGCCGTTTGGTGTGACCTCCATCTCCAACGTGTCAAAATTTATGAATTTAAATAGAATTAAATAAAATATTTTTGTTGGAAACCTTTTTTCTTGATTTTGTTATCAAATTATTTTACAATTCAAGTCGAAAGCAGATGGGAATTCATAAGTTTTTAGTACTTCCTTTAATCAATTAATTTTATGGAAAACTCCCCATTTCCAAGAATTTTTGTAAATAAAAAAGTTATAGGTTACGATAATATAAAGCTATTCACAAAGTTTTAGACAGATGTTAATACTTCGATAAAAATAATAGCACCAGTAGTCGTATCGCAATTGTGCGTAGTCAGATTAGAGGGATTTTTCGAATAGTTATGTATTCATTTATTATCATTTCCTTTTGTTCTTATTTTTAATCTAAATATCAAACTTGAAGGCTTATTGAAGAAAAATTAGATATATAGAAAGGTTGCAAATTTTCATGCTTATACTAAAACAATTATTTTATTGATAGGGTTTATAAAAAAATAAAAAATAACTTTTTCAACCAAATATTTGTATTATTATTTCTTTGATATAAAATTCAATTAATACTCAAAGTATAGTCCATTGTTATCTACCGTCATAAGCCAATTGCTCAATTCGACGCTGATACCATTCTTTGAGATGGTTGTCAAAAAATTCTTGGACCGCGATTTCAACTTCCGTAAAATTATCAAATTTTTTCCCTTGAAGAAAACGGGCCATGGATCTGAATTAGCAGTAATCCGATGGTGCGAGGTCTGGACTATATGGTGGATGAGGCAGGAGTTTTTCAGGCTAGGGTTTTTCAATAAATTTTCACAAATTTCTGCTAGCTGATTGCTAAGAAGTAAGTTCATGAGGAACGTGTCTACTGATCTTTTTCACCTTCCCCATGGAGAGTAAATGACGACTAACAGTATCTTTCGACACACCATATTCCCTGGCAACTTCGCGAGTACTTGTGGATGGGTTTGATTCAACAGCTTCCTGAAGAACCTAATCAATATCCATTAATCGTCACATGGAGCCCTTCTTCCTTTCCAACGTCGTATCTCCAATGTTAAATTTTTTTTACCAACGCCGCGCAGTGTGTTGGTCAAAGACACCTTCCCAATCATATTTAATAATTTCAAGAATTGCTTCAGTCAGCAGCTGTGAATTATTTTTTTTAGTAAAGCCTTAAAATTACGAGAATTTCGTTAGACACTGTCATGTTTCTTCTTTGAAACAAATAACTAAACTGAGTCTTTTTTCGTCGAATGGTTTTAAACAAGCTTAGATAATGCTCTAACGGGATTATTAAGTATTAAAATATTTGCAGTCCTTTGAAATCTTGAATTTGATAAAACGGTCATTTTTTTTTAATATACCCTATTAGTATTAAATATTAAAGAAGTAGCATCAGATATATTCGAATTCTATGCAAACATTAGGGAAGATAGGGTAGGGTATAAAGTGAGAAATTTACACAAAGTTTTATTCCAGTTTACTTAAATTTCAAATCTGTAGTAGACAGCCCCCTGTTTTTACTCCTTTATGTGACATTGTGTGAGAGTATGAGAAGGAATATATAGGAAGGTGAGGTTGCACGATGAATTATACTCAATTGTGCAGTGGACAAATTATTCATTGAAAAGTCTCATATAGATAAACAATCGATAAAGAAGGAAGAAGGTTGGAGGTACCGAAAGGTTACCAGCAGGTAGCGACAGCTGGAGAGGGGAGAGGGCATTCTAGGATGGAACAGGTAGAAAGGAGGTTGTCAGAAGAGAGGAGGACGGACTTGAGGCTGGACATTGAGACAGAAAGAGATACCTGGAAAAAGAGTCTACTACAAGATTTAGAAGATCATGTATATAGTTATAACACTTTAATGGAGTCAATTTATTACATTGTAGAAATAAATCATTTAGTCCCACATTTCAAATATATATTCTTATTGTTTCTTCTCACTCAGTGTCACAAAAGTATTAGGTTCCCGAATTCCTAACAACAGTTAAACACCCTCAAAAAGAGTTTTGTTTTAATAATTCGTGAGTGTAAATAACCTAAATCCCTGATATAAAAGCGGAAGAATATTTACTATTCCAGCCAAAACTAATCATTTAAAATTAACTTTTAGTAGGTTATTTACAAATCTAAAATATATTTATATTGTTGTGTTTATGTGAGGGATTGGCAGACATAAATGGTTTCTATTTATTGTTCTAGAATGAGTCGTCTCGGACGTGAAGGTGTTGGTGATATTAAAATACATCCATTTTTCCAAAATGATCAATGGACATTTGAAAATCTAAGAGACTGTGAGTATATAAATATATTTATTTTTTTATTTCTGACCATTAAAATCTTATTTATTTTAATGAGACAATTTTATAACTGTTATTATCACTCAATTTATATTTGAGGTTGTTAGAGCTTTTGTATTATATTTTAATTTTTAACTGATATATGAGGTAAATTAATATTGCCTTTTATACATTCCATGGTAAGCCGGCTTCATCCAGTTCATTGGTATTATTATTAAAAAAATATATATATGAGATAGTATTCTATACTGTAGTTATTTATTGTTTACGTAAATTCCATATAATTTCTTCTTCTATTGGCATAACAGACAAATAGATGTTCTTAGTCTGTTTAACAAGCCTTTCCCACTGTGCTCTTTCACATCTTATATCACATCCATCACATTTCACGTCTTCTGCCCTGTTGATAGTTGTTGTTAGCTTTTGGAGGTCACTGCTAATATTGCCTCGCCGCACAGTGGGACGTAAGACGGGTTTTCGTGGACATGGGCATAGAACTCGTAAATAACGTCGAATTAACTTGATATTTAGTACTCTTATGTTTTCGAGGCCATGAAACACGAATATGACATCAAAATTAGAAAATTTTGACAACAAAATAAAAAATTCCAGTTTCTATGTTTAAAACTGGGAATTTTTAAATTTGGTAATAAATTAACTTCGAAAATGATAGAGACTTCATAAAACGCATGATTTTAGATACCTATTTATAACTGCCATTTATATTACTACATATAACTGTTATTTTAATTTTTTTTATTATTTTATTTTAAAAAGCAATAAATCACAAAATATAATTATCCTATAGAAGAAGAGAAGAAGAAGAAAAAGTATTTTTATTAATTAAAATTACATTATATACAAACAAAACAATATTTTTGAATTTAAAACTGAAAATCAGACGTGCTACATGGTCTGTTGACCGTCAGAGGAGTCTGTGTTTTATAACAAAATTATATTTCAATTTATGTATATACAACTAATTAATAAGAAAATAAGAACAATTATATTTACAATGTAAAATTTATATAAATATTTTAATTACAGAAAGAGTGGTACCAAAATTCTCTAATTTATTAATTGTTAAATTCTTTGATTAGCATTATTCTATAGGAGAAAGCAGACTTGCAGTAATTTACTAATGCTGTCAAATTGTTTTCATTTATTAAATCTATTACTTGATCCCGAGATAAATTTCTAGATTTTAACCATTTAATTGTAAATTCAGAGAGCATTGGACAAGCAGCCAGGAAGTGATAGAGATCTTCTGTTTCATTTTTATTACACATGATACAAATATTATTTTAAATATTATTGTTTATAATTTAAGTTCAAAACATCAGCTCCAATTTAATTACCCATCTGATTTGATCACCTTCAATGAGCTTTTGTCGTCAATATAATTTACTGAAGTTAAATGAGGATAAAAAGTGAAAGTTTTAGAATTCTGAATTTTAATTACATATTGATTATATATGTCTTTCTGAATTTGAGTTCTTAGTAAATATAAATTAGCTTTCCATAGTTTAACATCATCACAGTTAGATCGGTTTAGGTTGAAATTTAATCCATGCAGTTTTATCTGATTAAGTTAATACTTAATTATCCCATATATTATTTCTAAAAGGTGTTTTTTTTGTCGGTACGCCATAACTTCGTCAATTCTTCATCAAATCCGATGATTGACCACTCATTTTGAAGATATTCTCCTTCATATGCGAAAAATATTACTATCCTTCTGAAAATTCTGAAAAAAAAGTGATGAAGAAAAGGAAACCTTATTTGTGAATAACTCAAAAAGTATGCATACAAACTTTAAAAAAATAACAGCTATATTTACAATTACAAGATGTGATTACAATTTTGTGAAATATTTTTATTTCCTTAAGAAACAATATTAAGTTTTTAATAGTATCTGGGTCCTTTTGGAGTGATTCTTCAAGATTTTCTGAAAAGATGTTGATCCCTAGAAGATTGGAATGCGTAACATTTGGTCAAGATATGGTTCACTGTGAGAGGTACCCCGCAGGAAAGACATTGAGTAGCAGAGTCTTTCCTCATTAAAGATTCGTGGGTAAGCCTAGTATATCCTATCCTTAGCCGGGTCAGTACCACTTCTTTTCTTCTGGTCAGCAGGATATTTTGTGTGACTCTCCGGACGTATGGCTCCATAACCTGTATCTTATTGTCTCTAATATTAAAAAGGTTCCTCACCTTTGGCTTAAATTAATGTGCGTATATTGGGTTACATTTTTTTTTTCTTTTATCTTGTAATACATAACACTAACTTCTCATATTATATTGTAAATTTTTCACTGACTAACATTCTATGCTAATTATTCTCACAGGACGACTAGTTTTCTTATAATTATTTTTCATTGATTTTTTCAGGTGCACCACCCGTTGTTCCTGAATTATCAGGGGACGCTGATACTCGCAATTTCGATGACATAGAAAGAGACGAGAGCCCTGAAGAAAATTTTCCGACACCGAAAGCTTTTGCAGGGAATCATTTACCTTTCGTAGGATTCACATATTCTAAAGATTATCAGTGAGTGCTACTGTTCTTATATTACAATGTATAGATTTTAGTTTTTACATAATTTTTAATCATAATTATTATTTCTGATCATGTTTAAGTTTGATTGATTAAGTTTTATTATTATTGCATAATGTTGTTATTTTGTAACTTTTTTTTTTTTGTTTTACTGTAGGTTTTTGTCACAAGGGAATAAAAATATCAGCATCGACACCGTAAGTAGTGTTTGTTTCTAAATATTTATTTATACAGAGGTAAAAAGTGTTATTTAAAGTTTTATTTGTTCTGTTTTTGTTTTTTTTCTGTTCCTCGGGGATGGTACATCAGGTGGATAACGTGAGTATACTATTCTTTGCTAAATAATCGCTATTGTAAATAGTTTTATGCTTATTTTTTATTAATAATTTATGTAAATAGCGAGTTACAAGTTTTTATTTTGTTCACGGCTTGAAATAAAATTCTAACTTTATTTTTGGCAATGATGACTTCCAATTGAACAACAATTGAATTTATTTGTTGTATTTCCAAATTACATGTTTACATGTTAACGTTTCGGGATATCTACTTCCATCTTCAGAACTACAATCCCAATGTTTTTTTGTTGATTCATGGCTAAAAATTGAGTTAAAATATAGTGCATGTTACAATACATATTAGAATTGGGTTGTTAAATTAAATTGTAATTTAAAGATTTAAGGTAATTACAAATTTAATGTAACAACCCAATTCTGACATGTATTGTAACATGCATTATATTCTAATTCAATTTTTAGCCATGAATCAACAAAAAAACATTGGGATTGTAGTTCTGAAGATGGGAGTAGATATTCCGAAATGTTAACATGTTAATATGTAATTTGGAAATACAACAAATAAATTTAATTGTTGTTTGATTGGAAGACATCATTGCCAAAAACAAAGAATAAATAACATATAACTGCCCAGAAAAAAAAATAAATAAAATTCTAACTTTTATTTTTAATCAGTTAGTGAGTGGGATAGTTCAGTGGTAGAGCGCTGACTTCCAATGCTCAAGGTCACAGGTTTGGGTCCGGTTGACGTCAGAAAAATTATTTATTCTGTTTTGTCAGCCTTGTATGGACTCTGGGGTCAGGAGAGCCTCTTGGGACACACCCAGCCTCTATAAAGTTGGTACCCTTAATTAGATAATTAATTAAGGGGAAAAGCCTAGCAGTTGAGCGTGATCTTGGTCAAATCACCTCCTTGCACAACCGTTGACCAAGAAACAGTACTTTCTTACAAGACCTTTCATGGGTTGTTGTGGTACAGGTTTTATTTATTTAAAAAAAAAAACTTTTATTCAAAAGTACTGTTGAAGCCATTTATTTTGCATAAAAGTCAATTTAAAAATGGTAATTGAGAATTATATTTGTAGTTACTCAAATATAAGACATGTAAGAGTTAAGTAATTTACTTAAGATAAATTATATTTGTAATCTAATCCTGATTATACTCTGTGGTACCGATCCCTTTTTATTAAATTTTTACATCCAGCTGAAACTTCTTTAATAGCTTCATCTCATCGTAACCTACAAATATTTTATTTACAAAAATTCTTGGAGTTGTGGCGTTTTGAATCTGGAGGTCGGCATACTTTGTCTACTTAATCAGGTACTAAAAACTGTAAATACCCATTTTCTTTCCACTTTAATCGTGAGATAGTTTGAGGACAAAGTTGAGAAAAAAGGTGGCTTAAAATACATTGAGCGGTTTGGCGTGACCTACATCCCCAAATTGTCAAAATAACGAGGCTAATGGAAATTTAATGGAGGACTCAATAATACTTGAAAATGGCCCTAGTGTTGGTCGACAAGTCAAAATAAAATAAATAATAAATAAAATGTTGGTGGAAAACAGCCTAATTTATAAATAATAAAACTTCAAGACGCCAATTCTAGGAATAATGAACAGGAGAAAAGTAATTTTTTTTATTTATGAACTTCTTCTTAATCGTTTCCTCTTCTACCGTTGAGCGGTGTGAGGAGCCTTCTTGTAGAGCCGAATCCACAACTCTCGATCCTGAGCCAACTGCCGCCTCCTCCTCCAGTCAATATCCCTTCTGTCAAAGGCCTCCTTGACACTGGCCTCCCATGTCTATTTATGAACTTAAAGAAATAAAAGTTAAACTTGTACCATAAACCCCCCTCCAGAACTTTATTACAAAAAGTTCCTTAAAACTTTTATTTTAAAGCATTTTTTTTTTGTCCTTAAACGTTTCACTACTGAAATGAAAGTTTTAAAAAAAGTTTCAACCTTTCCAATTTAGTGTATGTGTATTATTCTCTAGTTGTCAGATTCCTCTCACTGGTAATCGATGTTCTCACAAAACTGTTTTTCCATGCTGTATTAATGTTTATTGTGTTTATAATCATTCCATTCCCTCATCCATAAATTCTCAATGTAGGAATAAATTTATCTAACACCTTAATATGGGCTAAATAAAGAAAAATATACCCACTAATATATTCATGCATGTTTTTGTACCTCATTTTAATCCCCTCATACGGTCTGTTAGGGATGTAAGAAGGAATTGGAAAAATTCCTTCTCACATCCCAAACAGTCCCTTTCATTTAATCATAATATTATATATGCAAACTATATTATAAGAGGAGAATTTTGTTGAAAGTGAATAGTAGTTCTTAATGCTTATTTTTAAAATTTCTTGGAGTGATATGAAAATAATGCAGGTTTCCGCCATTGCTATGTTTTAATACCAATTTTGTAAATAAAGCAAATCCTAAATAATCATTCTTTATATACAACAATAAACCTTATCTAATACTCTCCCTTTCAACCAATAATTTAATCAATAAAACCATTTTTTTTTTCTTCAATGTGTTAAAAGGTTTTAAATTGAAAATGTTGAAGTGGGATTATCGTTAAATTTATTTTTACTAATTTAAATTAGGGCTTAGCACTGCATAAACCGCTCATAATTCTAATGCAGTATGGAGTTATTAACAAAAGTACTTGGCAGTATTGGTACCAGAAGTTTCCTAATGGAGATTTCGATTTAGAAGATCATTCTGCAGTTGAAAGCGACCAGCTTAGGTCAATGCCGGAAGAAGACCCAACCAAACAATTGGCGCTTGAAATCTGTTTCATGATTTGGCATGCAATAAAAACAATCAATTTCTCAATTGCACAGTGACATGTGATGAAAATGGACCTTATATGACAACAGAAAGCTTTTTATTCCATGGCTTGACATCTTTACAGCTCAAGAGGTAGACAATCTAGCCATGTTGGGCTCAGATACTATTCCCATAATTCCTGAACCTGTTGGTGGAATCAGCCTTAGCACTGCCAAATGGATTAGGAAGTTATAAGGTGAAAAACGTAAAGAATACTGGACTGAGAAAAAACAACGACATGCGAAGCTGTTCCTTAAAGCTGTTCCTTAAATTGGCCACTATAAGTTAAATTATCACATGTTCAATCTCCGAGTGAGTTCGAACCCGCAGATTCTGTCACGAGGAGAGTAAAACAGCTTTTCACATGTCGTTTGTCGGTGTGATAGTTTTGCAAGGCTTAGACTAGAGCTCTTTGGGGAGGATTGAGTGGATCACCCCAGCAGCTATGAGTATTAATCCGATAAGCCTATTAAGATACGCGGAAGCGATTTAACTAATGTTTTAGAAATAAAACGAACTGTATACATGGCGGACAATAGATCCGTAGGGGTCACAGTGCTTTAAGCAAAAAAAAAAAAAAAATGGCTGGACAAAGATAAACAGCTAAGGTATTTTTCAAAGCCTAACCTGCACCTGAAAAAAGTTGTGGTCCCGGTTTGGTCTTCTAGATAGATATATAGATAGAAAATAACTTCTGGGACAAAGTCCCTTAAGAATAAGAAAATAGTACAAAATTATAAGATTACATTTGGCCTAAATAAAAAAAGAAAAAGAAAAGTAAAGAAAACATTGAATAAACAAGCTATATACAAAACAAATAAAATTATATACAAAACAAATTAAACTGTATACAAAACACTTAAAATTATGTACAGTGATAGAACAGTAAAAATATATACTTTTAAGAGAAAAATAAATACATAAAATTTTTCTCTAAAATAAGCTCTGTGTTTCTGCTGAGAAAAAAGAAAGCCGAATCAGACAATATTAAATGCCTGAGTATTTAAATGCTGAATAAAATGTAAATACATCATCATCATTTCTGAACATAACTTTAGGTAAGAACTTAATTGTATATTACAAAAATAATAGTAATAAAAGAAGAATAGGTGCATTCAGTGACATCGAGAGTAGGAAAATCTTGTAATATCCCTATCAAAGAACAGCACTAACATTTGATGATTATTGACTTTTCTTTTTCTTTTTTCTTTTTTATTTCTTAATGACATTTACAACTGTATTAAATAAATTCATCTAGTAAATTTGAACATAATGGGTATAATGACATGAAAACACTTGCTGAGTAACTACCCAATGGTAGCACTCTAATGATATGTCTACATTAGGAGATCACGGGGCCGTCTTCTTTTCAGACGCCTCGGAGGGTTATCAGGAATCGAAGAGGAAGCAAGGTTAGAAACGAGAGGGTTGGGATGATTCTGCAGTTTATTATGGAAGGATAGGTATCTGGATTGGGCCAGATCTGAAACCAAAGAAACATTAAGTTCATTATGGATGGTTTTATTTGTAACAAAGTGTAGGGAGCATTGAGGATTTTACGAAGGATTTTGGATTGTAAGGATTGGATACGAGAGGAATTTGATGGTTTAGTGGAGCCCCATAGCTCATAATATTAACTTAAAATAGATATATAATGTCAAAATGTTAGCAAGTATCTGACTGTTTTTGGGACAGGAATTGGAATAGGAGGGTTTCGAATGTGGATACGGAGGGGAATACCTAATTTTGATAGGGATGGAATTCCAGAAATTGACAGAGCGTGCAATAAAGGAGTTTTGGAAAGAGGCAAATCAGTGAGAAGGGATGTAAAGATCAGAAGGGCGAGATCTTGTGGCCAGGAAATGGTCTGAGGACTTCATTTGGAGAAAATTGTAGGCATAAGCACGATGATTTAGTGATTCTACTATTGGCTATCCACTACAGCTTTCTCAATTGTGATGTAGTTATCACTACAAACAACTACTGTCTAGAAATTTATGATAAGAAAATGATGAAAATTGCAACATGTTTGCCCAGCATTGATTAATTGAAAGGGACCGATTGTTCTCCATGATATTGCCATACCACACATAGCACAACCAATGCTGTGACGACTGCACAAGTTGGGGTTCGAAATTCTCCTACACCCACCTTATTCACCTGACGTCTATCCTACTGATTTTTATTTTTTCAAAACCAGGATGACAGTAAGAATTCTTTTTGTGGGTTCGTTGCGTTCAGGGATCCAAATTTTTTTTCTGGTAGGATAATAAGGCTTGTTGAACATTGGCAAAAAAAGTGCATCAATTCTGATGAAAATTATTTTGATTAAATATATATATATATATATATATATATATATATATATATAGTAGAAGTTTTCTCTTTTCTTCTTTCTTTTATTTCTTTTTTTTTTTTTTACTGAAGATACTATATATAATTTTTAGCCAGATATGATTTCTGTTTATATGTACATGCTTGTTATTGGGACCTTGTCTCAGAAAAAGTTTATTTCTATATTTTTATCTATTTATGTTCAATTTAATTCTGTGCATATTTTTTTATTTACAATTCATTTAAATTCTCTATTATTTAATCAAACTAATTATTTCTTTTATTATGAATTTCAGGATATTTCGGCACTTCAAACAGAGCTGGAAAAAGAACGCCTTCATGTTGAAAATCTCGAAGCCAAACAACATTGTCTTCTATCCCAATTGGAAATATCGACGCATAGAGAAAATGAGCTGAGGTCTGATATTTCCGCTTTGGAAAAATCTGTTGCCATCCTTAAACACGAATTAAAAGAGGTAAGCATTTTAGGTTTTTGCAAGGAAAGAATGCTTCATTGACTGAATATTTTTGAACAGACGCGTTGTTTAAACAATTACAGAAATTCATATATCTATAGTGGGTCTTAATTTGAAGCTGAAATGACGTATGAAAATTTTAAATTATCTAAGATTTTAGATTAAACGCACCTTGGTATATTTCAAATAACACTATACATAACGACTTAAACACTCCAACAGTAAAATACTACATCCGTGACAAATAATCTACTTTCATCCTTCAACTAAAAATCACTCCAATCCTCTAGTTCCTTCTATTTCCTGCTCTCTGTTACCTGAACGATGCAGATAAATAAGGAAACGGCCAAGAGACCTACTACTTCAATAATAAAATCAATCAAATACACAGCAAAACATATAAATACAACAAATTTTCTAGATGTGCCGTCTTGCAGGTGCAAATTTCATGGAATATTAAAATAAATAAAACTTTATAGTTTTCTTGTAAACAAGTATTTCCACAATTCCTCTTACTTTTATTAGATATTTGTTTTGATTTTATTGTATTATTATACTAGATACTTTAATAATTTAAATTTTTTATTTTAGTGGCAAAGAAAGGCCGACAATGAACAGGAATCAAGAAGAAAAACTGAAATGAGTTTACACGAAATAAGAAGGAAGTTAGAAGAGGAGCAAAATAAAAGAACTAGAGAAATGAACAATAACCAGCAAGTCAGCGATAAAATAACCATTCTAGAAAAACAGGTAAGCTTTTTCATTTTTAATTATAAAATAAAGGTTAGTTGGCTATATAGATTCCACCACCTTGAATTTATTGTTAAATATATTTTTTTAAGTTTTTCACTTTCCATAACCTATATTAATTAGTTATGTGTTCATAACCTTCCGTTAATTTATTAGGAACAGAGATGGGCAAAATCGGAATCAATGATAGCAAATGAAAATAATAATTAATGACCATGCGAATTTTATACTTGATTCAATAGCGCTGTAAATATAGCTTACCTGATTACAATTTGTAATAAACCTGATTAATGTAATCGCCTAATCAAGTTCACTGTAATCATAATTATTGTAATCGTCAATTATGATTATACCCATCTGTGATTAGGAATAAAAAATACTGTCATAAATTTGCGTTAGAAATCAATTCAATATGCTTACAAAATAATTGAAGCCTCATTTAATGAAAACACTTCTATTTTTTACTTTTAATTTTATTTTAGGGCTGTCACTAATATTAAAATTTGAGATACATCTACCATTTAAATTGTATACATTTCTGTTATAATTGAACCACAATAAACTTTATTAATTAAGTAATAGGCCAATAGATTGCCAATAATCCAATTTATTTTATAATTGAACGTTTCAGCTTAACTGGAGGCATTCTCAAGCCTACAAAAAAGTTTTTACATTATGTCTATTTCATTCAAATTAAAAAAAAAAATAAAAAAGGAGCTTTCAATTTACTAAGGTCAATGATAAAAGGTACTTTCAGGAGGTCTAATACAACCACTGTTCTGCCAAAGTTACAGTACCCATACACGAGTATTGTTTTCTCCACAAAAAGTTTGTCTACTTTATGATGATGTACTTGTAATTTGGTTATCTTAAACAATTTTTGAGCAATTTTTTCTTATTCAATAAAAAAGATGGTACTCGAGGATAGATTGAAGCGACTCATGAATACGTGCTTAAGATTTGTCTTCGGTACATCGAGGCGGTCTCATGTGTCCCACCTTTACGACGAGTTAAAGTGGCTCTTCCCTTCTTTCCGCAGACAATATTTCCTTGGATCTTTCCTATTCCAAACAATCAACACCAGACACCCTTCCTACATCTACAGTCTCCTACAGTTTAAACCCGTGCTCCACTCCTAGAAAACAAGATCCCGTGTTTCTGACCTTTATATCCCTCCCTTCCCATAGAACTAAAACGTTTGAATATTCCTTTATTGCCCGATCCACTGCCTACTGGAATTCCTTGCCATCTGAAATCCGCCATGCCTCTTCCTTGTCCTCATTTAAATATCATCTTTACCAATTCCTTCTCACATCCCAAAATGACGTTATACAATGAATCAAAAATTGAGAAACAGATTTTGACTGAGGTGAATGGTTGTTAAAATTGATTGAGTTTTAATTTTAAAACTCAACCCATGGTTATTTTATTTTGTTTTCTTTTCATTTAAATAATGTTTTTTCTCAAAATGGTGTTATTTTTACTTGTTTTAATATAATTTCACTGAAGATACTGTATATATTATTTAATATTGACTATATATTATTTAATATTGATTAATATAATTTTTAGCCAGATGTGGTTTTTATTTTTTTTTTTGTTCATATCTGTTATTCATAAGAGACCTCGTCCCAGAATAAAGTTTTTTTCTAAAAAAAAAAAAAAAATTTGCCCACCTTAAAAAAAAATACAAAATTGTTTGGAATCAGCCCACGCATCAAATGAACTTTTTTGTCTAGAATCACCCGCTAGAGTTTAGCCTTTAAGAACTCATCATTACATCCTTTATAGTGATCAAAAAATTACACGATTGTATCAATTTTCGTTGTTACTGTTCAGGTCGCTGAGAAACATGAGAAGTTAAAAGGCGAAAACGAAGCCAATTCTCGTTTGAGAAAACAAGTGGCAGAGTTAATAGTTGCGAAAACGGCCAGCGAACAGCTTGCGACTGAGCTCCAAGGGATGTTAGACTCTTTGCAATCTCAAAGAGATTCTTTACAACAAGAAGTCGCTGCTCTGCAAGGACAACTTTCCCAAGAAAAGAGTTCAAATGCCCATGCAGTCGATTTACAAAAAGAACTCGAAGGTAAGTTTGTTGGTTTGAATATTATTACCCTTAATATATAAAGATAATAATTAATTTTTATTGTGATGAACTAATTGTTTTAGTTATTGGAATAGGAAAAAAAATTATGTCTCTATTTTCTACTAGAAATTTTTTAAAAACATAGTACAGTGGAGTCCCGTTTATACAGATTTTAATATACTGTACCCCATTTAGATTTTCAAAAGTTCGATATTTAATGGAATTGACTGCAAAAGGCTCTATTCCCTGCATTCTACTTTAATATTTTCTATACTACACTGACAGGCAAAAAATTCCACCCACTTGTTACCCATTATATGGAACCACGTTGGAAAGGTTAGCTCTGGGAAAAATTACAGGCTGCATATCTTTCGTTTCTTCTTCTCCACACCCTTTCACGCCCGTCTGGAGATCGAAGAGCGAATCTTGACTCATCTGTAAACAGTACAGCACTCCATTCGTCCATAGTCCAATGGCTGTGTTCTCGAGCAAAAGCCAGCCGTGTTACTCTGTGAGTTCTGGTCAACTGTGGTCCTCTTACCGGATGAAAAGCCATTAATCCGTACTCATTTAATCTTCTCCGAGCGGTACATTCTGAAATTTGCACACCTCGAACTTCTTCGAGCTGATGAATTGCTTGAACAACGGTAAGGTACCGGTTTCGTAAAATTCTCAAAGTCAAAAACCGGTCATCCCATGGTTCTGTTACCCTAGGCCGTCCAGAACCGGGCCTATTGGAAGAACTAGTTTCCCGAGAACGCCTGACGGCGTCTCATAAAGTTTCATATGGAACTCCGATGGCATTAGCTGCATGTCTAATGAAACGTCCATCATCAATAAGTGCCACACCACGTGCAACATCCTCAGCACTAAGAGGCATTTTTAAACTTAATATTGAAAAAATTAAAAGCCAGAGACTAAGAAATGTGCTGCAAGAAACGGCACTGAACTAATGATACTGAATAAACATTGTGATTCCATAGAAAGTAAACATTGGAATGTAGAATCATTTCATTGAATTAAGGATTAAGGGTTATTGTCCTCTATATTAACATTCCTAATTGAAAACAAACAAAAAGATTACCTATTAATTCATTAAAAACAATAGACCAATCCAAAGCAGAAATATTTTTAGATGAAAACATGAAAAAATCAAGTGGGTGGAATTTTTTGCCTGTCAGTGTATATAGTTTGCATTTATGTATTGTGTTGTAACACAATGTAGACCCATTGCATATCTATATTGTTATCAAACACTTAGGCAAATTCTATTCTGTGAATATTTTCATTTGAGTTACTTCTTTCTTTTATAATGTTAACCCTTTAACTTCTAACGACAGCTATAAGGCTCAGCAGACGTTGCAATCCGAGGAGGCAATCCCCAGACGTTGCAAGGATAGGATAGGTTAGACCGCCAAGAGTAATAGGGGGACAACCCCTACACATCCAGGGCTCAGCAACCCGAGGAGGCAAACATTAGGTGTTTACAAAAGGAAATAATAAATAGCTTCAAAATGAAATAAATTGTTCACTGAGCAACTAACAGGTTGCGCTACTAAAATTATTAATCATTATTAGAACAAACAATGACTTCCATCAATGAATGACATAGCTCATTAGAACAAAGCCTAGAGGGCACCACGCGCATCCTCCAACACCCTACCACTAGTTATTTACTATTCAACCTTTGACAGAGAAGGACCTCCCATCCGTTAGCTCTAATACATCGTACCTTTTAATCTTTATCGCTAGTTTAGTATTGTTTTTTAATTAAAATTAAATCACAATTAAAGTTAATCAGATACATTGCAATAAATTGAATATGTTACATATAAATGCTTCTTTACACAGTTCAAAAAAAGTAAAAGAACAAAACATGAACATGTCTTCTGTTAACAATTACAATTTATAAAGGCCATAATGAAATATGTTACAATATATGGAATACATATATATATATATATATATATATATATATCAACCAGGGAAAGTCATGCTGTCCAAATCTCTCTCCCCCCCTGATATGTGTGCCTCTGTCAGCCTACTGGAGTCAACTCACACCAACCGGGCGTAGGACTGATGACCCTATCTCGTGTACTTAAGTCGGGAATCGGGGTGTGGTTAACCAGAATCCATGGAGCGTCTGTTTCGGAAAAAGAAATATAGGTCCTCGTGCGCCTGCTCACTCCAAGCAGCCATAATCCATGGATCTAGACCGCTTTGTCACTGTCCTTGAACCTGAGTGAGTCGGTGGGAAGGACACTGCCAGATTGGCCCCAAGGGGATCGACTATGGAGCTACGGGTGGCCTGTCGCTGCACTATAACCATGGTTCGTAGCAACGTGAGGTTGGGTGACCTCCCTCCAGCCTATCTGAACTCCCGCAAACAACATACGTCTGTAAGGAGAGCACATCTCGCGGCCAAAGATCTTCATGGTCTTTAGTGCCTATATATTTATTTATTTTTATAAATCATCTAATCTAGCACAAAAATTGCAATTTCGTATGATATCAAAGTTCAGTATGTCGTACTACAGATTATGAAAAGGGAGAGCTAATCGGGTTAGGAGTTTTTATAATACTCAAGCAAATGAAATGTGTAATAACATGGAAATCTGTTTTCTAATTTTGATAAATCATAAAAATATATGTAAGTAATGAAAAATAAAAATAATAAGAATATATGGTATTCATATAAAATATAAAAGCTTGCTGTCCAATTATATTGGGTTGCTAGAGACACAGCATACTGGTTAATCTGTAGGACAATAAATAAAAATTAAATATAAATAAAACAATATAATAAAATATAACAGGTAATAAATTAAAGATAACACTAATGAATTGAATTTAATTAATTTGTTTAAGGTGATTGACATTTTTCAGATTAAATTTAAGTATTAATTTTTTTTTTTTTTTTTTTTTTGTTTTTTTAGAAAGACTTACAGGCATGGTTCATGAAATTGAACGTGGCCATGATCGGGAAAAGAAAATATCTGAAGACAATAGGCAGTTGTCTGAAAAAGTTTCATGCTTGGAAAAGGAATGCGCTTCTTTAGGACTCGAATTGAAGGCTGCTCAAAATAGGTACCATCAAGAAGTAAGAGCTCATGAAGAAACTCAAAAATCGAGATTACTATCTAGTCAGCAGGCGAATATGGAAGTTGTCAAAGGTAGGTTTGTAATTTTACTATTTTATGTTAGCATTTTAGTTTTATTTGATGGTTTTATCAGGGTTTGAAATCAAAGCAAAAAAAAAAAAAAAAATCAAATCTTTAAAAATCAAAATTTTTATCAATCATTTGATGATTTTTATTAAGAGCGATTTTCATTTTTGACCATAAGTGATGAAAATCATATTCTAATCATTATTTCTGAACAAAATGTTTATAATTAACAATAATAATAATTTTTGAGTAATATTTTTTTAAATACTTAGGCCTTGAGAGATTGGTTGAACTGAAAGACAAGAAAGTTGCTAATATTTAGTATATAATAATATTTAGTATTTAGTATTTTATGTTAGCATTTTAGTTTTATTTGATGTTTTTATCAGGGTTTGAAATCAAAGCAAAAAAAAAAAAAATCAAAATTTTTATCAATCATTTGACGATTTTTATTAAGAGCGATTTTCATTTTTGACCATAAGTGATGAAAATCATATTCTAATCATTATTTTTGAACAAAATGTTTATAATTAACAATAATAATAATTTTTGAGTAATATTTTTTTAAATACTTAAGCCTTGAGAGATTGGTTGAACTGAAAGACAAGAAAGTTGCTAATATTTAGTATATAATAATATTTAGTATTTAGTATTTTATGTTAGCATTTTAGTTTTATTTGATGTTTTTATCAGGGTTTGAAATCAAAGCAAAAAAAAAAAATCATATCTTTAAAAATCAAAATTTTTAAAAATCATTTGACGATTTTTATTAAGAACGATTTTTAATTTTGACCATAAGTGATGAAAATCATATTCTAATCATTATTTTTGAACAAAATGTTTATAATTAACAATAATAATAATTTTTGAGTAATATTTTTTTAAATACTTAAGCCTTGAGAGATTGGTTGAACTGAAAGACAAGAAAGTTGCTTTCTTTGTTGACTCACAGGCAGCCATTTTATCTCTCCAAAATGGATATAATATGAATCCAAGTGTCCTTAAATGCCATCTGTATTTGGACCGATTAAAGGAAAATGGGACAGAAGTCGCTTTCCAGTGAATACTAGGCTCCATGGAAATGATGAAGCTGACAAACTGGCCGGAATAGGTTCTGGAATGATCCTACCAGATATTCCTCTGGGCATGGATTCGACTAAAAGAATAATAAAACAGACTTTCTAAAGTTCACTGAAGAAGAAATATGTCTAAAAAATTTAAGAGAAGCGATGGAGTGGATTGCTGGAAGAAAGTGACAAGATCCCGAGAGACCTCCCTAGAGGGCAAGCCGTGGCATGCTTTAGAATGCTCATAGGCCATGATTTCCTTCAGAATAAAATGATTCCGCATCAGTATAAAAGATAGCCCGGTATGTCCTCTGTGCTCCATGGATGTAATGACAGGAGAACTTTATTTATTAATCGAATAAATAAACATCAAAGATTGATTTAAATTTTTATTTATAAACCAGGTATGATTTAATAAAAATCACATATAATAATTATTACATGAATCTGTAAAAAAAAAAAAAAAAAAATTATCCATTTCAAACCCCTGTTTTTGTGATTCAGAAGGCTTTTGCTTCTTAAACCGATGTTATACCACAAAGTTTTTATTTCATAATAGGTAATTATATCATAGTAAATCTACTGAAGCACACTATCACACTTTTATAAAAAAAAGCATCCAATTGAGATTTTATAAGAATTTTAGTACGTGTCTATTGTAGGAGCACCTCTGACGTAATTCCAAATATCTGGTGCGCACATCACACGACTTTCACTTACCATCCTTTTCTTAGGAGAAATAAGTATTTTCACACAAAGTAGAAGTGAAAGTAAAAATTATAGACACTATATTTATTTATGCTACATTTTATTGTGGGTATTTTGATTTGTTTAAATACCCTTATGTAAACAAATTTTAATTTTCATATCGCTGTATTCTATACAATTAAATATTAAATAATACCAACGATAGTATTTATAAAAACCTCATATGTATATGTACATAATATTGTCGGAGTCTGTATTATATTAAGCTCATGTTACATATATACTCTTTCGGACGAGCTTGGACGTGCTCGTATTTCTTTGGTTCTTCCGTTACAACTATTATTCGTTATGATCTTTTATACCTCCTTTAGTTAATTGTCAAATTCTTTCTTATTTTATATTTAACTGTTTTTTTTTTCTCAAATATTAATGTGAAATAGTTAATTATTTCAAATAAAAAAAATGAAAGATACTTTAGAGGAAGCTAATATTAAATTAGCCATTTAAGCTCTGTTAGAGAACATAAATGAGAATAAAACCTACATTATATTAAAAACTGCGTAATAATACACTGATATACTGAATTTAACCAAATTGTTAATGCCGTTTTTGAGAAAATGTTGCTGTAACATCCAAGGATTATAAAAACCTCAAATACGTAATTTCAGTTCAGTATGGCTTTTCGTTTTTGAGCTAGACTGTTCAAATACATATCCACATACAGACCATTTTGAGGGACTTGGTTATATGGACTCATGGGACCTCAAAACGTGTGTTTCTGTTGAAAACTGAGTTTCGAAAATGTTCATGATCCCAATACTTATCCTTATCATATACTAGCTTTACCTGGCCATGTGCTGCTGTGGCTTAGCCTGGCAAATTGAAAAAGAAAGAAAATAGAAAGCACTTATGAGTAGATTAGTAGCAAAGAACATCTGTCATTTTCAAAAAGTTGCGAAACAAATTCGTCTGTAAAATGCCTTCAATTTAAACTAATTCTAATGATTTTCTCATGATTCAAATTGAACATTCATAATCATCTGAGTGAATACGCCGTCATTCATAATCATCGGAAACAGTCTGAGTTGAACTTATAAAATTAATTAAAAAATTAATAAAAAAAAATGTACAATAGTATTGACCTACATAAGGAGAATAATATAACTTCTTCAAATGATAATTTCAATTACTGTAGTAATTATAAAATTTTCGATTAATCAATAAAAAAAATGCTTGCCTATCTTCGGTAGTGAGGAAGCAAAAGGAAACGGCCTTTTCTGAAGAGAAAGTAGTAAATGTTTAAAACTCTATAGCTCTGTAACGAACTGTCCGATTTCGATGATTTTTTTTTTTTTTTTATTTTGTCGGCAAATCAGGAATCTTTCAAATAAATGTGGGTATTATCTGTCAAAAATTGTGTACTTTTTTAGTTATCGGCAAATAGAATATTGAATTTATCATAACATTTTTCAGCTTGTTTTTGGGGAAGATTTTAGCCAAGTTTCGTTAAAATCGGTAAAGCCGTTTTGGCGCTACAGCTTATAGCGACACATTTTTTTGCGGCTTTGAACAGAAAAACATTTACATTTTTTTTTTTTTTTACATATATAAAATTATCGTAAGACAGAAGTACTATGCCAGAAACCTTCCCAGGACTGTACGGAACAACTTCCCAAAGTTTCATGGCGATCGGATGAATGGTTTAGTAATGCACCAAGAACAAACAGACGGACAGACAGACATACATTCATTTTTATATATATAGATTACATATATAGGTAAGTGAAGATAATAAGATAACTTAAAACATCAGTTTATTTACAATCAAAAATTTATTATATAATTTAAAATTGCCTTAAAAGCATCTTCTTCTTTCAATTGTGTTCATCCTCATCCGTGGTGCTACAACTCTTGTAGAGCCAAGATCTCTTGCAGTTTTGGTCCACCAGTTGTCACCGTACGGTTGCTGCTATTCTCCAGTTGTTGATTACAAAGATTGACTTTGCATCACCTCCATCGATCCTTCAGAGTCGAGGTCTCCTCTCTCTTCTTTTCCCATAATTCCTTTTCTCTAGGACCAACCTAGGAATCTGATCGTGTGTCATTCTAATTATATGTCCTGCCCATCGAAGGCGTCGTACATTTATCACCCTTACGATGTCTGGGCTATTGTAGAATCCTGTTAGCTCACCATTTGCCCTTATCCTCCAGGTTCCATCGTCGCAAACTGGGCTGTAAATTCTCCTCAATATTCTCCTCTCACACCTGAGGCGAAAGGCTTTCTGTGAGCTAGGTAATGTCCAGCATTTAGAGGCATAATTAAGGACTGGTATTATCAGGGTCTTGAATAATTGCACCTTTGTGTTTTGAGAAATAGCCTTGCTCCTGAAATTCTTCAGTAACCTGGAATAACATTTATTCGCAGACATAATTCTGCGATGGATCTCAGCTTGTATTTCGTCAACTCTATTTACTTGTGTACTGAGATAGGCAAACCCATTCATGCTTTCAGTGAATATTCTCCAGCCAGAAAGAGTGAACCAATACTAACCAATACTAGTTGTGGTTCTACATGCATGTTTTAGTGTTTGTTTCATTACCTTCCAAACTCACTCGTAGCCGCTACTACCCGGAAACTGGTTGGTAGAGTATCTTGTCAATTTTTTATCAATTCTGTGAATATTTTTTTTTGTATTTAGGAAATAAAAGTATTATATTACTGATTCATTTCACATGATTGTTAAATTTAGTATTCATAAAATCACTGATATTTAGGGTCATGTCACGATTTTTCTTATTTATTATAAAGTATAAAATGAATAAATTTATTTATATATATTATTAGTGGTACTTTTCATAATTAATAATGAATGAGCTAAATTGATGCAGATGAATCTTATCTGAAATACAAATATATTTCATATGGTTATTGCATATTAATACATTGATATACCAAATGATTATTGTTTCAATAACCTTGTAAATATAGTTTTTCTGTTACCTTCATGATAAATTTATTTTTATTTATTATGTCATTAATTTATTAAGTTTTTAATTTTTTTTTTACTCATTTTATTGTTTATAGCCCTGCAAGCTAAATTAAATGAAGAAAAAGCATCCCGACAAAAGGCTGAACTAAATTATCAAGAGAAAGAACGACAGATGTCTATGTTGACAGTCGATTACCGTCAAATTCAACAGCGCTTACAAAAGTTGGAAGGAGAACATCGGCAAGAAGTTGACAAGGTATATTGTTTTTTTATTTATGTATTTAAAATTTTTCAGACCCCCATATCTATAATATTTTCTCAGGGTGAATATATGGTCAATGCATGATCTCCCCGTTGTAAATCCACCTTGGTCTTCTGAATCCTTAAACCCATGCTCTAATTCATTTCTTATAAGTTTCCCTAATATTTGGCAAAAGGGTTATTAACACAGATTCCTTCTGTGTCCCCTTTTTTAATTGATTTGGCTGATATAACTGAGCTTCATTTCTTTTGGATGAACTCAAGTAACAACGATTTTGTCAAATTTAAGCATAAAAAAAATTTTATATCTGAGAAGACTAGGAAATTTTAATAAAACAAATGTTTTGGTAAAAATACTATTGGTTCTTTAGTCCCTTAATCTAATTTTCCTTATGTTTTTAGACACATATTTTTTGATTTATTTAACTTTCTTTCTTTTCTTTTAGTCCAAAGCACTCGCTGCACAAGTTGAACAGGAGCATGGGAAAAAATCAGCCCTGGCGACTGAATTAGGCCTTCAGACTTCTGAAGTAGCCGCCCTGAGGGCTCGAGAAGCTCAGCTTAGCAATGAAGTTTCGCTTCTTCGGGAGAGGTTAAGGCTAACTGAAGAAGAGCTTCATAGGTTGAAAACGCAGAAATCTGTTGACGATTTACAGATGAAAGATCTTCAAGACCAACTAGAAGACCAGCAGCATTTTACTGTAAGTATATTTTGTGATTTTTTTTTTATTATTAATTATTTCAATTAGAGTAATATAATAAGTGATAGACATAGCGAAGGAAATTTTTGGCTTATCCCGCCGTGATTATTATCAGTAGAGTTTTGACTACTGATGCCTGTGACACAAATTGGGTGCTCCATGCGCAATAGCGGCTGTGTAATAAAACAGGTCTAACAATGTTGATGAAGCTTTCCTATAATTTTCTAATTAATATCCTTTCAATTTTTGTACATGTACTAAATTCTTGAGAAAATACAGGAAAAGACAAATGTTTTTGGGCCTAACTCACTAAGTATGTATTCTACAGTAAAATTTATATGAAAACTTTTGAAAGATAATTAAATTACCTATTAATGTTTCTGTATTTCTGATATAACCATCATTCTATTTAATGATGTCCTCTCTGATATCCTCAGTACAGTGTTCAATATTCTTAGGAATTGGTGCAGGATTAAAGGACTAAGCATCAACCCTAGGAAAATCAATGTGTGTATCTTCACCAAGAAGAAGAAGGTGGCTATTAAAATGCCGGAAATCAATGGTATCCAAGTGACACTGAGTAAGGAAGTAAAACACCTTGGAGTCACTTTGGACCATAAACTGACATGGACTAAACACGTTCAAAACGTGACAAGTAAAGCCCTCAAATGCCTATGGGCCTGTAAAAGAGCGATAGGAAAGAATTGGGGGCTAAAACCAAAAATGGTATACTGGCTGTACACAACAACAGTCAGACCTATCATACTTTACTCAGCTTTGCTATGGTGGCACAAAGCAAAGACTGTAGCCAACTTATCCTTATTAGGAAAGATTCAAAGGCTTGCTTGTATAATGATAACAGGCGCAATGAGCACGACACCGACGGCTGCTATGGAGGTGATGCTCGGCATGCCCCCGCTGCAGCTGGAGGTGGAGGCTCGGGCAACAATTACACTGTACAGGATAAGCAAGTCAACTTACTGTTCAACAGTCCCCTGTCAGGGAGGACACACAACACTGCTGAACAGGATTGGAAGTGAAAGAGTGCTAGCTATGCACTCTGACACTCTAATCCGAGAATATCAGGACCGAAAATATAAGGTTGAGATAGATAGCAGCAGAAGTCATAAACCAAATAGTGGAATAAATTGCTACACAGATGGCTCTCTAACAGCCTTCGGCTCTGGAGCAGGCATCTATCGCAAAGATATAAAAGAAAAAATTTCTATACCACTTGGCAGGTATGCTTCAGTGTTTCAATCCGAGATACTGGCAATCTGCCACTGTGTACAAAACCTACTGCAAACCAATGTGATTGAGAAAAAGATCACCATCTTTACTGACAGTCAGGCAGCAATAGGTGCTCTTGACAATTATTATGCTTATTCAAAGGTCGTTAAGGAATGCAATAGAGCACTTAACGAGCTAACTGAGCACAACAGAGTTGCAGTGGAGTGGGTGCCAGGCCATTCTGGCATACCGGGCAACGAGATGGCTGATGAGCAAGCCAGATTGGGCTCAGATACTATTCCTATAACTCCCGAGCCTGTCTGTAGAATCAGCCTTAGTACTGCCAAGGGCAGGATCAGGGAGATCTATGGGAACAAATTTAGGAATTACTGGACCGACAAGAAACAGAGACACTCGAAGCTGCTCCTTAAAGGCCCATGTAAAAAAAGAAGTGAACAGCTACTGAACATGGACAGAGCAGCTCTTAAAAAACTTACAGCGATCTACACAGGTCACTGTAAGTTAAATAATCATATGTTCAATCTCCGAGTAATGACGAATCCGCTATGCAGATTCTGTCAGGAGGAGAATGAAACAGCTTTTCACATCATATGCAGATGTGACAAGTTTACAAGGCTGAGACTGGCGTTATTTGGGGAGGAACAGATGGATCTCCCCAGTAGATTTGAGTCGGTTAACCCAACCAGCCTACTTAGATACGCGGAAGCGACAGGACTAACGTTTTGAATAAGACGACCTAGCGAAATTGGCGCACAATGGACCCAAAGGGGTCGACGTGCTTAAAGCCAACATTAATAAAAAAAAAAAAAAAAAAATGTATTTTACAGTAAAATTTATATGAAAACTTTTGAAAGATAATTAAATTACCTATTAATGTTTCTGTATTTCTGATATAACCATAATTTTATTTAATACTAAAACTAGTAAATTTTCCGAAGTGAAAACTTCTTTAGCACTTTTTTTTGCTGAGAAAGAATTAGATTATGCCGTCAGATATCCGATGTGTAACGCTCGGGTTAAGTCGGCTGGAGTCGACTAATTAAAATGTATTTGCATATATAGGGTTAAAGTATTTAAAAAACTATAAATTGGACCTGCATACTGTAAGCGAGGGAATTGTTCATCATTTCATCCTCTTTGTAATGAGCTATTATTCAAAATTGTATCTTAACGTGACACCGTGTTATAGAGGCGAAAAGAAAAAATTAGTGTCAAAAACCAAATTATAACGAGCTTTATTGAATATATGGATTAAAATATCTTAAAAACTAAAAATCGGATCTGCATACTGTAAGTGAGGGAAATGTTCAGCATTTCGTCCTGTTTATAATGAGCTATTGTTTATGATTTGTATTTAAAAATATTAATCTTGCCTTTTTGATGTTTTCACTTCTATCGTGTGATCTAAAGCACACACCTTAGGTTTTTTTTTTAAATTAAACAGCTCTTTAATTATCTTGTTTCTTTTAGACACTTTACAAGTCTCAGTCTGAACAGTTGAAGGATGAAATAGAAGAAAAATGCAGGAACATCGTTGAACTTGAAGAAGAGCGAGGCTCATTGGCGCATCAGCTCCAACTAGCTCTGGCTAGAGCTGATTCTGAAGCATTGGCCCGATCGATCGCGGAAGAGACAGTTGCCGATCTTGAAAAGGAAAAGACGATGAAAGAACTTGAATTAAGAGAACTTTTGTCAAAACATAGAGCAGATACTCTGAATAGGGACACAACGATTAACAACGTAAGTACTTACTTGTTTGTTTATTTAGGCTTTAAGGTGTAAAACCCAAGGGTCATCAACGCCTGTGAGTCGGTTATATTTGTAAACTCTTAAGAGGAGGATTAATGATTAATAATGGATGGAGTAATAAATGAAAAAGATATTTAAAAACATAAAAAATGAAATATATTAAAAGAAATATAAAAAAAAAAAAGAAAGAACAATAAAATAAAAATTATATTTATTTTTATATTTTATTTAATAGCCTATGGGATTTTAAGAAATTTTATCACTGTTTTTATGTTTGATTCGTTGTTGCTTAATAATTAAACAATGAATTTGTTTGAATGTCGATGTCTTTCTTTTCGATAGTGTTAGGATTTTGTTTTGTAATTTCAGCAAAAGATCTAGTAAACTGGGTATGATTCTGTTCTTTATATATTTTTTTTGCGTAGTAAAAATTGGACACCGACGATCTAATGAGTTGTGATTTTGGGCACAATTACTACAGTGGGCTTGGCGCGTAAATCTCACGTTATCTTCATGTTTTGCTTCACCGCACTGAATGCATTTACTTTTTTGTTTGCCGACGTTCGAGGGGTGACCAAAAGATAAGTCGTTAAAACAGAGAAGCGGGTTAGGAATATAATCTTGTACCTTGACTGTATGGAATCCTATCTTTATTGTTTCCGGAATTCTCGTTGTAGGAAAGATCATGATATAAGAATTTGTCAATATCTCATTTCCAATTTTTTTTTATTTTAATGTGTAATATATCCTTTATCACTGAAGATAATTCATTTTTAATTTTGTCTATCTCTAGAAATTGGAGGTCGTAACATCGAATCGCTCCTTTACTGTAATATAAGCTATTGTAGGGAAAAACCTGAACCGGAAATTGGCCACCAAAATTTTTACATTTTAATAATTCTTCTGATTGTTTTCTGTTTTTGGTTTCAATAAGTAATGTACCATTTCTTAGCTTTTTCACATTTTTTAAGTCTCCTACTAAACCTGAAAGAAACTTATTTAATAAGAACGGGGATACTTTTTGAAAATTTTGATCATCTGATCTTTCTGTTATTAAGAACGATGGGCTCATTAGGATCGCACCATCCGTATTTTCGGCTTCGAATTTAAGACGACCCCGAGGTCGTTTTAGATTAACCTTTGGGCTATTTAAATCTACGGGGTCCCCCATAGAAATATAAAATAAAACGTAATAAAAGAAAGTAATTAATAAAGAGAAAAAGAAAAAAAAAATTGATAAAATAAATATATCCTTATAGTAAATAACAACTAATAAGTGAAAAGTTATAAGAAAAAGAAATTAATAACTGTATTTAATCTTATCTGTGAGCAACTATAGAGGGAAGTCTTATCTCTTCCAATGCTAAAACAGAACTGAAGTACTTATTTGTTTTTTATATTATTGCAATATTAGTTAATTTTATCCTTCTTGTAATATGAAAAATCATTGAATCACTAATATTTCTAAATTCCTTAGAATTTTAATATGAAACCCTGCTATTTTGTTTTATTTATTTTTTTTTTTGTTTCTAGTTCAAAGATAGAGAAGTAGAACTCAAAAAGACCATCGACCAATTGGTGAAGGAAAATACTGATTACAACCACAAAAACGAAATTATGGAAAAAGGTAAAGAAATAAAAAATTATATAATCAGATTGTCCTATGTTTCTACTCTGGGAAGGCAACTGTAACAGGCTATAATCACTTCCTTAAAAATGTTTCTAGTATTCCGACTATGTTTCGAAATAATAATCCCGTTATATTGTATTCTACCGTTAAAAACCTTTGATCAAACTCTTACATAGAGAAACCATGTATCGTATCATGCCTTTTCCACCTTAAAGTGTCTAAAATTACTCCAGTAAATAACCTTCCGTTTTGTCGGGGGTCTTAGTTATTTACACTCGTGAGTTTAAATTTTTCAAAACAAAACCCTGGCTTCGGATAAATTTTTTTTAGGTTGTTTACTGCTGTTGGGAATTCGGGAACCTAATTCTTTTGTGACACTGAGTGGCAAGAAATAAGGAGAATATACAGGTTGTTTCAGGGTTATGTGGCCAAACTGCGTAAATGAACTTTCATGAAGTTCATCCACCAACTTTGAGCTAGTTGCATAACTATTCAGGATCCCAATTGCCGCTTGACTATTCGTATTTATATTTTTATCAATCTATTCATAATGCTTTTCCTTATAAGCGATTGAGCATAGAAGTCGATAACTAAAATCTCAGGTTGAAAGACGTATATCTACTTAGAGATATGAATATTCCCTCATTAGGTTTATCCTTTCTCCAGATGCCAACCCCAGATCCTTGTTCCATCAAAGATCCATCGGCATAACAGTTAACTCCATTATATGGTCTATGTGAGTTATTGCTGCCAATCTTCAAATTATACAGGGTATTTTAAGGTTAAGTGACCAAACTGCAAAAATAAACTAAGGACCTCAAAACTAGAAAAAAATTTCCTCTGAAGGTATGTCTGCAAACACTTTGTTTAGGAGATATTCACACCTAAAGATTTTTGTTATAAATTATTTACGTTATATGAAATAAATAAAATCTGGAATATTCCACTACAACTGAGAAGGGACATGTGTCTTCAATCAGATGGTTGTCCTGCACATTTCGGAAGAGGTCCACGTCAATGGCTAAATGTTAATTATCTCAATCAATGGATTGGCTGTTCAGGACCAGTGGCTTGGCCTGTACGCTCTCCAGAACTGACACCACTGGATTTTTTGTTTCGGTTACATTAATAAAAAGTCTATGCAAGTTGATGACATTAATTCCTTACAAAAAAGGATAATTGAATCTTGTGAAACAATAACACATATCCAGTGCCGTTCTGCCACTGCTGCTGTTGAAGAAAGATGCCGAGCCTGTCTTAATGCTCAAGAAAATCACTTTGAACAACATTTAATATGAATTTAATGTTTACGTTTAATTAATAAAGTAGTTAGAACAAATAAATAAGTTTTATTTACTTAATATGACGTAAATAATTCATAACAATAAAAATCTTTAGGTGTGAATATCTCCTAAACAAAGCGTACGTGGACATGCTTTCATAGGATTTTTTTTTTCTTGTTTTGAGATCCTTAACTCATTTTTGTAGTTTGGCCTCTTAACCCTGAAACATCCTGTATACGAAATGTTGGACTGAAAAATACACTTTGAATGAATTTACTCACCTGATTTGTTGTTCATCTATAGTGAGGCATATAGGACAACTAAATAAAAGGAACATCCACTCCTGTATAACAAAGATAATTCATTTTAACAAACGTAATGAATGAGTCTATTAAAGTCTTATAACTGTAGGCTTGATCATCATATTCTTCCCTTTTGTTTTTCTTTCTAAAATAAATAAAGTCGATACAAACATTTTGCCAGGCTTCAATAATGGAACGGTGGTAGGTCTGTAGATTGATACGGGACAAATTGGACCTTGAAGATTTTAATGCGTACAGCAAGACCCGGATAGTTCCTTTGGAACTATCGGATCCTGCTTTTTTAAGCCCAAAAAAGTACTATTTTCGGGATAACGCAAGGCATAAGGTTCGCATCCACACAACCGTACGTTAATTGTAGTACTGTCATTGAATGTCTCATTTTGCAACTTGAGGCCTCCATGATCGAGAGAGGAGGAGTTTATATTATTTATCGATGGTGTTTTTGATCGGCAAGCCATATCATCATTAATTCTTCACCAAATCTCAAGATTGAGCCACCAATTTCGAAGGCTTCCTTCTCCTTCAGGCGGGCAAATTAGTCCAATCATCCCAAAAATTCTTCAGGTAAACAAGTTATGAAAGAAAACAAACTTTATTTGAAATTACAAACTTGAATAACTAATAAATTACACACTTTTTTTCCTGGGATATTCCCATGATTATATAAAACATTACTAAATTGTCTACAAAAGGGAAAAAAAAAATCATTGAAATCGGACAATTTTTCGCAAAGATACAGCTTATTGAAATTTGTAAATTTGTTGGTTCCAAACATTAATGAAGAGTTAAACTTATTTTTGTTTCCTTTGCCGATTATATTTATCAATAAAGTAACAATTGATTTCTTTATCTTTCGATATATTGCATTATTTTATTTTCTTAATAATTTGGCATTTGATAACAATATGCTGTGCGAATTGTTCTCATGGGCCTACTAGTTGTTTATACATATGCTACTTTTCACTAAACCTGAAGTAGCATTTATTTGCTGACATGATACTGCGATGGATCTCTGCTTGTATGTCATTATCTGTGTTTACTTGTTTACCAAGATACCTTCTGTATTCTTCTGAAATATGGAGCTTAAGATACCTGGATGATATTGAAGTGGTACAGCTGAAGTTTCTGAAGCAACTATTTAGTTGGCCAAGGAATACTGCCAACTACATTGTACGTCTCGAAACTGGCCGAAACGCCTTGACTGTCAGGGTTATGAGAAGGATTATAAATTACTGGTCTAAATTGTCGCTTATGCCTGAAGAGAGGTTAGCAAGACTTTGCTTCAACAAATTTATTTTGCTGGATACAAGGAATCCTGATATAAACTTTAATTGGATCACACAAGTCAGATCAATAGCTGCTCATTATGGCTGTAAAGAAGAGTTTGATAAAGAATACCCAACTGGATTATTAAAATACAGCGATGAAATATTGGAAAAGCTAAAAAACCATAACCTATCTAAGTACATCCATTTATCTATAAATTCCAACTACAATCCCATATATAGAACTATTTCCAGCTTCAATATTTCCAGCCCAGAGTCCTATTTGATGTATAGAGCTAACATGAAAAAGCTAAGATCAATAAGTCAGCTAAGGGTTTCAAATCCCGAATTAATTAAGCTCTATACGAAAAACAAAAGTTTCTACTTCAAAATTACCAGGAAACCTGCACTTTCTGTAACCAATTCATTACTAAGAGCATGTTCCATATCCTTCTGTACTGTGAAAAGCTAACAGACGACAGACACAAACATTTACGAGCATTTTTCTCTGTGCCAAGTGATGTAAACAAGATACAAGATATACTTCGAATCGATAACATAGAGAAACTTAATATAATTTACTGGTTCATAATGCCAGCGTGCAATTCACTAGATTCCTTAAGCTCTGATGTTCCACACACCAACCAAGTGATATGACTAAGGATAATTGTTGGTCAGTTCAATTAATTGTTTTTTCTTTTTTTTTGGTTTTATTGATGATGCATATAGAAATTAATTGGAATATAATGAAGTATTATTGTTTAGTTATTGTTTTTATAAGAAGTCAATATACAGTTATGATAAACTAGACTCATGTAGGTGAAATAAAGTTATTCATATATGTATGATTTGTACAAGATTGTAAAATAATCTTTAACAAATAAATTCAATTCTATTCTACTTGTTTACCAAGATAAAGATACTTTTTCATCTTCCAAATGAATTGCTTTCAACCAGAATCAAAAGATCTGTTGAATATACCCCCAACTTATATTATAGATTTTCATATCGCACTTTCGAGGGTCAAATTCAATCACCCTGCCTTAATCCTTTGTGATTTTTTTATCTCCAATTTATTTGTTGTAAATATGAATTTTTAAAAAATACATATTTATTTACTCCATATATAAAATTGTTTTAATTTCATATTTATTTGTCATATTTAGATATTCGTAATACTAAAGCCTGTATGGACGATTACGAAAGGCTAGTGAAACAGTTGAAACAAGAACAATTACTCAAAGCTCAAGCTGTGAATAAACTCGCTGAAATCATGAATAGAAAAGACTTGAACGTAACTGCTAAATCTAAGGCTAAAGTTTCATCAGCCGATCTAAGGAGGAAAGAAAAAGAATGTCGAAGATTGCAGCAAGAACTTACTCTGGTGAGTCTTCTTATCGTATTGTATCTTCTTATATATTAACTCCATATTTTTATTTATTACATTATAATAACTATGAAAAAATTTTCGATAACTTATAAACAAAAAATATGCTGAAAATTGTTTTTAGGAGCGTGAGAAATATGGACAAGAAGCTATGAAGTGGCAGAAAGAATTACAGGAACTGCAGGCTGCGGTCGTTGAAGAAAATTCTTCAAAAGTAAAGTTGCAGATGGAGCTGGATTCTAAAGACGCTGAGATAGAACAACTTCAAACCAGGCTGGCCACTCTCTGTAGTGAGACAGCTTCTCTTAGCAGCGCCGAAAATGATGCCGATGACACTCAAGGTATGTTTTTAGATTATGATTTATGGTAAGCAATGCTATATAATTATTATTTTTCAAGAGTTAGGCTGAAGTTGTTGGAAAAATATTGAAATATCAATTAATTTGAAGAATAGAAGGTTCTTGTTATATATTGTCGTTTTATCAAAAAAAAAGTCATTAAGTGATGTTTTATAATCTCAAATAATAGTCAGTGGTACAGACCCCTTTTTATCAAATTATTAAAATCCACCGAAAACTTCGTAAATAGCTTCATCTCATCATAACCGAAAAATATTTTATTTTCAAAAATTCTCGAAATCGTAGCATTTTCAATCTGGATATTGGCAAACTGTCTATTTAAGTAGGTATTATAACTCATGTATATCCATTTGCTTTCCACTTGAATCGTAAAACAATATGATCATAAAATTGGGGGGAGGGGTGGCCTTCAAACATATTGGGCCGTTTGGCTCAGTATTTTGACATTTTGGGGGTGGTCATGCCAACCGCACCAATATTTTTGTAGACCACCTTTTTTTTCGACTTTGTGATCGTTTTTATGGTTTGTTTGATCATGAGTTTTTAGTTCCTAATAAAATAAACAAAGTGTTGCCAATCTCCAGATTGAAAACGCCCCAATCCGAGAATTTTTATAAATAAAATACTTGTAGGTTACGATGAGATGAAGCTATTTACGAAGTTTTAGGTGGATGTTATTACTCTGACGAATTGGGCTTTTACTATGGGCTATAATTAATAACTCTAAAGATACAAAAAAAGATGAAATTACTTTAGGATTAAAAAACACTAAAATATATAGTGTGTAATGAAGAGAAGAATAGTTGGGGTGATCAGTCAAATAAGAAGGCAAAAATTAATGATAATATTTATTTTGACATTTGCCGACTTTTCGACCTGAACTTCAGGCCATCATCAGGTCTAAGAAAAAAACCAGATAACAAGGTATGAGAAACATTTAGTAGTGTAGGTAAAAAAAAAAAAAAAATTAAAATGCAGTTGTTAGAATAATGAAAATAGTAAGAACTAAGAGATAAATGATAATAACCGGTACAAAGTGTGGAATGATGAAGTAAACATAATAAAAACAAGGTGACATAAGTATTAAAATGGTAATCTTAGAATAAAATGTAAAACAGAAAAATATGAAGTTATATAAGAAATGGAAATAAACAGTAAAATTAAGATATAGTGAATAGAATAGTTAGATAGAAAATTGAGATGTTGTAAAGTCTATCAAGATGTACAGACAATGTATAATATAATAAAGAGTTAAAACAGAGAAAAGGAATGAAAGGAAGGAGGAAAGAAACTGAGAAGGCTGAAATAAGAAAGAATAAGAAAAACAACCTGACTGCGGAGATGTAAATCTTACTATTTATTTCCATTTCTTATATAACTTCATATTTTTCTGTTTTACAATTTGTTCTAAGATTCCTATTTTAATACTTATGTCACCTTTTTTGATTATGTTTACTTCATCATTCCACACTTTGTAACGGTTATTATCATTTATCTCTTAGTTGTTACTATTGTCATTATTCTATCAACTGCATTTTAATTTAATTTGTTTTACCTACACTACTTATGTTTCTCATACCTTGTTATCTGGTTCTTTTCTTAGCACTGATGATGGCCTGAACTTCAGGTCGAAACGTCGGCAAATGTCAAAATAAATATTATCATTTATTTTTGTCTTCTTATTTGACTGATCACCACAACTATTCTTCTCTTCATTATTCACGACAGTCAACCATTTATTTTACCCCATTTTATTTACCCACAATTATATAGTGTGTAGTATATAGTTTAGAGATACTACAATCGATTTTGAAGCTACAACAAAGCAATTTCAGTAATATGAACTGAGAAATACAGCAGTTTCCCTTCCATCTCTCATCAGTAAACTTTTCTTTCTTGTTTGGATTAGTATGGATTCGGATTATCAAGGCAGTCCTGTACTTTTGTTTATTCTTTTTATCCTCAAATAGTGTCACCTTCTTTTATCTTTCTTTTAGCCCTATTGAAGACCTGCAGGGCGGATCGAACAGTTAATATAGAACAATTATAAACAGATTTTATTTGATGTTTTAATTTTTACACCAACTTTCGGGCCATCTCTTATTATATTATCTGTCGTATTCATTACTATTATCTAATTTTCTCTGATACTATTTTAAGCTAATTGTATCTTTCCCTTTTCAGGTACCGAATCTAGGCTCGAAGGGTGGTTATATATTCCTCAGAAGCAGAACATCAGGAAGCACGGCTGGAGAAAGCAATACGTCGTCGTTTCGTCTAAAAAAATTATATTTTATAATTCAGAAAGTGAAAAGCAGAATACTGATCCCGCGCTGATATTAGATCTCAGGTTAGAATAACATATTATAATAATTTAAGTCTGCCAGGAAGTTTCGATTTACAAAACAATTGAACTAGATATGAGAATATATTTTATTATTATTGTTATTAATGATTTACAATTTAAATTATTATTTTAAAATATAATACTTACCGAAAAGCCACTATTTAACGCAAAAATTACTGACACTTGACCAAATAATATAACCTTAACTGTGATATCAACTTTCTCTCACAAAGAATTCGCTAACTCGGGAATTATTTACTAATTCACTGACTGATTAGAACTGAACTAACTATCTTGACTGCTAATTATTGTAGACTGGAATATGTTTCTATAACTTTTAATATTCAAAACTGTTATATATATATATATATATATATATATATATATATATATATATAAGCCCTTATAGTTGCTACTTATTTAATTTTTAACAACGTTTCGAGTAGTTTGCTCTCATTCTCAAGTTATCAAAATGCAAAAAAAAAAAATTTCAATATATTCCAAAATCTTTCCATTATATTATTCTATTATCGGTGATTCTCATTTTAGGAGCAAGTTTTAGTGCATTAAAACTTTTACATGATTAGTTAAGTCAACTTGATTTTTTGCCCCACTGCTAGACGGTAAAGAAGTATTTCTTCATAATGAAATATTAAAAATTAAAATATTAAAGAATAGTGTGATTTTATAATTACTTAAGCTACTAACCACGTATTGTCCCACTCTCAGTTTTCTAGTAAACAATTTTTTTCTTCTTTCAGAACCTATGTAAAATGACAGTGAAATTTATTTCCATTCCTAAAGAATAATTAAGGCATTTTTAATTATATATTTTTGAAAACTTTTCTTAACAGTGGAGTATGTTTATATATTTTTAAACATTGTCACATCACTTTGATATCATTACCAATCAAAAAACATAACATCAGATATTTAAGCGTTGAAAATAGAGAACAGTGGAGAAATTTCTTCAGAGCAGTAGTCATGGTGTTGAAGGACAGCGACCAGCGGATAGACCAGTTGGGGAGCCTCCCTCTACGCATCCGTTTCTTATACGTTGAGCACGTATCCCGCTACCTTTTCAAATTATTTCATTTATTATAATTCATGTTTTGACTATGGTTTGTAGCAAGCCAGTTTGAAGAAAACAAAATTATAATACTAGTTACACAGCGAATAAAATACGTGAAATGTCATTAGCTAGTTGAAAACTCATTTTATTCCCACAATTGAGTTATTATATGTACTTACTTTAATTACTGAGCAAAAAGCACTTTTGATCTTGGCCATTTTCTCAGATAAACCTGAGCGGCAATAGAAGGTGTAAATAATTTAAAAATTGTATTTAAATGCCGACAAAATTATTAAAATTGCTCATAATCTGAGAATCACCCCTATATACTTCATTGGAGACACCATTCGTAATTACATTAAATGCTCTTGAAAAACCTTCTACTAAAGTAATTAAATTAAACAAATTATGATTATTATCTAAAAAAAAATATTTTAAAGTCTACTATTAGTGCTTTGATTTCGATGAAACTTCTTTTGTTTTTTAGGCAATTTAAATATCTTTGAAAGATCTTAACACAATATCCCCAAAAAAGTGTGTACTTTTTGAGTTATTTGGAATTTAATTTTACCATCTCTCGTAAGTTTTTTTCCAGCTTCTTTTCGTTGAAGTATGTTATATAGATAAATTTAAAATGACTAGCGAAGTTTCATTGAAATCGGTACATTCGTTTCGGCGCTACAGTCTATAGCAACGCAGGTTTTTCTGCATTTTTATTTTTTTTTCTCCTTTATTAACTTATCAAATTCTTTCAAAAGTTATATTTAACATTTTTTCGTAACTCTGAATAATGTGAAATGATTAACTTTTTAAAATAAACCATATTAAAGGTACTTTAGAGGAAGACGTATATGAACATTGGGCATTTAAGCCCTGTAAAGTGACATCAATGGGGATAAGACTTAATTGATATTAAAGACCACTTAATTATACAATGATACACCGAGTTTAATCAAAATCGTTAGAGCCGTTTTTGAGAAAACTGTGAAAATGTGTTTCAGCGTTGATATAAAGTGGCACTTCCGGTTAGCTGATTTTAAGAAAAAGTTGCTGTCACAACTAAGGCATATACCTATCTTAAATACGTAATATCAGTTTCATAGGACTTTTCGTTTTTGAGCTAGACTGCTAACATACAAACACACAGACCATTTTTCGGGACTTGGTCATTTCGACTCAGGGTACTTCAAAATGTGTAAATCCGTTGAAAACTCAGATTCAATAATTTTTTCGATCGCAATACTTACAACTTACTATATATTACATATATACGTAAGTGAAAGTAATAAATGTCACAAATAATCAATTTTGCAATAAATCCATGGAAAATCAGTGCAATGTATTCATTAATTTTAAGCACTAAAACTATGATTAACTAGATTGAAGAAGAGCAGATTAGGTATAATCGTGGCTTTTATCAGTTATATATCAAGTGTGTAAATATGAAATCACAATTTTGGTATAGAAAATTTTTAAAAATAGAGGGCATTGTCTTCCATCCATTCTTTCATCTGGATTTTGATGCTTGGATTGTAGTCCGTGGTACAGACTCCTTTTTATTAAATTATTAACATACGCCTGAAACTTTGTAAATAGCTTCATCTCATAGTAACCTACAAATATTTTAGTTACAAAATTCTCGTAATTGGAGCTTTTTCAATCTGGAGGTCGGCAAATTTTGTCTTTTTAATCAGGTACTAAACACTCATGAATATCCATTTTATTTCCACTTGGATCGTTAGATAATTTGAACACAAAATCGAGATAAAAGGTGGCCTGCAAAAATATTGGGCCATTTGGCCTATTAACCTTGTTATTTTGACAATTTGGGGATGGGGTCTAGGTCAGACCAAACAGCTCAATATTTTTATTAAGGCCACCTTTTTTCTCGACTTTGTGCTGAAATTATCTTACGATCAAACTGAAAAGCAAATGAGCATTTACGAGTTTTTAATTCCTAATTAAATAGACAAATTTTGCTGATCTCTAGATTGAAAAGTTCACAATTCTAAGAATTTTCTTAAATAAAGTATTTGTAGGTTACGATAAGATTAAGCTATTTATAAAGTTTCAGAAGGATGTTAATTATTTGATAAAAAGGGATCTGTACCTTGGTATATGAATATTTATATAATTTATCTAAAATTTATAGGGTGATAAGATGCCCATTATGGACAAAAAAAAAAAGTTACCAATAATGCGGTTTAAGGGTAATTTTAATTTTAACTACATTAAAAGCTAGAACCTTCTTTGAACGAATTCCAGTTTCATATTTACATACCTGGTAATATATTGGACTGAGAAATTAAATCAACATACAAATTGTTTCATTTATTTTAAAATAATTTTAATAATTTCTTTTATTTTTATTCCTTTTCAGCAAAGTGTTTCACGTGAGATCGGTTACCCAGGGTGATGTTATTCGCGCTGATGCCAAAGAAATTCCTCGGATATTCCAGGTAATTTACTTTTATATACACATTGACATATTCTCCTCTATACATACATACATATATATATAGAAATAGAAAAATCATCTTTATTCTGGGACTAGGTCCCTTTAGAATAACAGTATTGTTCATATAAATTAACCATTAATCTGGCCAAAAGACTTATTACAATGAATAATAACAAAATACTAGTAATAAATTAAGTATAATAGCTCTTAGGATAAATTAACGAGAACAGTTGGGTAATAGGAGTTCAGTACTACAATATTGGAGCTAAAACAATACCATAATAATCACCGAATGAAATTAGAAAGGAACGTAAAATATATATATATATATATATATTTATATATATATATATATATATATATATATATATATATATATATATTTTTTTTTTTTTTTCCTGATCTACTGTTTGGCTTTTTTTTTTTTAATTTGTTGGCTCATCAGAGCACATTGACCCCTGAAGGATCTATTGTACACCAATTAAGTTATTCGTTAATTAGTCCGCGTATCTTAGTGAGCTGGTTGGATTAACCGTCTCATATCTACTGGAGAAATCCATCCGTTTCTCCCCAAATAGTTGCAGTCTAAGCCTTGCGAATCTATCACATTGACAAAAAATGTGTAAGGCTGTTTCATTTGCCTCTTGACAGAATCTGCATAGCGGATTTGTCGTCACTCGAAGATTGAAAATATGGTAATTTAACTTACAATGGGCTGTGTACATCGCTGTAAGTTTTTTAAGAGCTGCTCTGTCCATACTCAGCAGTTCGCTTCTTTTTTCACATGGACCTTTAAGAAATAGCTTCGAATGTCGCTGTTTCTTCTCAGTCCAATATTGTTTGAATGTGTTCCCATAAATCTCCCTAATCCTACTTTTGGCAGTACTAAGACTGATTCCACAAACAGCTTCAGGAGTTATGGGAATGGTATCTGAGCCCAATCTGGCTAGTTTATCTGCCTCTTTGTTGCCTAGTATGCCCGAGTGCCGTCCAATTGTGTTCAGCAGTACTGTATGTCCCCCTTGACAGGGGATTAAAGAGCATCATTCGAGTTTATCATAAAATTCACATTTGACTTCATCGTCACTGTCTTCGGTCAGACAATGTAGGTTTATTAATGCGATTTTAAACCAACGTCCCTGAAATATAGCTACCGAAATTCTATCACTAAAGAATTGTACGTCCCTCAAAGCGAATAGCAATCTATTCCTAATTAGAAACCCGGTACCTAAACAATGATTCCCGCTTCCACCGTACCAAATAGTGTACTTTCCTTCCCTCATTGTGCCCTCCCCTGGCCAGCGAACCTCTTGCAGAGCCACGACATCCAAATTGTACCCATGTACCTCATTCGACCGATTTTAGTCTCCTTGCTGTGTTTCAACTCCTTATATTTCACGTACCAATATTTAAATCCCTATATTTCAACTTGCGCCATGAATCCCCTAAAGCAGTCCCCACCGGAGACCCGAACGGGGGACTAGTTTACTTCCGGATAATGAGCGTTTTACCTTAGGGAGATCCTTGACTATTTGTGGTATATGGTGAACTAAAGGGCGTTCAATCCTATGTCACACCCTTCAGCAAGTCTGGTAGACCCCTGCTTCCATCAAGTGTGGAGGTTCCCTCCCTCCAGCAACTCTGGAGGGCCCCTCTCATTGTTGGTCAGTGAGTCCATCGGACTTAGCCGGAGGAATTTCCACCAACCATCCCCTCATCCACCACCCGTGCGACGCTCCCCATACGTGGTAATGAACCCGTGCGAGGCATGTATGTTTTATATCATAATGATTTTATGTTATAATGATCATTAACAAAAAAAAGTACTAATTTAATAAAATATTATAGAAAATTCAAGATTCCTGTAGATTGCCCAAGATAAGAGCTGACGGACAAAGCTAAAGAAATTTTTTATCTTTTTTGGCTTATGCCAGCGTTATTATTATACTTATAAACTTCTCTTTTGGACATTTAGAATCTATAGGGTCTACTTTTTCTAATTAACACTTTAATTAACACGTTTTCAAAATCTAAAAAATATTCAGTTATGCAGGTATAATCTCCATTTAAAAAAAACACCTCTTTGCGCTAGTGATGTACAGACCGAAATTTAATTGTTCTAGTAATGGACAGAGGATCAGTACCAGTAATAGATATACCTTAGAAAAATTCTAAAATCTTTATTTAACTATGAAGATAAGATAAGATAAATGTTCAACTTACTCTTAGCAAAACTGTTAGTAGGAAGGTATGAAAAACACTGATTTCAAGAGCACTATAGAAACAACAATGATAGGCATTTTAAAATTTACTTTTGGAAACTTTGTTCATCATACAGTTGTCAATAGAGGGCATTGTTTCAATCAATATGGAAGCTCATAAGTTACATTTAAAGACCACCCTGTCTATAATGGGCATCTTGTCACCCAATAAATTTTAGATAAATTATATAAATATTCATATAACTTTTGCAAGAATTTTTATATAATCGTCCAAGGTACAGACTCCTTTCTACCAAATTATTAACATCCGCCTGAAACTTTGTAAATACCTTCTTCTCGTCGTAACCTATAAATGTTTTATTTACGAAAATTCTTGAAATTCGGACGTTTTCAATCTGAATACCAGCAACCTTTGTCTATTTAATCAGGTATTTAAACTCGTCAATTGATAAATGCAGCTTAACAGATAAAGAAACTATTTGGTCTACCATCTCTACACTATTATAACACATATATATCTATTAAATCATGAAGGAAGGAAGGAAGTACGTGTCAATTAACTTATTTTCTAAACTTATTTATTTATTTTTTGTGCAGGGTTATTTTTTTTTTTCTTCCAGTGATTACCATTGTAAGCCCTCTCCCTACCTTCCAAAAAAAACCATTAAATCCTAAATCCACTATTGGCTTGGTCTACTTGTTAGCATCTGTTAATATGAACAATATACAGGTATGGTTCAAAGTCTTATATTATTTAAGATTTTTCCCTTGGGTTAGGACTGGCATTTAAGCTGATTTATGAACTAAATTTTGCGAAAAATGAACTAAATTTTGTGAAAATAACTTAAAAAGTAAATAAATAAATTTAAAAAGTAACAATCTATTCTACAAAAAAAAAAAAAAGGTCGAGACTATGAGAAATATATGACTCTTTGTTTACCTAAAATTATATTAATTATAAATGATCAAACTTTTTCTCAGTTTTAATTTTGCTCTTGTTTCTTCTCAAAACATTAACAATATTATTATAATAATATTACCTGTGTTGAGGTTTAATGTAATTTTTAATTTTTTTTATTACAGTTATTGTACGCTGGTGAAGGAGAAGCGAGGCGTCCAGACGAAACCGAACTGAGAGGTGTTGATGACAAACCAAATACATTAGCTCTGTCTTTCAAAGGACATGTATTTGTCCAGATTTCCTTTCATATGCCTACTAATTGCGAGGTTTGTCCTAAACCACTTTGGAACGTATTCAGACCTCCTTCTGCACTTGAATGTCGAGGTAAGAAAATTATTTGAAAGAAATCTATGTTGTCCAATGTAGGAGTACTTGCATATATAAACTAAACATGTTTATTTTTTTTTTTATTTAAAAAAAAAATCATCATGATATTAAATAGTTATTCTGGATATAAGGACTGTAGGTGTGGGCTCCTAGTGTGAAGTTTAATTTTCGTGTGCTTTTTCTGCATTTTTATGGCTCATTTATTTTTAAAAAATTATATAATAGGATGTATAAAAAAAAAAAATGACCGTTTTTCAACCAAATATTTGTATTATTGAGGAAGGAGATGGTCCGGGGTGGCGGTAATAAATAGACTAAAATAGTGGCAAAACTATTTTATTAAAATTAATATTATTTCTTTGATTTAAAATGCAACTAATACTCAAAGTATAGTCCATTGTTATCTACCGTCATTAGCCATCTGCTAGCCAATTGCTCGATTCCATGCTGATACCATTCTTTGAAATGGCTGTGAAAGAACTCATGGACCACAATTTCAACTTCTGCAAAATTATCAAATGGTTTCCCTTGAAGAAAATGGGCAATGGATCTAAATAAGTAGTAATCCGATGGTGCAACTTCATAAAGCAAATTCTGCGAAAAGCAAAGGTGAATAAGCTTCGCCCAATCAGATCCAGGTCTTTGTATGAATGGAGTACATACTTTTTTCTCAAAATAGAATTTCCATACAACTTTCAATTTAATATCCATACAACAATTTCCATATTTTAATGCAACACGATTATCAAAATCATATAAGCAAGACAGCAACCGAAAAAGTTTCCGAGAAAGAGCAGAAGAAAATTTGTCAAAGTTTTCCCATTCGAGGAGAGATCAAATGATTTTAAGACTTATAAAAGCAAGTCCTATTTTGTCAATAAAATATTTTAATTGTTATTGTAAGACGGAATTACACTGGATATTTATTGAATATTTCTAGATAGGTGATCACTGAAAGTAACTAAATATTGAACTTATATAGAACTTAAACTAATGCTTAAAAACTGAGGTGGGAGTAGTTTCATAAAAATTAAATGAGAATAAGAGGCAAAAATAATAATCCGTTTATTTTTACAAGCAATACAAAATTCCTATCAAGTCCCCTCCAATTTTTTTTTTAATTCAGCTTTACAAGTATTCATTGGTAAAAATTAGAACATTTTTGTGTTTTTATTTTCTTTTTTTTTCTAATCTTTACCAATGAATAAATTTTAAAAATCTTTAAATTTGAAAAGTAATCCCCATCATACAGATTTTTAATATATTAATTATATTCTTATTTTTGACTATAATATAAAGCAAGGGAACCATAATCCTTTCTCCCTGGGGACTACTTTATTTTTTCTGCTTGATGTCACATTTACCTGCGGACTAAATTGTGCCTAACCTTACCTGTAACAATGAATTTTATTTTTTAGGATGCCATATCAAGCTTCATCGGGAGCATTTTGACAAGAAGGAAGAAGCGATCGCACCTTGTAAATTGAATTATGATCCCAACTGTGCGAAAGAACTACTACTTCTGGCATCGGATATCAACGAGCAGAAACATTGGGTCACGAGGCTTTCCAAAAAAATTCAGAAGAGTGGATATAAGGCAAATACTACTATTGATGGGGCTAGAATATCCCCTAGGTATGAATTTCAAAGTTAAACGATTTTTTTTTTTTTTTTTTAAATAATTATTTTTTTATATAAATAAGTTGAATATTCTTTTTTTAATTTCATTATAATATTGAGCAGAGGATTAATCTCTGCTTTATAATATTGGTTAAAATATGCATTAAATCATTGCAAAATTTGGTACTTCTTGACTAGCGGGCCGTCACGAAACCTCACTTCTTGTCTATCTTATCTAACGTCACGTCACATAACCTCCCTCTTCTTATCCCGCCAAACCTTTGAGTTATTGCATTGCTTAGTTTTTGGCCCATTTGTGTTTATTTTTAGTTTGTGGCCCCTTTCTGTTTTTTTCATTTATTTTCGTCATATTATGGTCTTATTTGAATATGGGATTTGCCGTCTTCAGAAGAACAGGCAAACCCGTTCCTCGCTATTTTAAAGAGCATAAAACAATTTAGCCTTCCAAAATAAATAAGACAAAGTGAAAATAAATTGTACATATGTTGTTTATAGTGTTGATATTTTTTCTTTTCTATGTAAATATGTTCTTTAAATGTTTTTTAATTATTTCATTTTCATCTTTTATATCTACATATGTTCTTCAAGTGTTTTTTTTAAAGTGTTTTTTTATTATTTCATTAATATATGTGTTGTAAAATAAAAGTATTTTTTTTTGTTATTACATTTGTTTTTGTATCTGTTTACACTTTCAATAATACGAATATAATACAATAATATGAAGATAGGAAGTAGGAGAAGGCTTATCACTGCGTTGTCAGAATTATCAGTGTTCAGGTTATAAACATTGGCAGATAGCAGTCAGTGCCGGCCTGCTAGTCAAGAAGTACCCAAAATTTGTATTGTTATAATTTAAAAATCATTTTTACTTTCACTTACCCTTACATGAAAAATACGTAGTTTAAGAGGAACTATAGTGATAATGAAATGTTTCGAATCTGAGTTTCCAATAGAAATACACCTCATTAGTCCAAATAAATGAAATGAAAATAGCCTTTATTTCTGCATAAATATTACCATTTCTATAAAACATACAATTACGAAAGAAAAAATAAAACAATTTTTTACATTATTATAATTTATAAAGAAACTTTTTGCTATTCTTGTATAGGCCTTCCCTTAGGAGTAATACTAACATTTATTTCTAACATTTAACCATTTTTCTTTCCACCCGTCTCTCTCCCTAGCTGCTCTCCACCAGAGAGGTTCTGCCAAAAGACTAAATGGATCTCTCCATCTCTTCATTTGTCGGCCTCTCATCCTTTTCCGGTCATATGGAGTCCATTTGTTGACTATTTTTGACCATCTATTGTCATTGCATCGCAGGAGATGTCGAGCCCTGTTTCTTCTTTTATGGGATTTCATCTATCTTCTTCACTTTTCAGTCCAAATAACTGATTATTAAATGGTGAATTTTCAAAATTTTGTTCTCTAAAGGACCTTTTATTTTGTTTTATTACAAATAATTAACAGTTTCTTATTATTAGTAATAATATGAAATGGATTAATTTGGATTACTTTGACTTAATTTATTTTGGATTGTAATCCTACAAGTGACTCGATTTTAAGGAGAATCATTACCAAGTGCATAAATATGAAACCAAAAAATTTTTTTAATAGAAAATACGCATTTATTGAATGAATAAAACTGTTGAGAAGGAGTTGATCGGGGTTGCGGTCAAATTAATACTAAATTAAATAAGTATAATTATTCAATTTTTGCCGACATTTCTATTTCTTTCTAAGCAGTGTTTCAACTGCCTCCCGCAGTGCTACATCCTACGGTTTTGTATTTTTGTAGCCCTGATGATGACCTGCAAAATGGGTTGAAACATCGACAAAAATTAAATAATTATACTTGTTTAATTTAGTATTAATTTGTCCGCACTCCCCCCGATCAACTCCTTCTCATATTATTAACGGTCAACCATCTCTATATCATTATGAATAAAACTGTTGAAAAATTAAAAAATATTTTATTCAAAACATTGTCCGTCATTAGCTATACATTTTTTCCCGACCCTCTGGCAATTTATGAATGCGATGTCAGAGTCAAGTCTGGTGAGTAAACAGCATAATCATGAAGCAAAATCATTTTTTGTTTTTGTCAGTTTTCAAGCAATATTCGATTCAAATCAAATATTTGTTGCTGATAGCATTCAGTATTAATGGTTTCACCAGGTTTTAATAGCTCACAATAGATCATGCTCTTGTTCCACGTAGTTCATTTCTCATGCGAAAATTAGCACTTTTTAATTTTTACCAAGATCATGCTCCTCACCGTAAACTTCAACAAGTATTCTATGCGATTCTGCAGCAGTTTTCTATAAATAATAGCAGAAAAATAATGTCATCTGAAAATCATGGGTATAAATCCAAGTGGAAAGCAAATGGATATATACAAGTTTTTAGTACCTAATTAAATAGACAAAGTTTGCCGACCTCCAGATTGAAAAAGTCCCAATTCCAAGAGTTTTCGTAAATAAAATAGTTGCAGGTTTTTTTACATTCCTACCTATACTAGGTAAGGAAAGTATTGCAATTGGGTCAAATTTCCGACATACGGTTTTCGACGGATCTATATGTTTCAGAGCCCTCTGAGTCCGAAAAACATTTTTAGCCATTGGTCTGTCTGTCTGTCTGTGCCAAGATTTTCTCGGAAACTACAGAACCGATTTTGTTGCTTCTTTTTTTATTTTGTAGGGTTTTGACTACTGATACCTGTGACAGAAATTCGGTGTTCCATGCGCAATAAATGAAAAACATGTTTTTCTATAGACTGTAGCTCAAAAATGGTTCTAACAATTTTGATGAAAGTTTCCTATAATGTTCTAATCATCAAAAAAATTCAGGAAAAAAAGTTTTAAAGAAAAGAAAAATGTTATGGGGCCTAACTCCCTAAGTATATATTGTACGGTAAAATTTATAATAACACTTTTGAAAGATAATAAAATTACCAACAAAACAAAACAAAAAAAAAATCATCGGAATCGAACCAGTATTAGCGATGATACAGCTTATTCTATTTTTTACACATTTTTTTAACTGCGGTTTTCGACGGATCTATACGTTTCAGAGCCCTTTGAGTCCGAAAAACACGCCGTTTATCCTGTCGTTTGAAAGGTAATGAAATTCCCTACAAAGCCATATAAAAATCGTTAATTTCGGACAACTATTAACGAAGTTACAGCTATTCAATTCCCAATGAAAGATTACGAGTTCATATCCTGGTGTTAGAAAGGGGTGAATGAGAGAATAAATCTGACTAAGTAAAAGTAAGAAAATCTGTTGCCCGCATCACACAACCTTCACTATTTCCTATACTTTCAACAGAAATTATTGTTTGACAATGCTAAGCTATGGCAAAAAGTTTTTGCTCTACAATATTAGTATATTGAAATGTTTACACTGATCTACCTTAAGCCGGTTTACATTGCTTTAGTTTATCAAATAAATCATACTCAAATCTTATGTTTGATCAATTTTCAGGAAAATGTATCTAGTTCAATTCTTTATTGTTTCTTCGTGAACATATGTAAAGATATAAAAACTTTTTGAAATAGGTAGGAAAGTCGTGTGATTGGGCACACCAGATATTTTGTTTTAAAAATGAAAATCTTTAGGTGTGAATATCTCCTAAACAAAGCGTTTGCGGACATACCTTCAGAGGAAATTTTTTTCTTGTTTTGAGATCTTTAATTCATATTTTCAGTTTGGCCACTTAACCCTGAAACACCCTGTATAATATACAAATAATATATAAATAATAAATTATCTGTAATATCTTGTGTAATTATTAATTTATTTAATTTTAGAGAATCTACCAGGTCTTTATTGAAGCCTTATATAACGACACAGCAGAAGTCTGCAACATTGCCTGCCAACGCCACATCAAAGTGATATTTATTTTTCTAAGTGCCTTATACAGCTAATGTGATATTTATTTCCTGATCATGTAATGATCAGATCATATTTAATCAATTTAGAAAATAAAAATCTCTCTATTAAAACATTTTACTTATACAAGTAACATAGCCGGATTTTAGTATTTCATTTTAAATATAAATTGAATTTTAATACGCTCATAAATTCTTCCAATATATGCGCTTTGTAATTTTTAAACTAAGATTTTTGAATTTTACTTTATTTTATTCATTTTCAAGTTTTTAAATGTTATTTTAATTTTTATGTTACTGTATTAGAGAATGTTTTAAGTACTACTTTCACTTTTACACGAGTAAGTGAAAATGTAAGTTCAATATTTTGTACCATTGTGTAAGTATTTTATTTTTTTTCCTTTATTTTATTTTATTTTTGACTATGTAAATAATATTGAGATCTGTAAATAGTTCTTTAAGTGCAAATTATATCAGAGGAAACAGTTCATCCTTTTTATTTTGTATATAATATGTATATATTTGATTTTATACGCTTATTTGTAATAATGTTTGTATAAACCGAAAGAATGTATTTTCTATTAACAACGAAGTAGTCATTTTTTTTGTTTTTGTTTACAAAAAAATCTCCATAAATTTAAATTACCGATTCTTAAAAAATAACAGCTGAAAATCATTACTCGCATATATTATGGTTTATAAATATATGTAAAATATATATATGTATGGTATGTGTGTATTATTTTCTTCTCTTCCTGTAATAGTAGTGTTTATAAATTTTTAAAAATAATTCTTCAATAAGAAAATAGTAATATTATTTACCTTAAGACACCAAGTGAAAAATACCAAATTATCAGAATTTCTTAAAATGTTGTTGTAATCAAGGTTTGTAATCTTTTAAGTATATACATACTTTCATATATATATTTCTTTAATTTTTTTTGTACGATATGTAAATGTGTATTTGAATTTTATATTACAACATAGCAGTATTTTTTACCGGATTACAAACTAGTTGTGGGGGGGTTTGGCTGAAATAATTTTATTAACAATTGAATTGAGGTTGAAACAACTTAACTGATTGTGTTAGCGATAGGTTGTATTAATCTTTGATTAACTGGTTGTGCAAATTTTTTTATAAACTTTGATAACTTATTTAAACCTATTATTCTTTAAATTTTATTCATTCTTTCAATCTCTTTTGTCTTTTATTTGTTTAATTGTTCCTGAGAACAAATAAAATATCATGAAATATACAATACAGAATGAAAAAAAAATAATGAAAAAATCTATATATGTAGGTTTTTTTAGATTTAAATTTATTCAATATAATTTCATATTAAAATTTAAAGAATAATTAAAAATTTTATTCGTTATGATATGATGAATATTAAAGATAATTATATTATTAATTGTAAAAATGGGGCATTAACTTATATATATTATTCTCTAATATGAATGTTATTTTCAATGACCAAAGTTTTATATGTAATTACATTCCGTTTGATTCTAAATATTTGTTTGTTATTTATTAAACCTTATAGCCTTTATTTTTATTTTTTCAAAAGAAATGTTGAAACTATTACTAAAAACTTTTTGATTCATCATAATCCATCCTCTTGAACCGCATTAAGCAGTGTGAGGAGGAAGTTTATAGTGTCTTCTCCAGCTCTGCCGGTCTTCCACAAGACGCCTTCTATCGTTCCATTTAAGTCCTCTTCTCTGGAAGTCGCTCTTCCTCTCTTGCCCTCTACTTTAGCTCGATAGGCTTCGCTAGCTATCCTGTTGGGTTCCATTCACAGAAGATGTCCTAGCCATCTCAGGCGTGAGGAGAAAACCTTTTTTAACTGCTTCAAACATCCGGCTCGCAGCAGCGGTTCGGTTCGCTCAGCAAACTTTTTAATTATCTATCTCTAATATTTAATTTTATAATCACAAAATGTTCAGTAATTTATTGAAGTGTAGCACGTTCTCATTTTACTTGTGCATCAGATCAGAAGAATCACAGGTTCATATACGAGCCCACAAAATGGAGTGGTAACCTTTATTTTTTTTTTCAGATGGCACTGAGGAATATACAGTTGAACCTTAGTGTATCGTTCTTTCATACACATCCAGTTTCTCTTTTCAGAGATCTTGAATTTTTATTATTAAAAGATATTCCCTATATTAAATAAATGGATCCTTAGTTTAAATTTATATTCATAGGTTAAAATATTATGTTTTTCATTTTTGTCTGTTAAGAGTTTCCAAATTTAATAGTTTATCTTTCATTGTATCTCTGTTCGGGCGCCAAATATAATGATATGTCTTTTATGCAGTTTTGATAAACAACTAAATTTAATAATTTATTGTTATTCAGAACTTACAATTTAAATCTAAACCAGTTCCTATCTTACTGATAGACACTTCAAAGTAAATCACAATAATACCTATTCATCCCTCTTTTCTCAATCTCCCGGAGTTCCTCAAGGTAGTATCCTTGGTCCTACCCTTTACACAGTTTATACAGCTGATATCCCAACCCATCCTAACACTGTTATCACCACGTATGCTGATGACACATGTATCCTGTCAGTTAATGATCCAACAATTGCATTCCAAACTCTTCAATCACACATCACAAACCTTGAAGAATGGTGTCAAAACTGGAGGATTAAAATAAATTCCAATAAATCCCATCAAATCACCTTTACCCTTCGTCGTAAACCAATGACTTGCTGCCCTATAGTATCCTTTAATAACACCCCACTTATCCCTGTAGAACAAATCCGATACCTTGGACTCCAGTTGGGCAAACTTCTCACCACTGTGCTCTGGTAGTATATGCTGTTAGCTTTCTCGATTATGTTTAAGATCTCTTGGTCCATTTTCCCATTTCTGCTGAGCGCTACTCCGAGATAAGTTTACTGCTGCACTGTCTCAAAGGTTTCTGCTCCGCAGCGAACTAAAACTTCCTTCTCTTCATGACCAGTGTGCATCATCTTGCTCTTTCCAACATTTAATATCATGCCCTTTCTTTCTAGCTCAGCTTCTCACTCAATAACTGTAAGGTTAATTCATACAAAAGCACTGAGACAAGTATAAATTTATTTTATAATTTATTATTTATAAGGTTTATTGTTTTATTTTAAAAAAATATACTAATTTAATCTGTTACCGTCATTTTAACGGATTCAATGAGTGTGCTACTGGCAATCCATAACCAAATATCTAAACATGCGATGATAGTGGAAATTTGAGAACTTATTTGGGTTATTAAAAGGGCAGGGAACTTAATAGCTTTCATTTAGACTCTCTCCCACGAACAGGCAGATATCACATTCCGAATGGCCGATGTTATTAATGAGGTAAAATCTATTGATTAAGTTCTTCGGGGTGACTGGAGGAGGCAACGAAACTCCAAATAATAACTCCATGGAATGAGACTTGGAGAAGGAACCCCTCAAAACCTGCTCATATTAAAACAAATACTGCTGAATGGTGTATGAGTAACAGAAGATCAAGAGATAAAATAATCCTGTGCCGTTTCAGAATTGGTCATTGCGTATTTTCCTATGGCTATTTACTCCACGGTCGATAACCACATACTCGTGAACTTCACATGCAGTTAGACAGAAGAACCTCAACATGGATGACAATATGCGGGAGGTGTTACAGGATGCTGAGAGAGAAGTGGAAAAACTAATGGATTTTTTGAAAATAATTGGATTTTACAGTATAATATGAGAAGTGTAAGTGAGCCGAGGATTGCCAACGACCCTAGCGGTAGAGACAAATAAATAAATAATTTAATTCCATATTACTTAAAGTAGTTAGCCTAATTGAAAGATCATAAACTTTTAATTTTATAATCATATCAAATAAATAAAGAGAAGTACTATAAATTCATAATGATGCCAACTGTGTTGAGTTGCTTCCTGACACAGAATATTGATCTGTTTAATTAGAAATATTTTATTTTTTATTTTAATGAAATTTACAACTGTATTACATTAAAAATAAAACAAGTAAATGTGACATTGGTAACATGACATGTGCAACATGAAGAGAAACTACCCATTGGTAGAACTCAAATTAAAGTTCTATATTAGAAGATCCCGAGGCCATCTTCTTTTCAGATGCTTTGGAGGGTTATCAGGAATCTAGGAGGAAGCAAGATTTGAAACGAGAGGGTTCGGATGGTTCTGCAGTTTGTTATAGAAGGATAGGTATCTGGATTGGGCCAAATCGGAAACACATGGAACATTAAGGTCTAAGTGGATGATTTTATTTGTGACAAAGTAAGGAGCATTGAGGATTTTACGAAGGATTTTGGATTGTATGGATTGGATACAAGAGGAATTCGATGGTTTAGTGGAGCCCCAAAGATCAATTCCGTAAGTCCAAATATGTCTTGTTATTGTCATATATATGAGTCGTTTGTAACTGATTGAAAGCTTAGAACGGTTGTCTAGTAAGTGTTGGAGTAGTCGGAAACGTCTAGCGGTTTCTTGTCGTTTCAGTCTAGTATGGGGGGTCCTAGATTTGTTCAACTGGGATAAGTGGAAAATTGTTAATGGATACTGAAGGACAGGAGGTCATAGGTTTGCGACGCTGGGTGAAGGTAATTTGATGGGATTTATTGGAGTTTATTTTAATCCTCCAGTTTTGACACCATTCTTCAAGACTAGAAATATTTAATAAAAGAAAACAGAAATATTAAAGTTTTATGGGACTGCCATCTAAATACCAAGTGTTTTGTATATAGAAATGTTATTTTCTTTCTCTCATTCTCAATTCTGTTCCTAGGATTTATAAAGCAATTGCCAAAATTAATATAGGTGATGGAGTAGGATTCCCAGTGAGTCTAAAATAATCGATTCCATCATACTCTGTATCTGATTCCTTTCATCACCTAGCTTTTCCAAAATAATAGCAATTGAAAGAGAAATTGTCCCTCTACTTCCAAACCAAAGTCCCCAAACTGAAAATTCTCTCTCACCAAATTCTTCTCTTTATTTC